ACTCCTGACCTTGTGATCCACCCGCCTCAGCCTCCCAAAGTGCTGGGATTACAGGCGTGAGCCACCACGCCTGGTCCCAACACGTATTCTCAGCCTCTTCAGAGTTTGAGGCCTCTTGAATCTGTGGCTTGATGCCTTTCACAGGTTTTTTCCAGTGTTGCTTCTGTCCTCCGGGGCCGAGTTTGACGTTCCACCTCTGGAAACTTCATCATCCGTTTGTCTTTCCTGTTTCCTGATGGATATTCCCTCCAGTGTCTTTCAGTTCACGAATTCTGTTTTCTGGCGTTAAATTTGTCCATTGAATTCCTAATTTGGGTTGTTACAGTTCCTAGTTTTAGAATTTCCACTTTTGTTTTCGAGCCCAGGCTGGAGTGCAGTGGCACAATCTCAGCTCACTGCAACCTCCACTTCCCAGGTTCAAGTGATTCTCCTGCCTCAGCCTCCTGAGCAGCTTAGGCACACCCCTCCATGCCCAGCTCATTTTTGTATTTTTAGTAGAGATGGAGTTTCACCATGTTGGCCAGGCTGGTCTCGAAATCCTGACGTCAAGAGATCTGCCTGCCTTGGTCTCCCAAAGTACTGGGATTACAGGCGTGAGCTACTGCGCCCAGCTGTCAACATTCTTCATCTCCTCTTTCATCTCTGGTGCATTCGGAGTCCACGCTGGAAACTGCCTTTAGTGCCCTTCAGTCTTCCGTCTGTTGTTTCCCATTCTTGGTCCTTGCTGCCTGTTTCTCATGAACTTGGGTGCTGCGTGAGAAACAAGGAATGAAAGGCTCAGTTTGGTGCCCTTGCTTCCCACCCCTGCCACCCCCGCCCCTCCTGCCCCTCTGCTATGATGGCGGAGCCTGAGCGCGGCCCTGTCCTCCACAGGTGGATGATGAGTTGGAGATCAAGGCCTACTATGCAGGCCATGTGCTGGGGGCAGCCATGTTCCAGATTAAAGTGGGCTCAGAGTCTGTGGTCTACACGGTCAGTGGAAGGGGCTGGAGGCTTGGGAGGGGCTGCCGGGGTGGGAGGCACCCTCGCCATGGCGGCCTTGTTCATTCACCAGGGTGATTACAACATGACCCCAGACCGACACTTGGGGTAAGTCTGCCGAGGCATCTTTTGTTCTGAAGGCCCCCTTGGAGCTCGTGACCCATGTAGTTGTGGGGATGCCAGCCCTTGAGTGGACAACCCAGCAGTGTCTCCCAGGTCTGGTACGGCCCGGACAGCCCCTTCCTTCTGGGCTCAATTTCGAGAAGGCACAGGGTCCAGGTGGGATCTCTGTGCTTCCTCTCTCTTCCCAAGTGTGCTGTCCACAGCATTTTACCAGCTGGGTCTTTCCAGTCAGAGTGGCCTAGAAAGGTGGCTGGGGTGGGACTGGGGTCCAGCTTGTCACACCCAGCCCTGCAGCTGTGGGGACAGTCTGCCACGGCTCACACCCCCACCCATATTCTAGAGCTGCCTGGATTGACAAGTGCCGCCCCAACCTGCTCATCACAGAGTCCACGTATGCCACAACCATCCGCGACTCGAAGCGCTGCCGGGAGCGAGACTTCCTGAAGAAAGTCCACGAGACTGTGGAGCGTGGTGGGAAGGTAGCCGCAGCAGGGCTGGGGACACAGGCCCTCAGTCATGCTGGGCAGGTCTTTCTGGCAGGCTTGGCTGCCCTTGGCATGGGTCAGGGTCTCAGGGTGTGGGGTGCTACATTTTCAGGTAGGGAGAGAAGAAAGTTTGCTCAGCATTGAGGAGAAAAGCTCAGAGACCGACCTTCCCTAGGGAGCCCCTACCTCAGATCCTGATAAAGCCTTGGCCAGGGCCCCCATACCACTCTCTTCAGTCTCCAGTGTTGCTGGGATGGGACTGGGAGCAGATATGAGAGGCTGAGGTCCACACGGGGCTGCAGCTCTTGGGCGCCTGGCTGTGCCCTCACTGGACGCTGCTTGCTGTGCCGAGGGGCCATGCAGCCAGGGCTCCTGCTTGGGCCAAGCCTAGTGTGTTTCCCAGGTGCTGATACCCGTGTTCGCGCTGGGCCGCGCCCAGGAGCTCTGCATCCTCCTGGAGACCTTCTGGTAGGTGCTACCAGGATGGCTCTTTCAGGAGCCCTGTCCCAGATTGGAAGCTGCGGCCATGCACTGGCCCAGCTTGCATACAGTCCAGTGGCACGACAACCACTGGGTGTGGTGGGCAGCCCTGCCTGTGGTGGCACTCCCAGGGTGCCAGTGGCAGCTCGGCACCACTCGCTGCTGTCCTGGGGGGGGGGGGAGGCCTGTGACATTCCATTGATGCCACTGTTTGTGGCTCCTGATCCTCCACCAAGCTCGGCAGCCACAGGGCTTAATGGGACACAGGATGCAGGCACTGGCCTCCTGTGGTTATGATGGGAAACTGGGCTAAACCCGGCCTGTGCATGGATCATGCAGATGAGGTTATGGGGGTGGCCCAGCCAAGTCCTGCCCTGCAGTGTTCTCCTGTGGCCACTGTGCTGACCGGGATGGTGGTCCCCAGGGAGCGCATGAACCTGAAGGTGCCCATCTACTTCTCCACGGGCCTGACTGAGAAGGCCAACCACTACTACAAGCTGTTCATCCCCTGGACCAACCAGAAGATCCGCAAGACTTTTGTGCAGAGGAACATGTTCGAGTTCAAACATATCAAGGCCTTTGACCGGGCTTTTGCTGACAACCCAGGGCCAATGGTGAGGCCCTGTGGCAGGGCTGGCCAGTGTGTCCCTGTCAGTTGGCCTGTATACAGGTCCCTGCCCATGGGTCTCTGGGCTGGGCCTGCAGCGGGGTTGGGGGGCATCTCCTGCCCTGACTTGACCCCCCTGTCCCCGCCCTCTGTGTCCCACAGGTTGTGTGGCTAGGGGGTGTGGGGCATCTGCTGCCCTGACTTGACCTCCCTGCCCTCTGTCTCTCGCAGGTTGTGTTTGCCACGCCAGGAATGCTGCACGCCGGGCAGTCCCTGCAGATCTTCCGGAAATGGGCGGGAAACGAGAAGAACATGGTGAGGGCCATGGTGAGGTGCAGGAACCTGGAGGCTAGTGGGTTGTCCTGACACACTCTCCCTGAGCTCTTGCTGGCCTGGCCCCATGCTAGTCGAGGGACGTGGCTGCTGCCACCAGGAGATGAGGGTGACGTCCCACTGGGGCCTTTGAGTCTTCCTGTGATGCAGCCTGTCCACCTTAGGCAGAAGAGCCTCAGCCCAGCCCTGGAAAGTCTTTTGCCAAAACCTGAGCTCTCTGGAGTCTGCAGCTAGGCTTGGGAGGGCATCACTGGCAGGTGGAAACAGCTTCCAGGGGTTCAAGTTGGGGCATCCCAGGGAAGGCCGAGGTGCCAAGGCTGGGTCCTGTGGCTGAGCTCTGTGCCCGCCCCCAGGTCATCATGCCTGGCTACTGCGTGCAGGGCACTGTGGGCCACAAGATCCTCAGTGGACAGCGGAAGCTGGAGATGGAGGGGCGGCAGGTGGTGAGTCCCGACCCTCCGCGGGCTGGCAGGGCTGAGGGGCACCTCCTGGTGGTAACCGCTGTCCATGCCCTGTGGCCTGCAGCTGGAGGTCAAGATGCAGGTGGAGTACATGTCATTCAGTGCCCATGCAGACGCCAAGGGCATCATGCAGCTGGTGGGCCAGGCAGAGCCGGAAAGCGTGCTGCTGGTGCACGGCGAGGCCAAGAAGATGGAGTTCCTGAAGCAGAAGATCGAGCAGGAGCTCCGTAGGCAGCTGGGTGGGCGGCGTGGGGCCCACCTTGGGTCAGTGTGGGCAGTCTGCACTGAGACTATTTCTTCCCTGGGGTCCAGGGGTCAGCTGCTACATGCCAGCCAATGGCGAGACAGTGACACTGCCCACGAGCCTCAGCATTCCTGTAGGCATCTCGCTGGGGCTGCTGAAGCGGGAGATGGCACAGGGTACGTGGGCAGGGCAGGGCCAGGTGCTCAGGGTGGGTGGCTGGGAGTGGCCCTCACACTGATGGCCCCTGCTGCCTCCACAGGGCTGCTTCCTGAGGCCAAGAAGCCGCGACTCCTGCACGGCACCCTCATCATGAAGGACAGTGTGAGTGGCAGGGGGCCTCTGGAGTGGGGAGGGCTGCTGCTGTGCTCTCTGACCTGACCTGTCCCTGCCCCACAGAATTTCCGGCTAGTGTCCTCAGAGCAAGCCCTCAAAGAGCTGGGCCTGGCTGAGCACCAGCTGCGTTTCACCTGCCGTGTGCACCTGCACGACACGCGCAAGGAACAGGAGACTGCATTGCGTGTCTATAGCCACCTCAAGAGGTGCGTGCTGGCCCTGCCCCTTCACCCCCTTGGGCCCTGGGGGCAAGGCAGGGTCTCACAGAGCCTCCCCACAGCATCCTGAAGGACCACTATGTGCAGCATCTCCCAGACGGCTCAGTGACTGTGGAGTCCATCCTTATCCAGGCCACTGCCCCCTCCGAGGACCCAGGCACTAAGGTGCTGCTGGTCTCTTGGACCTACCAGGTAAGGGGTGGCCTCCACCCCACCGAGCTCAGCTCAGGTGTCACCACCCCCTCCCTGTCCCATGGTGCTCTTACTTCTGCCTTAGGACGAGGAACTGGGGAGCTTTCTCACATCTCTGCTGAAGAAGGGCCTCCCCCAGGCTCCCAGCTGAGGCTACCCAGCCCACCTATCTCACCCACCTTTGCCCTCACCTAGCTGGAGAGACCTGGGCCTGCACTTCAGGACTGTGGGTGCACTGGGCGAACAGACCCTGTGGATCCAGTCCCTGGGGACAGAGGCTGTGGGTCATGTGCCCACCTGAGTGGCTGTTTGCAGCTTAAGAAATAAACTGACCTCCAGGCTGCTTTGCCTTTATTCCTGCTCCTGGCCCCCAAAACGATGGTTAGGGCAGGGGGTCCCAGACAGCAGTTTCCAGTAAAAGCTGAACTTGGTGCCCCTGACTATGTCCTACACTACATCCTGCCCTGCCTGGAACAGAGATTGGCATCCAGGGTGGTGGGACCCAGGGGGACGAGGCCAATTTGGAGATCAGGCAGCAGTGCTGTGGGCCCTGGGCCCCAGGTGGCCGTGACTGCCCTGGCTTTACAAGCACAGGGCTAGGCCTGGTGTAGCCTGATTTTGGCTGAACATCCAGGGTCATTTGTGGCTCCCAAACTGTGGCCCATGCAGGGTGCAGGAAGCAGCATCTGTGGACACACCAGACACTGTGTCAGCATGGGGCAAGGTCGGCCCAGAGCCCTCCCTGCCACTGGGACCACTCCCAGGGCCAGGGCAGGATGGGCTGGGCTGAGGGGATGCAACCCTGGGGGGAAACCTTCACTCCTGCAGTCATTGGCTCCCAGCCTCCCCACCCCACACCTTGACTTTCTGTTTGGGTAATGGCAGGATTCCTGCCTGGCTGGGTGGCAGGAAGGCTATGCCTTCCCCCATGAGGACTGGGCCTCAGCAGTCAGTGGGCATACAGCAGAACCTTTCTTTGTCCTGCTGCTCTTACCAAGACTCCCGTATACCACTGACTTCAGGAATAAGCCATGGGCTGGGGCCAGGCGTGTCTGGTGCTTGCCCAGGGGGTCTTGGCTCTCCAGAATTGTCTTCACCTGGGCAGGTGCCAAAGCCCCCAGTCCCACGGCCACCAGCACAGCTGTCATCCTCCGTACCTGTGACCCAGAGCCGAGACTGCACAGGGGCCTGCCCACCCCTCAGCCCCACCCCCCAGGGAGGGCCCCAGAACAGCCCACCTGTCTATACAGGAAGGACTGGCTCTCAAACTCTAGACTCCAGAACTGCAGCTTCCTGGAAAAACAAGTACTTGTAGGTGCCTGTGGGGGCAGCCCACCAGCCTCAGACACAGAAAGTGATAGGGCGGGGCCTCAGACAAGCCTGGTTCTTACTAGCTCGTCTACCAGGGGCCTTGGCTGACCCTAGTGAGGCAGACAAGGAATGCCCAGGCATGTAGGTGGCCTGGCTATCCCTGAGGAGTTTGCCCGGGGACCTCACCTGGGGTCCTGGTGCAGGGACTGGTAGTGTGGCTGGTGAATGTGCCAGAGGCCCAAGCCTTATACCTGCTGCTCTGCATGGCAGTGTGGGGCTCACCCCAACAGTGGAGGTTCTGTCGTCAGAAGCTGCCACCTTGTGAGTGGCTCTCTGGACAGTACCAGGGGCAGCAGAAACCAACCACTGCCAGGTTGGGCCAGAATCACTGGCCCCAATGAAACCTTTCCAGTAGCTGTCAAGATTCTTCATTAGGCAGGGCACAGCTGCAGGCTGGGGGGTGTCCTGGCCACTCTACTGCCCCACTTCCTCCAGCTGACTAGGCCCTGAGAATACCCAGCTGTCTCTGTCCCACCTGGCCTCGCCTTTGCTGAGGGAGGTGCTGAAACTAAAATGAGTGCTGCCAGTCTGAGGGCAGGAACACAGCCTCTGTGCCCTTCCTCACCTGCTCTCCTGGGGGGTGACCAAGGGGCTGGTGAGGCCTGGGGACACGGAGACACGGCGCAGTGTTCGCACGGGGCTTGGTACCGGGCTGCCGGCCGACTGGAAGGCGCTGAAGTCGTGTGTGCCGAGGAGGTGCTGGGCTGCTTCTTGCATAGCAGCCACGTCTAGGCGGCTTCAGGGATCAGGGGAACTGTCAGGAAGGGGGGCCGGCCTGCCCCCTCCCTGCTCACTGTTAGGGCCACACTCACTCTGCCCGGAGAGCCCAGCATAGGTTGCGTTCAAACACGGGCAGCTCGTCAGACCGGTGACAGCCAGTGACCAGGCGGTACAGGTAGGTCCGGGACGTGGCTGCGTGGCGAGCGTGGAAGTCGCTGGGCACTCGGAAGGCCCGCAGGACCCTGGGGTAGCAGGTCAGACTCACCGGAGGAATGACCCCGCCCACCCGCCCGGGTGTCGACTTGGTTTGCCCAGACCGCCAACCTCGTCCACGACGGATGGAGTCGGGAAGGCAGAGCCCCGGGGCTGCTCAGTTCGCGGGCTCACCTGATGGCCGGGTGCCTCAGGTGGGTGTTGAGGGCCTCGGTCAGAACCTCGGGCGGGAAGGGCGGCCGGCCTGAGCGGCGCTGGACATCCAGGTGCGCCGCGTTGCTCAGGGCGTGGACCCCGGCGTCTGTGCGGCTGGAGATGGTGAACCTGACCGGCTCCACGGAATTGAGCCGCTCGGCGGCCTCCTACGGGACGGAGCCGCGGGGAGGGCGGGTGGGCCAGGCCGGACTCTGGGGACACGCGGGCGGGGGCCTCCCCCTTGCCCTTCACCGGGCGTCCCGGGACCCACTGAGCTCACCTCCAGGTAGTTCTGAACCCCGACGGCGCGCTGGGCGCCCCTGACGGCCGCCACCCCGCTGCGGGTAGAGGCGGGCGGAGGTTACCGGGGCTGCCCCGCCCTCAGGTCTCGGCCGCCCTCTGAAGCCAAAAGCCGCTTCCTCCCCCGAACGTTTGGAACTCCGTCTGCCCGCCCGCGCCCTCCTTCCCGCCTCCACCCGGGCCCACGTAGTGGTCCCCGCCGCGCCCGTGAAACCTACTTAAAGTCGGTGCCCACGTACTGGAAGTACACGAGGTAGCGCGCGCGCACCGAGCCCGCGGCCGGCGCCGAACCCATGGCCGAACCCAGCCAGCGGCGCCGGAGGTAGTCTCCAGCGCGCGCACGCGGCAATGGTCACGCTCTTGCGCATGCGCGGTCTCCCCGCCCCGGCCGCGCGCCACGGCGGGCTGGGGCGGGGAGCGGAGGCGGGGCCGGGCTTAGGGAGCGGTTGCAAAGTGCCCGCCCGCCGCCGAACGCAGGGGCTTTACCGCTACCGCGGCGCCCCCGGAGGCGCGCTCGCAACTACGTGGTGACCTCGGGATCCCGCGGGCGTGCGTTCGTTCACTCGCTCATGCATTCGCCGCAGCCCACACTCCCCGAGCGCGCTCGTTTGCCGCGTTGCGGCCAAGTCCTCCTAGAGGTGGTTTTTGCAAACGCCCTGAGTTGCGCAACGGCCAGGATGGCTGGAGCGGGCGGGGTCCGCGCCCTCCCCGCGCCCCACGGCCCGGCGGACCCTCCCCGAAGTCGAATGGTGCGGTCCCCGCCTCACTTCCGCACCCGGGTGGTCCGTAGACGCTGCGAGGGGCGTTTGGCGACGCTCCCCGGCGGTGACGTCAGGCGGCGCGCGCGGGCGGCGGACTTTGGCGACGCTCCCCGGCGGTGACAGCGAACGGCGCGCGCGGGCGGCGGACGTTGGTGACGCTCCTCGGCGGTGACAGCGGGCGGCGCGCGCGGGCGGCGGACTTTGGCGACGCTCCCCGGCAGTGACAGGCGGGGCGGGGCGAGGCGCGGCGGCCTCATTCCCGGGCCGGCGGGCGCCGAGGCGGCGCGGGCGGGACGAGCGGGCCGGGCCGGCGCGGCTGCCGCTCGGCGCCTCGGTCCTCGTGCCAGTGAGCGCCGCGGCCGCCGCAACCATGACCGTGGAGTTCGAGGAGTGCGTCAAGGACTCTCCGCGCTTCAGGTGCGCCACCGGGGGCCGCGGGGCTTAGCGCGGGCGGGGGGCGTCGCTGCCGCCTTTGTGCCCGGCGGCGGGCTGGGGAGGTCAGCTCCGGGCTGGGCCGCGGTCTCCGGGGAGGGGCTGGAGGACCCGCCTCGGACAAAGCGGCGGCCCCGCCCCGCCATGCCCCGGGGGCCGGAACAAAAGGCGCCCCTGTGCGGCCACCCCGGGACCGTCCGCCCCCGCTTTGTGTCTGCACCTCCGCGGAGGTGAGCCCCTCCCGGGTTCTGCGGTCCAGCTCTGGCCGGGGTCGTCTGGGCCCATGGGGGCGTTGGCCCCTGGTCTGTGCTTCGATCTTGTGTCCAGAGCAGCGCGTGGGGGACAGGCAGTTGGAGCCGCGTTTAAGGCCTGGGACAGGCTGCGTGGAAGCTTGAAGTGGTTTGAATGGCCCAGGGGCCTGGAGAGGAGGGGCTGAGAAGAGCGTCGGGAAGGTGAGGTGGGGGGCAGGAGCCGTGTCCACCCAAGTCTGAGGGTTTTCCATCATTCCTGGAGTGCAGGCGTGCACACCTGCGGGAACAAGGGTTTGCAGACGTGTGCACAAGGGTGCCTCAGCCTCGCTTGGTGGACATTTGGCCAGTGACAACAGAGGCAAGGAAGCCTTTGTCCATCCTCAGGTGCACACCTGCGTGTGGCCCCCACCTCTGCACATGCTTGTGCAGGGCGCGCCCTTGTGAGCTCTGCCCCTCTGTGCGCCTCCGTTGGGGCGCCAGGCCTTGCACAGCACGTGGGGGCGAGCTGTGCCACTGGGCTGTGCGTGGTGCCTGCATGTAGCCTACCGCTGGATGCACGCAGGCGTGTGCACGCGCCACTTCTGTGTGGGTTCACGTACTGTTAGCCACGTCACCAACAGACACACGTCAGCTTGTACACGCGTGTGCCACCACGGGGTGTGTCGGTGTGTGTGCACTCTCATTAGACACACTTGTATGTGTGGTACCACTGTGCAGGCATGTTTGTGCATCAACGTGTTTGCACATGCGTGCTTGGTCGTGTGTGTGTGCATGTGCGTGCGTGCCCTGGGTCTCTTGGGACCTGCTGGCAAGTCAGCCTGTGTGTGGAGCATGGGGAGCTTCAGCATCCCTGGAGCCCTCACCATGAGGCCTCAGGAGCTTTGGAGTGGGAGGCTCGAGGCCAGCCAGAAGCGTGGTCCCTGGCCCTGGGCAGAGGAACTGGGGCTGCCCTTTGCTCTCCTATCTTCCATTGCTGACCAGGGAAAGGGGTTGAACTACTCAGGCACCCCATGATCCTGCCTTGAGGACCCAGGCTGCTGTGGGGAGACGTGAAATGGCCTCCCTGCTGGGGGCTGGGCCCTGGCTGAAGCACCCACCTTCTCCCTGCCTCCTCTCTCAAAAGCCTAATGGACCTCCCCCCCGACACAGAGGGGCTGTGCTGCTCTTGCCCGGTCAGGTGGGGGTGCTGTGAGAGCAGGTTACAGGAGCTGGTTATGGGGCCTTTGGAGCTGCAGTAGGTGCTGCAGGGCGGCTGGCCAGGCTTTTGCAGGTGGGCTGTCATGGGAAACTGCCTCACCCCCACCGGGCACGGACTGGACTGGATGCTGGTCTTGGGCCGCAGAAGCCTGGCCCAGTGAGTTTTGCGGTTATGCTGTGATTTAACTGGGGTTTGAGGGGCTCCCGGAGGCTGACCTGGCGGTCTCCTGAATGCCCATTCTCAAGGGCCCCTGAGGGTGTAACTTGAGCTTCCTGGCCTTCCACAGGGCTGGGAGGCCGGGCAGGGTGGGCGAGAAGCCTGGGGTCACCCCCACCCTGGAAAGGGGGACCCTGCCTGCACCCTCCTGGTTTGGAGGGAGGGCCTACTGGCAGCCCGGGCACAGTGGGTGGGCAGGGGGACAGCGGAGCCTGCCTAGGGGAACCGCCCGGCCTCTGTTCAGCATGCCCCTCCCCTGGGTGGGGCTTCAGGCGCTGAGTCACGACTTCGAAGATGGGGGCAGACTCACCCTCCTCCCCAACCTCCAAGCTGCTGAGGAAGCCTGGGCTGAGCACAGTAGAGGAGGCCTAGGTGCCCAGGGCTGAGGATGGGAGAGCTCAGGGGCTTCCAGCAGTGGGTACAGCCCTCAGGGCTTCTGCTAATGTCCACCCTGTCCCCATGAGCATGACTGTGAGCTCCAGGGTACAGCTTCCTCTTTCCAGCTCTCCAGGGACACAGGTACCCCTGGCCCAAGGGCAGCAGCTTTGGATGCAGCTGTCTGCATCCAGCCAGGCTCAGGGGTGGCTGCAAATCCTGGGGTGTGGCTCTCTCTGCCGCATTCTCCCGGGCGATGCTTTCTTCTGGGTTATGGGATCCTCCAGGGGAGGGGAGAAGCTGAGGTAGAGGTGGGACTCCAGGGAGCTGCAGGCTGGGCCGTGGTGGTCAGCAGGTACCACAGCTAGCTTCCCTCCGTTGCCTCCTGCTTTGGGACTCAGAGTCCTTTTAGCTCCTTGGGAACAGGTGAGGGCTGCTCAGAGAGGACCTGGTGTCCTGCTGGTGTGGTTGGGACCCTTCTAGGTCCCTGGCTGGGGCAGCCTGGCGCCCGAGGCCCCAGCTCCTAATTGAGGACACGCCCTGTGCAACCTGAAGGCTCCTCCCCACAGGCCTGGGACACTTGGCAGCAAGGGGTGAAGCACCGTGGGCCCCGATGGCTTCTGCTGCCTAACCCCTGCCCTAGACCTGTCCCTGGAGTCCTGCGAACCAGGACTGGAGCATCCTGGCCCCAGGCCGAGCCCTGTGGTGCCCAATCCCCAGGAGGCCAGATGGCCCGGCCGGCCAGCTGAGCTGATTGTATGGAGTGCTCGGCTCCCGGGATCCTGGCCCTGTTTCCCTGTTTCCTGCTCCCGGAGGGGGGTGGTCACGTGCCAATCCTTCTGCCTCCCTTCTTCCGGGGATTCTCCCGCTGAGGCATCTCTGGTGATGTCATGGCTTAACTCTTCTTTCCCCAGGCAGCCCCACTGTCTGGCTGTTCTGATGGGAGTGGCTCTGAGGAGGACAGCCCACCCCTCTTTCTGGACTGCACCGCTTTGCAGTTGTGAGGTTGGGGGAGCTGGGGGTGTCTTTCCTCAGCTGGTCTGAGGCCATCTGGCGCTGCCAGGACCAAGAGCAGCCACCCTGCTGCCTCCACCCCGTCCTACGGTGCACGGGCACCAGGCCTGGGTGGGCTGCAGGAGTACAGAGGGGTGAGGGACAGGGACCGCAGGGCTGGGGGGTCCAGATGGGTCCAGGGTCAACTCTGAGCTCCTAGAGGAGGAGCTGGCAAGGCTGGCACAGCCCTTGGTGCACATCATCCCTGAGGGACTCCCAGCAGCTGCTGTCCTGGTTGAGGCTGGTCCAACCTTCTGCCCCAAGGGCACAGCAGTGCAAGTCAGGCCCATCCGCCTGTTTCTGTCTAGGGTGGGGAAAGTGTGCTGGATGGGCGTCCCAGTCCTGCCCCGGGAAGCAGGCAGACACCTGCATCTCCCAGCCCATTTCCTGAAAGCCACTTCCCATGGCGGAGCCCCTCAGGGTGGTCTAAAGAGGGGGTGAAGCCAAGCCTGACCCCGAGGGGGCCAAGGCTGCAGGTGACCCCAGCCAGCCCCGTTCTTGCCTCAGGGCGACCATCGATGAGGTGGAGACGGACGTGGTGGAGATTGAGGCCAAACTGGACAAGGTGAGGGGGGCCTGGAGCTCGTGTGTCCAGGACTGCTCTGTGCCCCATGCCCAGCCAGACTTGGGATCGCCGCAGGGCAGGACTGGCCTTCTGGCCTTATTAAGCCACACCCCCCATATGTGGAGCACACTCTGGCGCTCCAGGACCTGGCCTGTGTGTCTTAGTAGGTGTGTTCCAGGGTGCATATACCACACCCACATCTGTGGCTGACCCTGAGTCTCATCCCAACCAGGAGGGGCTGGGGCGTGATGAGTCCCCAACCCACGGTGACTGCCTGTCCCTTCTGCTGGCTGCTGGGCTGGGGATGTGGGAACAGCTGCTGTGTGGGCACAGTCTTGGTGTCTCTGGGCTGGGGCTGGGGCGGAGAAAGGAGAGGGCAACAGGTTGTGGAGCTGGGAATGAGGAGGCTTGTCCATGAGCCCCATGCAGGCTGGTCCTGCTGGCTCTGGGTTCTTTGCTTGGCTCCTGGTCCCTTACAGCTGAGAGAGGCCCTGGTGGCCCCACCCCCTCCCCCCAGACCAGCCTCCCAGCCCCAGGCAGGCCCAAGTGTGAGAAGCCTGAGCAGCAGCTGGGAGCTGGGCTGTGCAGCACTGAGTCCTGGGTGCCGACAGCCTGAGTGGAGCCCACCCTGGGAGCTCTCCCCGCCTGTGAGGCTGGCCTTGTGTGGTGGCGAGTGTAGGCACCAGTGCCCACCATACTCACTACACTCTGCTTGCCCGCAGCTGGTGAAGCTGTGCAGCGGCATGGTAGAGGCTGGCAAGGCCTACGTCAGCACCAGCAGGCTGTTTGTGAGCGGCGTCCGAGAGCTGTCCCAGCAGTGCCAGGGCGACACTGTCATCTCGGTGAGGGGCTGACTGACCTCTGACCTCAAGGTGGGGTAGGGGAGAGACCGAGTAAAGCAGACCCTCGAGGGGGCAGGCTGGTGTCTGCGCCGTTTGGGAGGGGGCTTGGAGGGTATGGTTGGGTGGCCTGGGCCAGAATTGCCATCTCAGCACAGGTCCCCATCTGCTCCTCCAGGAATGTCTGCAGAGGTTTGGTGACAGCCTGCAGGAGGTGGTGAACTACCACATGGTGAGCCTGGCCTGCCCAGCCTCCTGGCCACATGCGGGCCCTGCCCAGCCTGGAACGGAGCTTCATGGGCTCGCTGGGAGGCCACATTTCTGCTCCTCCAGTCTGGGGTGGGGGGCGTCCAGGTTTTTGAGTCAGTGTGGGGTGGGGAACAGCCCTGGGGCTCTGCTGTGTCCCAGGCAAGGGTTACACTTGACCCCAGGGTTCCCTCAACTGGGCCCGGCTCTCGTCCCAGGCTGGCCTGGCTGCCATTTGGGTCTGGGTGGCCCCCGGGGACGCCAGCACTGGCGTGGATGGACACAGGACAGTCTGTGAGATGTGGGGCTGAGGCCTGGGAGCCTGAGCCGAAGACTGAAGAGGGGCCCTACCCCACAGGGGAGGTCTTGAGGTAAACCCAGCAGGAGGGCTCCGCCGCCCCTTTGCTCCAGGTCGTGCGTGGCCCTCTACACAGGGCTCTGATTTGGAGCCCAGGATCTGGATCCCCAGGCCCAGCCCTGGGTGCTCCCGGCTCTGACCCAGTGCTCCCTGCTGCAGGGATGGGCACCCCAGGGCGGCCACCTAGAACCAGGAAGCAGTGGGGCTCAGGCTGTGCCGAGTGCCCCGAGCTGTGTGGGCCACATGAGGGCCCAGGTGGGGCAGAGGGGCGGGGCCACAGCTGCCGCCACTGGGTGCCAACTCAGGCCTGGGACTGCTCCCCTGACCCCAAGGCTGGCCCTGCTGGGTGGGACCCACCCGTGTCTGGGCCTGGGGCAGTGCCCTCTGCTGGCGAGGAAGAGACCTTCTCTCTGGGGCCCTTTGGGGACTGACCCCAAGGATCTCTGCCCTCCCTTGCCCCTAGATCCTGTTTGACCAGGCCCAGAGGTCCGTGCGGCAGCAGCTCCACAACTTTGTCAAAGAGTGAGTGGCTCCCAGGCCCTCAGGGCCCCCAGGGCTGGGGAAGAACACTGAGGCTATGCTCCCTCCCTTGGAGGAGAAGGAGGTCTGGGCTGGAACGGAGGCACCCTGGCCCCAGGCCTCCAGGCTGCGCTGAGGTTCCGAGAGGCAGAAGGCTCAGAGGCAGACAGCTGGTGGAGTACGGGGGCCCCACACCCTGCATGTGTGGGTGGGGGTCCAGCCCCACAGTGGAGATGTCCAGTCCACGCTGGGTTTGCGGTTCTGGCATCTGGGCATGGGTGGTGTCTGGGCTGGACAGATCCTGAGAGTGAGGTGGGGAGGGCTGGGGAGGCCTGGAGCAGATGGGAGGGGCAGTGGGTGAGGAAGGGAGGCTGTGCCCAGGAGCAGAGAAAGGGCCTGGAGTGGAGGAGGATGGGGCTGGGCGTGGTGGCTTACACCTGTAATCCCAGTATTTGGGAGGCCGAGGCCAGAGTATGCCAGAGTATGCTCAGGAGACCAACCTGAGCAATCTAATGAGGGCCCCCATTTCTACAAAAAATAAAAAATATTAGCTGAGCTTGGTGGTACATGCCTGTAGTCCCAGTTACTCAGAAGGCTGAGGTGGGAGGATCACTTGAGCCCAGAAGGCGGAGGCAGCAGTGAGCCATGATCGTGCCACTGTACTCCAGCCTGGGTGACAGAGAGAGACTCCATCTCAAAAAGAAAACCCCAAGAACCAAAACTTAGCCAGGCATGGTGGCACACACCTGTAGCCTCAGCTACTTGGGAGGCTGAGGTGGGAGGATTGCTTGAGCTAGGGAGGTAGATGCTGCAGTGAGCCATGATTGTGCCACTGCACTTCAGCCTGGGCGACAGAGAAATGGGGAGGAAGGCAGCAAACCACACTGCCATGTGTGTACCTGTGCAGCAATCCTGCATGTTCTTCATATGTACCCCAAAACCTAAAATGCAATTAAAAAATAATTAATTTAAAAAAAGAGGTGGGGCACAGCAGTGGCTCACGCCTGTAATCCTAGCACTTTGGGAGGCTGAGGTGGGTGGACCAACTGAGGTCAGGAGTTCAAGACCAGCTTGACCAACATGGAGAAACTTGGTTTCTACTAAAAATACAAAATTAGCCAGGCATGGTGACATATGCCTGTAATCCCAGCTACTTGGGAGGCTGAGGCAGGAGGATCGCTAGAACCCAGGAGGCGGAGGTTGTGGTGAGCTGAGATTGGGCCATTGCACTCCAGCCTGGGCAACAAGAGCAAAACTCCATCTCAAAAAAAAAAAAAAAACCCACGTGGGCGACTGCAGAATCTAGCAGGTGCCCCTCCCTGACCTCTGACCCCACCTGGCACTTGGCCTCCAGGGATGTGAGAAAGTTCAAGGAGACAAAGAAGCAGTTTGACAAGGTGCGGGAGGACCTGGAGCTGTCCCTGGTGAGGAACGCCCAGGCCCCAAGGCATCGGCCCCACGAGGTGGAAGAAGCTACCGGGGCCCTTACCCTCACCAGGAAGTGCTTCCGACACCTGGCACTGGACTACGTGCTCCAGGTCAGCTCCAGAAATGGGGCGGGGGGTGGGGACCAGCTGTAGCGAATGGAGGCCTTGGAGACCTCGTACAGCAGGACTGGAGGGATTTGAGCAGGAGTGACATTCCTGCTTTGCCCACGGGTGGGACCTCTGGACATGGGAGGATGAGGCTAGCGCAGGGCTGGGAGCTGAGGACGGCCTGGGGGTCTCAGGGAACCACAAGCAGCTCAGGTGGACTCTGCAGCAAAGTGCAGGGCTGGGGCTGCCTCAGCCTCGAGGTTTCACCTGTGGGCTTCCCCTCTGGCAGATCAATGTCCTGCAGGCCAAGAAGAAGTTTGAGATCCTGGACTCTGTGAGTGCGTGGGGGCTGCCCATGAGCACAGGCTGCTGGGTGCGGCTGGAGTGGGTGTGCTCCGGCCTCACCTGTGCTGCCCCCGCAGATGCTGTCCTTCATGCACGCCCAGTCCAGCTTCTTCCAGCAGGGCCACAGCCTCCTGCACCAGCTGGACCCCTACATGAAGAAGCTGGCGGCCGAGGTGAGCCTTTGGAGGGGCAGGGCTGGGGTGGGGGTGGGGCCTCCATGGCCTTCCCTAATGTGGCCCCCAACAGCTGGACCAGCTGGTGATTGACTCTGCGGTGGAAAAGCGTGAGATGGAACGAAAGCATGCCGCGATCCAGCAGCGGGTGAGGCCGCACAGCGGGCTCCCTGCACTCTGGGTGCCGGGGAGGCCCTTTCGTCCTCACCCCAAGCCTGGGCACACACTCCCTGCCTTGTCCTCCCAGCCTGTCTCCCACTGGCCCTGCCCATACCCTCTCTAGGGCACAGAGGCTGCTGCCCTTTGATGTGTGCAGTGGAGCGGCATGTGTGGGTGGGGTCTCTGCTGGGCTGCAGCTGGGACCTGCATCTCCTTCCTTTGAGAATGTGGTCACCCCTTTGGCCTCAGTCATCGGCCCCTTGTGGGACCTTTGCTTGCCTGCGGGACAGCAGCCCCGGCAACCACCCAGGTCAGAGGTTGGCTGCAGGCAGGAATGGCTATTTTGGGATAAAAGAGAGCCCCTCGGGAGTTTGGGACGGGTCCGCCAGTCGCCAGGAGTTGGGGGCAGCTGTCACTCACAGGCTCTCTCCCCACCCCCTCCTGCTCCGGCCCTTCAGACACTACTGCAGGTGAGTGAGTACTGGGCCTGGGCGGGGTGTGGCCTGGGGCGAGGGAGACCAGATGAAGCAGTGCCTTTCCCTCCCCTGCCAGGGGGTGGGGTGGGGGTGGGCTTCAGCACCAAGGACACCTCCTGCCCGCCTAATTGCACTCCGCAGTTGCCTGTGCTGTGAGAGGGGCTGGTTCTGGCCAGATCCCCACATCCCCCATGCAGCTGTCCCTTTCCGCCCCATGAGGCCTGGGGAGCAGGTGGCCTCGCCTCCCCTCCACTGCCCTGGCTTGCCAGACGGCGGGACACACAGGGCCCTCAGTGGCTCCCAGGTCTCCTGAATGGGGCTCTGTCTGCCCAGCTGGCCACATGAATGGGGCACTTAGGATGCAGAGGGCGGGGGGCAGTTTCCTTCCTGATCGCAGCCTACTTGTCCCTGCAGGGCTGGGGTGGGGCTGGCACTTTCAGGCCCCCAGCTGTGAACATGAGGGGTCTGCCCACAGGTTTCAGGGCTGTGGGCCTGGCTGAGGTCAGGAAGTAGCTTTGGTGAACCAAGGTCTCCCGCCTGAGTGTGTGGCCCAAGGCCTTGTGGCAGCCTCAGACAAGGACCCAACCCCAGCCTGTGCTCCAAGGAAGCCTAGAGAGTAGCAGGATCCGCCAGGGTGGGTGCTCAGGGGGAGGGCTCCATCCCCCCAGGACTTCTCCTACGATGAGTCAAAAGTGGAATTTGACGTGGATGCGCCCAGTGGGGTGGTGATGGAGGGCTACCTCTTCAAGAGGGCCAGCAACGCCTTCAAGACCTGGAACCGGTGAGGGGCCTTCCTGGGGGGCAGGAGTCACAGCAGTCCTGGGGTGGCTCTGCCTGACTCCCTGAGTCCCCCCACCCACCTAGGCGCTGGTTCTCCATTCAGAACAGCCAGCTGGTCTACCAGAAGAAGCTCAAGGTATGCCCTGGGCCTGGGCCCTGATGGCTGGACGCCCCACCTGGGCCACAGGGCAGACTGGTCAGTTGGGGTTGGCATGGGGCTGGAGCACCAGTGGACACCGGAGGCTGAACAGTCAGGGAGCAGAGAGCTGGAGATGGGGCTTGGGCGCTTGGCCCCCGGTCTCTAAGGCAAAGCAGGAAGGGGGCAGTCTGGGCTGGGGTAGGGGCTGAGGGCAGGGGCCACAGCAGTGCTGCCTACAGGACGCGCTGACCGTGGTTGTGGATGACCTCCGCCTGTGCTCCGTGAAGCCCTGTGAGGACATTGAGCGCAGGTTCTGCTTCGAGGTCGTGTCACCCACCAAGTGAGGAGGCCTAGCCCGGGGAGGGGGCCGTGGGGGGCGCGCCTGCCCACTGGAGTTGACGCCTGCTCCCCCCACCAACCTGCAGGAGCTGCATGCTGCAGGCCGACTCCGAGAAGCTGAGGCAGGCCTGGGTGCAGGCTGTGCAGGCCAGTATCGCCTCTGCCTACCGAGAGAGCCCCGACAGCTGCTACAGCGAGGTGTGGCCCTCGGCGCTCTGCCTCATGCCCATCCACCTGCATGCCACCATGGATGGCCCCGCCCCATGCCTGTGCACACGCCTGCCACCGCAGATGGCTCCTGCCCCACCCCTGCTGGTGCACACGCCTGCGTGCCACTGCAGATGGCCTCTGCCCATGCCCATTCACATGCCTGCCATCGTGGATGGCTCCTGTGGGCAGTGTGCTGCCTGTGCAGTGTGGGTGTGCATGTGTGTATGCGCAGTCTCTGCCCGTGGGAGGGTATGCATGTGCTTGTGGAGATGTGTGCTGGCGGGGAGGGCCCTGGCCTGCGCTGGCACTTCCGGCTGGGGAGGGGCGCTGCTGGGGGAACCACGATGGCCCCTTGTGGGACCGAGCAGCCCCACCCCATCCCTCAGAGGCTGGACCGCACAGCATCCCCGTCCACGAGCAGCATCGACTCCGCCACCGACCCTCGGGAGCGCAGCGTGAAGGGTGAGAGTGTGCTGCAGCGCGTGCAGAGCGTGGCTGGCAACAGCCAGTGTGGTGACTGCGGCCAGCCAGACCCCCGCTGGGCTAGCATCAACCTGGGTGTGCTGCTCTGCATCGAATGCTCGGGCATCCACAGGTGGGTCCCTGAGGGTTGGGCTGGGATGGAGGGTTGGGCGGGCTGGGGGCTTTGCCTCGTCCTGACTCATCCCTGCCTCTGCCCTCTAGGAGCCTGGGTGTCCACTGCTCCAAGGTCCGGTCCCTGACACTGGACTCGTGGGAGCCAGAGCTTCTAAAGGTGGGCGTGGGACTCCTGAAGGCCATGGGACCCCCTTTGTGGGGACGGGAGCTGGGATCTGCAGGTTTGCACTGATGCCCGCTCACCCTGTCTCCCACCAGCTGATGTGTGAGCTTGGAAACAGCACTGTGAACCAGATCTACGAGGCCCAGTTTGAGGGCACAGGCAGCAGGAAGCCCAGCGCCAGCAGCCCCCGGTGAGGTGGGGTGCAGTCCAGATCATCGGGGAGTCCCAGCCTGGGGGCATAGCCTCATGTTTACCCCTGGTCCAGGCAGGACAAGGAGGCCTGGATCAAGGACAAATACGTGGAAAAGAAATTTCTGCGGAAGGCACCTGTGGTGCCAGCCCGGGAGGCCCCAAGACGCTGGAGGGCGCAGAAGTGCCTGCGGCCCCATAGCTCTCCCCGCGCCCCTGCTGCCCGCCGCAAGGTCCGGCTTGAGCCCGCCCTGCCCTGTGTGGCCGCTCTGTCCTCAGGTGGGAGGCTGTGCCCCACAGGGCTGGGAGGGGCTTGCTTCAGTGGGGGATGGACTCTGTTGAGGTGCTGGGCAGGGACTCTGTGGGTGAGCTGGGGTTCCCTGCCCCAATTTGCCCATTCCCCGCTCTGAGCACATGGCTGCCCCTGCAGTGGGCACCCTGGAGCACAGGTTCCGCCGGGACTCTCTCTTCTGCCCTGACGAGCTGGACTCCCTCTTCTCCTACTTCGACGCAGGGGCCGCGGGGGCTGGCCCTCGCAGTAAGTGTGGGGTGGGCCAGCCAGGTGGCAGGGCAGGGCCAGGGAGGCTAGCCTGGAGGGTGCCTAGGCGTGGACGGCCCTTGCTGGGGAATGGAGCAGCATCTGGATGGGTGGGGGGCCTCCTGGCCACAGAGCTGGAGACTGAGGCCCTGTCGGGGGTGAGCTGTGCAAATGTGCATGTGAGCTGTGTGTGCCCAGTGTGGGCATGGAGCGGGTGGCCCTGGGGTGCTGGGCAGCAGAAGGTGCTGCTGGCTGGCCCTCAGCCTGGGGCCCTTCTGAGGCCATGCTGCCCGGCAGTTGGGTGGAGACCTTTCAGCCTGGGCCAGCCACAGACAGGGCTGGGGGCACACTGCAGAGAATGCTGGGTGAGCTCCAGTGAGACCACCTGAGTGGCGAGCAGGAGGGGCGGGCTTCCCGGTGGGCCTGGGCTTTGGGAGCTACCCCTGGTGCCTTTGAGCTGTTACTTGGTTTTTTTATTCTTTGCTCCTAGCCTGCAGCTGGCTCCTCCCAACCCCGGGTGGGAGCCAGTCTTGTCCCTAGGGGTGGCCCCTGGAGGGTGAATGGGGTTCCAGCCTTGCTGGGTTCTGGGTGGAGTCCAGCCTCCCACACTCAGGACTACCTTCCCTGTGGATCTGCAGGTCTGAGCAGCGACAGTGGCCTTGGGGGCAGTTCAGATGGCAGCTCAGATGTCCTGGCTTTTGGCGCGGGTTCCGTGGTGGACAGCGTCACTGAGGAGGGTGGGTGGCGCCTTGCCCTTGGCCCCTGCCCAGCCCTGGGGCAGCCCCAGGGAGGTCGCCTTCCCTTACCGCCCCCTCCCCACAGAGGGCGTGGAGTCGGAGGAGTCCAGCGGCGAGGCGGATGGGGACGCTGAGGCCGAGGCCTGGGGCCTGGCGGACGTGCGCGAGCTGCACCCGGGGCTCTTGGCACACCGTGCGGCGCGGGCCCGCGACCTTCCCGCACTGGCAGCGGCGCTGGCCCACGGGGCTGAGGTCAACTGGGCGGACGCAGAGAACGAGGGCAAGACGACGCTGGTGCAGGCCGTGCTAGGGGTGAGCAAGGCACGGGCACTGCGCGGACACAGGTGCACACTCGCGTTTGCATCTTCTGTGGCTCCCACACGAGGGCCGCCTGTCCGCCGTGGGGACCAGGTTCGGTCCCGGCTGGGGCGCCCAAGGCCGGGGTCGGGGTGCAGAGGCGCTGCGAGGGGCCGGTATCACGGCTCCGTCTGAGTAGCTCCAGCTCCCCAGGGCTCCTTGATTGTCTGTGAGTTCCTGCTGCAAAACGGAGCGGACGTGAACCAAAGAGACAGCCGGGGCCGGGCACCGCTGCACCACGCCACGCTGCTGGGCCGCACAGGGTGAGGCGCGCAGCTCCCGCCCCGCCCGGACACGTCCCCCCGCGATGGCGCACACCCCGCCCTCCCCACTCAAGCCGCGCCCGCGAGCGCGTACGCCCCGCCCTACGAGCACACACGCCCCGTCCCCAGACACGCCCCTCGACCGCCCACGCTTCGCCCTCTCCGCGTAAGCCGCGACGCGCCCCTCTGCCTTCGCCCCTCAGCCAGGTCTGCCTGTTCCTGAAGCGGGGCGCGGACCAGCACGCACTGGACCAAGAGCAGCGTGACCCGTTGGCCATCGCGGTGCAGGCGGCCAATGCCGACATCGTGACGCTGTGAGTGAGGACGGGCCCTCGGGGCGGAGCTTCAGGGGGTGGGCGGGGATTCGGGGAGCTGGGCCTGTGGGGCGGGCTTCCGGTGCGGTGCCTTCAGGGCGGGGTGGGCTTCCGGGGGCGGGGCTTCCAGGGCGGGGCCGTTTCACCCTGCACCTCCCCGCAGGCTCCGTCTGGCTCGCATGGCTGAGGAAATGCGGGAGGCCGAGGCTGTCCCCGGCCCCCCAGGCGCCCTGGCAGGCAGCAGCCCCACGGAGCTCCAGTTCCGCAGGTGCATCCAGGAGTTCATCAGCCTCCACCTGGAGGAGAGCTAGGACCGGGCAGGCCGGGCAGTTGCCGCCCCGCCCGGCCCGAAGCCCCCCGCGCCCACCTGGCTGCGGCCTTGCCTGTGTCCCGCGGGCCAATGCCCCACAGACCCAGTGCCGGGGTGCTTCGGGCCCCGCTCTCCCAGGAGGAGGGCGAAGCCCCAGCACTGAGTCTCTTGGAGCTTCACGTTTCCCTGGGGGTGTTGCATTGTCGGGTGCCCCTGACCCCACCTGGGGAACCTCTGTCTTCAGGTCACCCCTTTTCGGAGGCCTGGGTTGCTCATGTCACAAGCCACTCTTGAGGCCCGTGTCACCTGTGTCCCCTGTCCTCAGGGCCTGTCACTTAGTGCCCCACTTCTGCCCAGAACACTGACCTGCTAGCTGGGTCCCTCCTGCATACCCCAGAGCCCCTCCCAGGGCAGAAGGGGTGGCCAATCCAGGGAACCAACGAGTACCTCACTTAGTGACCCCAGCATTCAGGCTGGTGTCACGGGTGCTGGGCAGAGGGGCTCTGGCCTAGGTCCTCAGCCCTGGCTGGACGCAGGCGTCCCAAGGTCACGTGGCTGGCCATGAAGGTCCTCGTGCCAGACTGCCCCAGCACGTCCCTGCCTCCTCTGGAGGCCCTTTCTCCCGGTACTCACCTAGAGCCTGTGCATAAAGCCACTTTGCCACTTTCCACCCAGAAAATCTTAGTTCTTTGTATCGGATCGAGGGGGTTTTCTACAGACCTTGTCTGTCTTGCGTCTTTTGTCTGTGGACTCTTGAGGACACCTCAGCCCCAGCCCTGCCCCTGGCCAGCCTCACCCTTGGGTCCAGGGGTCCCTCAGCTCATTTTGCAGGGGTTGCCAATGCCTTCACGCACCCCTTCCCCGGAGAGGTGCAGGGAGGCGGAGCTTCCCCAACTCCGCCCATGTCAGGTTAAGGCCGGTTGGCTGGTCACTATGCAATGCTGCCCTGGGGAGGCTCCATGAGGGCACAGTGGGTGCTGGGCCTGGACCCCCAACTCCCTTGCCTGCTGCCTGTGACCCTGAAGAACAGAATTGACTCTTGCCCCTCCCTGCGTGAGCTTGGCCCTGCCTCCTGCCCAGGGCCCCTGCTGAGTGGGTCTCCCCCACCTCGCTGTGAATAAACCGCTTCACCCAGCACCTGCTCCTTGGCTCCAGTGCCTCGCTCTGCTCTGTCTCTGGGGAGGTTCTGCGTGCCCTGCCCTCCCTGAGGGGCGGTCCTGAGCCGGCCGGCCCTTCACCCAAAGGGATGCAAGTCAGACTCCCACAGGTCCCAGGGGGTCTGTCTGATGGGAGCCTGGGGGTTTTGACAAAATCTGGCTCCTGACACCCCTGGCCCACATTGTCTTGCTCTTCTACCCTTCTGTGTCCTAGACTGCATTCCCTGGTGGGAAGAGGGGTGGATGTGAACCAGTGAGGCCAGGCTGGGGCTGCTCCTGTCCCGGGCCCTCTGCCCAGGGTGGCTGCTGCGGCCACAGGTGCGGTCAGGGTTTCAGTTTCCCTGGCACGGGGTTGCTGGAGAGGCGCACAGGCACACACTGGCCACCAGGTGCAGTCAGCAGCTTTATTTCAGAGCAGCCCGAGCCACCGTGTGTGTCCTTGGGCGCCCCCTGCCTTCTGCCTCCACAGAAGCTGTGGCTGAGGTGGCAACACCTGACACACGCACATGGGCACATCAGACGTGTGGACAGGCAGACACAGACACGCACACGGGCATGTCAGATGTGTGGACACAGAGATGGGCACGCCAGACGTGTGGACACGCAGAGACAGACATGCACATGGGTGCATCAGACATGTGGACACAAACGTAGGTGCGTCAGACGTGGACATGCAGAGACACAGACGCACACGGGCGCATCAGACGTGGACATTCAGAGACAGACATGCACACAGGCGCGTCAGATGTGTGGACACACAGGCAGACCGGTAGGTGCGTCAGACATTTGGACACGCAGAAACACAGACATGCACACGGGTGCACCACTGCACGTCAGTACCTCCAGCTGCACTCGTGCACATGGGAAACCCCCCTCTGCCCTGGGCCTCCTGGAGACCCAACCCAAGCAGGGTGGGTGGTTGGTCGGAGGCCCTGACATGTCCGGCGCCTGCCTGCCCACGGGCCACGTGTGCTGCTCTAGCCGCTGGTCTGGGCAGCCAGGCAGCCTGTTTCCGCCACAGCTCCGAGGACCAGGCTAAGAGATGAGAGAGCCCTGGCGGGGCCGTTCAGGTGTTGGGTCTCAAGGGGCTGGGGCCTAGCCCAGCTCTCTTTGGTTGAGACTCTTGCCAGAGCCTGTGAAGCACCATCCATGGGAGATGAGGCCCGCTAGGCCCTGGATGGCTGACGTCCCACCTGCAGGTGTGGGCATCTGGCTGGCTTCTAGCTTGATGTTAGACAGCCCCGAGGCAGGGCGGGCCCTTGGCCAGGAGAACCACGCCTTGCGGAGTCTTCGGCCACCCAGCAGCAGGGTGAGGGCCGAAGCATCCAACAGCAGCTCTAGGAGCTCCAGGAGGGAGAGGACAGAGGCCCCAAACCACAGACTGCAGAGGCTGCCCATGGCGGAGAGCAGCTGCGGCACCTGCAGGGGGGTGGGAGCGTTAGGGGTGGGCCTGGGCCCCTGTGCCCCTTCTGTTTGGGGCCAGCCACTGGCTCTGCCCTATCCTGGCCCAGGCCGGGGGCAAGGCTCACCGAGTACAGGGGCGCTTCCTCCACTGAGCGGTAGTTGAGCTCCTGGTAGACAATGTTCATTTTGGCCAGGTTGCTCCTGGGGTGGGATAGAGGTGTGAGGGTGCTGGCCCAGACCTTCATGATGGGGGGTGGTGCAAGGGGAGAGAGGCTGGGATGCCCCCTTGTAGGGTGAGGTGCACCCACCTCTGCCCGTGGCTCTGACGTGGCAGTCCCTGCTCACCAAGTGCAGCCAGAGTCCAGTCCTGCACATGGAAGGTTTGCTGTGGCCACGGCTCCCCCATGCCCCCGGCTATCCTGGCACCATGGGTGGATGTGGGGGCAGAGACCACGGGGCATAGGCTGGGTCGGCCTGGTCCTCCTTGTCTTGGGTTCGCTCTGTGGGGCCTGCCTGGCTGTCCACACCATCACCCCACCCCTTTGGGCTCTTTGCGGACTTACAGCCGACTTGGCGGAAGGCCACCTGGAGGTCCCAGCAGAGACCTTGAATGCAGATTCCCTGGGAGAAACAGCCGGGTGTCACCTGCCACACTCCCTGGAGCAGGGACCCCTGGCCCTGACACCAACAGCCCCCTCTCACCTGCAGGGCCTGGGGCAGCGGGAGGCACAGGGGAGCTGGTGGGTCTCCAAGTCCTGGTAGAGGCGGTAGAAGCAGTGCCCTGGGGGAGAATCACAGGCACATGTGAGGCTCACCATGACCTCCCCTCGTGGCTGGCAGTGTGGGAGGCCATGGGCAGGACTCACCCCAGGCAGGGTGACGGGCTGAGCTGCAGTGCTCAGCCCCAGCCGGCAGCGGGTACAGGTAGTAACCGCAGGAGCAGGTCTCCACCATCTGCTGCTGGAAGCAGGACATCAGGCAGGCCTGGGGACACAGAGGTTGGAGCGGGGACATTGGGGGAGGAAGCAGAGATGGGGCACAGAGCCGGGACGTGGGATGGAGTGGAGAGCGGGGGCATAGCAGGGACGTGGGATGGAGTGGAGATGGGGAACAGAGCCGGGACACGGGGGACAGAGCGGGAGCCTCCATGGAGACTGCCTCCTCCGGGATCCTCCGGGACCCCAGTCTCCCCCATGCCCTGCAACAGTGCATCCCACCAGCCCAGCCTCACCTGCCTGGTGTAGGAGGCGTTGTGCAGCAGTTGCACCTCCACGCCCTCCCCACCTGCAGTGCAGTGGCCGTAAGGGTCCCCGAGCCGGTGCACCTCGTCCTGGGAGAGACACTTCAGTTCCAGGGGTCCTGCCCTGAGGCCCTGCCCCCACCCCCCAAAGCCCAAGCTGGGCTGGAGGCCAGGCTTCAGAGGCCAGTGCACCTCTCGGATGCTGATGGTGGTCTCTGTCCCTGGCCGGATGCTGAAGCTGTGGTGCTCCAGGAAGGGCATGTGGTTGTGGCTGTGGACCATGACCTTGATGCCAGCTTGTGTGGACAGCAAGGGGAGGTGGGCCTGCTGCTCAACTCTGAGGACGAGGCCAATTCCTGGGAGGCCAAGGGCTGGTGTGAGGCCACCTGACCTGCACACCTGCCCCAACATCGGCCATGGACTGGCACTCACCGTGGGTGATGCCGGGGTGCTGGGCTGTCCAGATGCCATCAATGGTGTAGCAGCTGCCATGGGTGGGGTGGTGGAAGGTCCGGAACTGCCTGGAATGTGAAGCCAAGCTCAGACCCTGAATGCCAGCCACCCGCCACCCATCATGCACCGCCTGAGAGGCCATGGCCTGCCCTGTCTCTGCAGAAAGCTGCTCGTGGCCAGCCTTGGGCAGCTCCCAGCATTCAGCCAGAGGGACCCCAGGGGTGTGGCCATGCTGTGCGGGGTGGGAAGGAGGGAGTGGCCCCCTTCTGCTACACTCACCGGTCCTGGCAGTCCTTGTTGTCGTAACTGCAGGAAAGGACAAAGTGGCCATCATGGCTCCTGTGGCTCCCGTGGCTGTCCTCCCACGCCACAGGCAGCAGGGCAAGAATGTCCATATAGTGGAAGTGGTACCAGTCCCGAATGGCCGCCACGCCTGACGAGTAGCTGCGGTAGAAGCAGTCACTGCCCGTGCTGTTGCACTGGAGGAAGGGAGGGGAGGTCGATTCTGTGGCCACAGCCTGGGGTGTGCTTCCGACTCAGGCTCCAGCAACCTGAGGTGCGCTCTCCACTCAGTGCACCAGCGGCCTGGGATGCGCTCCCCACTCAGGCTTCAGCAGCCCTGGGTGCACTTCCCACTTGAGGCTGCAGCCCTGCACCAGCAGTCCAGGGAAGCGCTCCCAGCTTGAGGCCCTGATGGCTACAGGCCCTGGCTGGGACACTCACCAGTCTGAACCCTACTCTGATTCGGCTGCCCAAGTGGCTCAGCCTCTGCAGACGGATCTCCCTGTCCAGGTGGAAGCGGGGATCAAGGCGGGAAATGGTGGCAGCGAGGGTGTCTCTCCCTCTGCTGAAGTTGACCTTGTACAAGGAGTGGATGTTCTCCTGGGCGAACTCGTCCAGCACCTCCAGATGGTGGAGTACTGGACTCGGCCTGGAAAGCAGGGCCAAGGAGTCAGAGCTGCCGGCCCAGGGGGCCCACACTGGTCACCCAGATCACTGGCTGACGGCTGCTGTGTGGCCCCAGCATTCCAGTGTGTGCCGCCCGACAGCAGCGCCTCCCCACTCAGGACGTCCAGCAGGGTGAGCTGGACGTGGAGCTGGAGTTGGAGGCAGTGGCTGCTGGTGAGGTTGCCCGGGAGCCTCACACGCTCACGGGGCCTCCCATCTTCCCTCCCGGAAAGCCTCAGCCTCCCCCACCTCCCCTCCCAGGCTCCTGAGGGCCTGGGTGTCCTTCTAGGGTGGCACTGATCACACCAAGTCCCCTCCTCGGCGGTCTGAGAGGTCCTGGCTGGGCACAGAGGTTTGGGGAGGTGAGGTCATGGTGACTGGGCTATGTGAGCCAGCAGGGCTTCAGTCAGAGATGGTCACAGGCCACAGGAGCTGGGGTGGCTGCCTCCCGCTGACAGCCCCAGCCCTCACCGGCGTGGGTTCCCGTTGCACAGGGTGACCAGGGGGAGCAGCTTTCGCTCCGAGTGCACAGAGATGGCCATGAGGACCGGGCGGAGCCAGTGGTGCTGGAAGAGGAGCCCGAGCTGCCAGCACAGCGCTACCAGGGCACCCAGGAACAGCAGCGCCCAGGACATCGTCTTGAGGCGGTTCCCACTGGAGCAGACCAGGCGGATGGCGCCATGGATGGTGGCATTGGTGCAGAAGAAGGTGAACAGCTCCCGGAACGAGGCGGGCAGCTCCACCAGCCCCTCCTGGTGCCCCTCCTCGTGCCCTTCCTCGGGTGGTGGCGTTGGCAGTGATGATGGCCCAGGCCCAGGGGGTGTCTGTGCTCCAGGCTGCATGCAAAGAGCGGCCTCAGCAGGGCACAGCCTGCAGCCACCCAGGCTGCCCCACCCCCCGCCCGAGCCTGTCATGTCCCTCAGCCCCCAGTGCCTGGCCCCGCCTGCTCTGACGCTCTGATAGGCCCCTCTGGGTGCTCCCACACTGCACCCCTGCTTCTCCCCAGACACTCAGCGCCCACCCCGGCACATCTCAGTGTGGCCTTGGAGCTGAGTCTGGGTGGCGGGGGCAGCAGGACTCAGGGAACAGGGTGTCCAGGCCCTGCCTGGCCCAGTCTGCGGGCAGCCTTGTGCTGGGTGGGTCTGTGCTGGCGTCCCTCCAGGCGGCGGGGCCTCTAGGGAGCCACAGGCCAGGTGACCCACAGAAGAGGTAGGGATTGTGGTGTATCCATGAGCCCAGCTGTGGGTTCCCAGGCCAGGCCCAGGGTCCAGTGCCCGCAGCCAGCACGGGAAGGGGGCACAGGCGGCAGACGTGCTCTGATTCCCACTGCACTGGCTCCCGCCGCATTTCACGTGTCCTGTCTTGGTCTGCTTCAGTGAGGCCTCCCATGCCCAGGTAGCCTGCTGCACTTCAGCCTGGCCCACTGCCCAGCCCGCTCTGAGGTACTCTGGGGAGGTGCTGGAGCGAGCCAGAACCTCGGGGCCAGGGGACACCAGGTGAGGGCGGCTCCCCGCAGGTGTGTGGGCCTCACATGCCTCCAGGCAGCCAGGCCAGGAGTTCTACCACCAGGCACAGGGCCCCACTCGCCCCGAGTCCCCACGGCTGGGCTGAGCCTCAATGCACGGTGCAGGGAGACTGAGGCTCAAAGTGTCTTTCGTTGTTTCTCTTCCCCGTGAGATGGAGTCTTGCTCTTTACCCAGGCTGGAGCGCAATGGCACAATCTCAGCTCACTGCAACCTCCGCCTCTCAGGTTCAAGCAATTCTCCTGCCTCAGCCTCCTGAGTAGCTGGGATAACAGGCACCCACAACCATGCCTGGCTAATTTTTGTATTTTTAGTAGAAAAATACAAAATTTTCTACTAAAATTTTCTATCATTTCATGATCCGCCCACCTCAGCCCCCAAAAGTGCTGGGGTTACAGGTATGGTCAGAAGGGTCTTTCTAGGCCAGGTGCAGTGGCTCAAGCCTGTAATCCCAGCACTTTGGGAGGCCAAGGCGGGTGGATCACAAGGTCAAGAGATCGAGACCATCCTGGTCAATATGGTGAAACCCTGTCTCTACTAAAAATACAAAAAATTAGCTGGGCGTGGTGGCACGTGCCTGTAATCCCAGCTACTCAGGAGGCTGAGACAGAATTGCCTGAACCAGGAGGCGGAGGTTGCGGTGAGCCGAGATCGCACCATTGCACTCCAGTCTGGGTAACAAGATCGAAACTCTGTCTCAAAAAAAAAAAAAAAAAAAAAAGAAGGGTCTTTTGGACTCATTTCCACTCTACCTGCTGCACAGACGGGACAGCCCCTTCCCCCCAGCTGGGGCTGCCAGGCCAGGAGAAGCAGGAGCTCTGGAGAGGGGTCTAGGGGGCCAGTCAGGGCCCCCAGGGTTTCTGAGATTCAGCAAGTCCTGGACCCCGTTCAGTGAGGAGCCAGACCCCACCCTGCGTGGGCTGTGTGCCCTCCTGCCTGCATCCTGCGTGCGTGCATTTGTGTTTGCGTGTGTGGATGTGTGAGATAGGATCACTGGCCTCTCCACCCCGCACCGTCTGGCTCTGTGCCGAGCTGTGTGGCCAACACGTGTTCACATGTGGACATCCTGTGGGGCATGTGGCGCCTTGACAGGTGTGGTATCTGCTGTGTTCTTCAGGGGTCTGTCTAGCACACACTATGTGCCCCAATGGGACCAGTCCCTTTCAGGATAAGGAGGCCCTCAGGGATGACCTGTCCCATGGCCACAAAGTGGCCTTGTTCCTGGTGGCACATGGGGCCAGGCATGGGAAGGAGACCCCCCACCCAGCTCCTGGTTCCTCAAGGCAGGAGCCCCCCCGACCCCAACACTCCCCACAGTTCCTCCAGGCAGGAACCCCCACCCACCCCAACCACCCCCTCCACTGTACCTCAAGGTGGGAACCCTCCCAAACCCCCATGTTTCCTCTAGGCGGAAGCCCCCACCCACCCCAACACCCCCTCCATGGTACCTCCAGGCAGGAACCCTCCCAACACTCCCACGGTTCCTCGAGGAGCTCCTAACCCCCCAATGCCCCCAGTACCTTGAGGCAGGAGCCCCCACTCCCTCAGCCCCACCCACAGTACCTTGAGGTGGGAGCCCCCCTGTGCGGCTACTTCCATTCTCCCACCTGAGCTGCCGAGCTCAGCCACTGCAGGGGTGGCTGGCAGCTCTGGAGCAGGATGCAGCCTGAGGCCGGTGGGGCAGCCTCCTATTTAACACAGGCCACTGGGCGTGGGGCCATGCTGCAGGCAGGGGAGGGCCCGGCCAGGGCAGCCACACCTGCTCCAGACCCAGAAGGGGAATTCCTGGGGGACAGAGATGCCCATCCCTCTGCCGGGTGAGGATTTCCCATCCTGAGCCTTGCAGGGGAGGCCTGGGGTCCTGACCCTGGCTGAGAGTAAGGGGTGGCAGCTTATGGAGAGGAGGGCAGTGTGGGGCTGAGACCCCCTGGGAAGCCACATCTTTCTCTGCTGGCTCCTGGAACTCAGATCCTGGGCTGTCATGGACTCCTAGCACTCCCTCCCTTCCCTTCCTGCTCCCCTCCTGTAGCTCTGACCACAGGAGTGTGTGGCTGATGGACACTGGGTGGGGACCTCAGCTCCCAGACCCATGCATCTCTCAGGACCAGCCACCCAGCCTTTGGGACAGGTGCTAGCATGGGAACCACCATGGGCCTGGGTGTGGAGACGGCACCTGCTCCTCTGAGTGGGTGCAGGGGCTCGTCCTCACTGCTGGACACTACGGCCACCACCAACCACACCACACACTGAGATGACATGTCACAAGCTGAGATGACACGTCACACTGAGATGACGGGTCATGTGCTGAGATGACACGCCACATGCTGAGGTGACCTGTCACACACTGAGGTGACACGTCACGCTGAGATGACATGTCACAGAGATGACACATCACGTGCTGAGATGACGCGTCACGTGCTGAGATGACATGTCACACGCTGAGATGACACGTCATGTGCTGAGATGACATGCCGCACTCTGAGATGACGTGCCACACTCTGAGATGACGTGCCACATGCTGAGATGACATGTCACACGCTGAGATGACATGCCACATGCTAAGGGCACAGCACACTTTCAGTCCACACCCACACCACACACACCAAAATGCCAGCACACATGAAGGGGATTCACCACATGCTAAGACCCCACGCACGCTAAGACCACATGCTGCCCTGAGTCCAAGTTAGTGTCCTAGGCTGATGTCTCCAGCCCCAGTCCAGTCATGTGGGGAAGGCAGCTGTCCCTGTCCCCTGAGATGCCCCATCCCTGTCTCTATTGTGGGACCCTATATGTCCAAGCGGCCTCACCATCCCGAATGGCCAGACCCCGGCCAGGCCCAGGTCGGAAGGGGGGGCTCTGCATTTCTGAGGCCCTGTCCTGAGTGGTACTAAGTCCCTGGGCTTGGCAGACCATGGCTCTGAGGAGGGTGAGGTCACCTGCCTGCCAGTTCTGCAAGGAAGCCGCTGCCACCGGTGATGTCCCGAGAGGGAAGTCATGTGGAGTCACCTGGGCCTGTGCAAGTCACAGCCCCGTCACAGCTGTGTGGCCTTCCCGGGTTACTCAACCTCTCTGAGCTGATTTCCTCAAGTGCCAGATGGGACTGGGGCACATCTCCACTCTCGTGACTGGGCTAGCTGATGTTACGGAGACCCCACAGGCCAGTGGCAGGGCCCCCGGACACAGCACAGGCCTGTGGCATCTCCCCCACCACATCTGGATGGCTTTGCTGCCAAGGAGAGGGACACCCACAGCCTGGGGGCTACTTGGCAGCCAGGGGCAAGACCCTAGACGCCTGCCGGTAATTTTGGCTGGAAGCGGCTTGTGCTTTGCTGCATCCCTGGAAGTGGCCTGGTGGAGAGCCCAGCCTTGATGCAGGGTGCAGAGAGGGAAGGAGCTCAGGTCTGGCCAGAGGGGCCCAGGCCAGCCAAAGGGCAACTTGCAGGGAGCAAGGCCCAGGCTTCCTGTGGGAGGGGAGCCCTGGCTGGAGGAGGGTGCAGCTTCAACTGCCTGTGTCCTGCGGGGCCTGAGTCTGAGTGCATCTTGGCTGGACCACGGAGCTCCTGGCTCCACTCCTCTCCCTCCTCCCCAGGGAAGCCCTTGAAGGCCTGAGGTTCAGTTACCCACACCCTGTATCAGGACGGAGAGGAGGCAGAGGAGGTGGCCACAGAACATATATCCAGTGCTGGTGAAGCTAGACGGTCTTTCCCTCTCTTCTGGCCATCCCCTTCTTGGCCCTGTGCAGCGGGTATAGGGGGTGGGGAGCGGTGAACCCAGTCCCTGGCCCATGGGGCTTCTGTGGTCACTGCACCATGGCTGTGTGAGCCTGAATGAGAGAAGGGACAGGCCAGCACCCCTGGCTCCCGTCAGCCCTGCACCTCTGCTCTCTCCCAGGAAGGATGGCCAGGCCACATTTACTGAGCATGGCTGTGAGCTCACCCCGTCGGGCTGCTGTGGTGGCCGGGCCACAGGTAACAAGGAGCCATGTTGCCTCCCATGCCAGCGCTGCCCTGGAGACTACAGGCACCTGTTGACCCCAGGTGGGAACTCCTACTGCAGAGCCCAGTTTCCTCTCTTGGGGAGGAAAAATCATAAATCATAAAGTGTACTAAGAACTCTCTGTGAAGCCCTATCCTATGCAGCTATTAGACATGCCATGCTTACAGGCACATAGTATATTCTATATCCTTGTATTTTAACCGAGATATCTCTGCTGGATGTGCTCACAGGCATGTCCCAGCTCTCCATTGCTTTTACCTGTTTTTGTTAGCCAATTGGGTTTTAGTTTAGATTGTGAGGTCTGGCTCCAGCCAACGGAGATCAGACACAGCAGTAAGGGCAACCCCAAATGTGTAAGGGATAAATTTGTGTGTTTTCCTTTGTTCATTGTACTCTCATGGCACAATGGCTAATGAGCGTACCCTTCCTGCAGTCCAGGAAGTAAAAATAGCGTTGCTGAAAGATCCTTTGTCTCAGTGCTATTTTTTCTTTGCAGCACCAAGCATCTATTTCCAATAAGGGCAATTTACTGAGGCCTGGGACCTTCCCACAGAATCCCTGCTCTCCCAAAATCTGGCTGAGATCTCAAGTTTATTTTGCTGTACAGCTCCTTTTCTGGAGCTTTACTTGCTTCCAACAAGGAAGGCAAGTTTTCCTGCTTCTATGACAATGGAAAGGCTGGCAGTGTCTGGAGTTTGAGCTCACAGCCAACAGGGAAGGTGAGTTTGAATTTTATTTCCTATTTCTAGGATGGTAGACAGCAGGCTTGAATGGGGCACCATTCCTAGGTAAGTAGCTGAATTGGGATTTTTGTCTTGGAAATTTTCCTTAATGACTAAAAATTGACGACTAGCTGGTTTTCTTTTTTTTCCAGATGGAATCTTGCTCTGTCATCCAGGCTGGAGTTCAGCGGCACAATCTTATCTCACTACAACCACCATCTCCTGGGTTCAAACGATTCTCCTGTCTCAGCCTCCTGAGTAGCTGGGACCACAGGTACCCACTGCCACGCTTGACTATTTTTTTTTTTTTTTTAGTAGAGATGGTGTTTCACCTTGTTGGCCAGGCTGGTCTTGAACTCCTGACCTCAGGTGATCTGCCTGCCTTGGCCTCCCAAAATGTTGCAATTACAGGTGTGAACCACCGCACCTGGCAAATTGCCTTTTTCTTAATACAAGGAGAATGAACCCCTTTTGGGCCCCCTTACTGCTGTGTCTGATCTCCGTTGGCTGGAGCCAGACCTCACAATCTAAACTAAAACCCAATTGGCTAACAAAAACAGGTAAAAGCAATGGAGAGCTGGGACATGCCTGTGAGCACATCCAGCAGAGATATCTCGGTTAAAATACAAGGATATAGAATATACTATGTGCCTGTAAGTGCCCGTAGGAAGTGCATTCCTACGGGTCTTCACTGTTGCTTTTTCTCCCAAAATTAAGCCATCTGGCTTGTCTGTGCACTTGCAGGAGGAACTGAATTGTTGTTTTCATAGATAAATGAGGGAATGAGTTTTCTCAGATCTGAAAAGAAGGGCATTTTGCGTCTCCCAGCTGAGAGGTGCCCCAGGTGACTGGGAAACAAGTGGGAGAGTCTTGGGGTCTGATCCCCTGTGATGTGCAGCAGCCCTACAGGGAATCCCCAACACAATTAGTTTAAAAAGTCTTGTCCAGGAAACGCACGTAGGAGCTGTCACTCTGGGGTTTTGAGTCCTCTTGGAGGTGTTGGACTTCCAGAGAGAGAAACTGAGACACGTAAGAGGGCAAAAGATGACACCGTGGTGACTCACTGTGGAGTCCCGCCCACAACCAGCACACTTCCACTGCCCCGCTGAACCCGGGGACACAGCTTAGCGCCTCCTTCTGAGGAAAAAAAAAAGTGGGAAATAAATCATCTAAGACTCAGGAAAGACAAGAGAATGGCCCCCTTTCGGGCACCTTGCTGGTTTTATGGTGCTGCTACTGGCAAGTGTTTGTATAAAACTGAAAATTTTGAGAGCATGCCAGGTTTCTTAGGGCCTGGCTGGTTCCATATTATGGTCTTTCTGACATATTTTAAACTGATGGGCAAATTCCATCCAGGAAGCATTCAGAGCCCAAAGGTCAGCCTGCAACTCCAGAACTATAGAGTTGCTGGCTGGGCGAAGTGGCTCACGCCTGTAATCCCAGCACTTTGGGAGGCCAAGGCAGGTGGATCACCTGAGGTCAGGAGTTCAAAACCAGCCTGGCCAACATGGTGAAACCCTGTCTCTACAAAAACACAAAAATTATCCGAGCATGGTGGCGCCTAGAACAAGGAAATAAGAGAGAGACCAAGAGAAGTTATAGATATAAAGAAGTATTTTTGTTAAGAAACGTTACAAGAAAAATACTTTTATCTGAGAAAGAATCTTGCATGGCGAATTTTTGTCCTAAAATAAATGACTAGGCTGGGTGTGGTGATTCACTCCTGTAATCCCAACATGTTGGGAGGCCAAGGTGGGAGGATCATGAGGTCAGGGGCTTGAGACCAGCCTGGCCAACATAGTGAAACCCTGTTTCTATTAAAAATACAACAATTAGTTGGGTATGGTTGTGCATGCCTGTAGTCCCAGCTACTCGGGGGGCTGGGGCAGGAGAATCATTTGAACCCGGGAGGCAGAGATTGTGGTGAGCTGAGATTGAGCCACTGCACTCCAGCTTGGGCATAGAGCAAGACACCATCTCAAAAAAGATAAATAAATAAATAAATAAATAAATTACTGGTTAAGAGAGATGTTCAGGACAAAGTAGAAAGTTCAAGCATGTCATAAATGGTCTGTGCAAGTTTAGTAAAAAAGGAATTTATAAAATTGTTACATGATAGATTGGTCATGGTGGCTCACGCCTGTTATCCCCCAGCACTTTGGAAGGCTGAGAAGGGTAGATCACTTGAGGTCAGGAGTTCAAGACCAGCCTGGCCAACAAGGTGAAACCCTGTCTACAAAAATACAAAAATTATCCAGGCATGGTGAAGCATGCCTGTAGTTCCAGCTGCTCAAGAGTCTGAGGCAGCAGACTCACTTGAACCTGGGAGGCAGAGGTTTCAGGGAGCCAAGATCATGCTATTGCACTCAAGCCTAGGCGATAGAATGAGACTCCATCTCAAAAAAAAAAAAATTGTTTTAAAGGGTAATGAATGCCGGTCCATGTCCATTCCTATCTGGCCTAGAAAATTTAATTGGCTGTAAATCTTTTGACTCTAAGTTCCTGGGTCATAGGGAGTCCCACGAAGAGACAGGATTGATCCAGGGCTGGCAGCCACACTAGCCCAGCAATCCTGTGGGACACAGTAAAGATGTGGTAGCCATTGATGTTGGCTTTGGCACATCTTGGCCAGAAGAGGGTGAATGTAAATAAAAAATGAAATTCTGGCTGGGCGCGGTGGCTCATGCCTATAATCCCAGCACTTTGGGAGTCCGAGGCAGGTGGATCACGAGGTCAAGAGATTGAGACAATCCTGGTCAACAAGGTGAAACCCATCTCTACTGAAAATACAAAAATTAGCTGCGCATGGTGGTGCACGCCTGTAGTCCCAGCTACTGGGGAGGCTGAGGCAGGAGAATTGCTTGAACCCAGGAGGCGGAGGTTGCGGTGAGCCGAGATTGCACCATTGCACTACAGTCTGGGTAACAACAGCGAAACTTGGTCTCAAAAAAAGAAAAGAAAAGAAATTCTAAGGCCCCCAACCTTCCAAATGGACCCCTCCTCCCAGCCACAGGCACTCCAGTGTTAACCTGTTAAACTTGTCCAGGCTGTGATGGGAAGGTGTTGTGGGTCATGCCTCATGCCTCTTCTCTTTTGGAATTTCAGGAAAAGCTGACCAGCATTCACATCAGCACAGGCCTGAAGTCTGATAGGAAACATTTACAATCTATTCTCTCTCAAGCCTACGACCTGAGGCTTCTGCTGCACAGAAAACCACGACCCCTTACGGCAACCCAGACATTTTTTTCCGCTGATAATAGCTTCTTCAACCAATTGTCAATCAGAAAAATGCTGAATCTACCAAGAACCTAGAAGTCCCCCCAAACCACCCCGCCTTCTCCTGCCCTTTCAGATTGAACCCATGTAAATAAATAATGTCTTCCTAAAATGTATAAAAGCAAGCTGGGCCACAGGCATCTTGGGCACCTGTTATCAGCACCTCCTGAGGCTGCCATGGGCATGTCCTTAACCTTGGCAAAACAAGCTTTCCAAAGGGACTCAGACCTGCCTCAGATGCTTTTGGGTTTGCACCCTCCAGGCTGGGTTTCTCTCTCCTTCAAGCCCTGGCCAGACAGTGCCTGCTGGTCAGAGGTAGCCAAGGCTTTCTGGTCCGACCCTGGGTGCCGGAGGAGGCGGCGGCAGGAGGTAGCAACTGGGTTGGGGATGATGTTTTCTTGGGACCCTAAAGCAGAGTGTCCCCCGCTGCCCAAGACGCTGGGTGGTCCCCGTTGTTCTGCCAGATGAAGCCCTCCTGAGGTCTGACCCACAGCAGAAGGGCGGCTCCTGGCCTCAGAGGACAGTCTCAGGGTTGAGAAGGTTACAGGTACCATCTACCACCAACTTAGCTGCTTGTGCCGTTCCCGCTGGCTAAGGCCATCAGGTCTACGGCTAGAGGCCTGGGCAGCCTGAGTCCTGCTTACCAGAAGGCCACAGATGTGGGTGGGTGGGGTAAGGGCCATGGTGGGGTCTTGGCAATACGTGCTGGCCACACCTGTCCCAGGTACCTTCCCTGGGGTGTGACTCAGCTGCGCTCCTGAGCAGAGGCCTCTGAGCTGAGCCTCATGCTGCAGCCTTCCTACCTGCAGGGACTCACAGGTATCTTCTCTTCACACTCATTGTTACTGAGGGACAGATGAGGCAGGGGCAGGCCTTGATCTGCCGTGGGCCACAGCCGTGAGTGTACACACAACTGGACCTGCTGGTGCCTGTATCTGCGGCCAGCATGGCTTCCCTTACATAACTTTCCATGCTGTAATAGCAGCTCGGCCTGCCCTGCATGGGAACGGCAGGGGCCTGAGAGGAGGCACAGGAAGGAGGCTTGACGCTGAGATGTTTTCTGAAGGTGGAGCTGGTGGCGGCAGGCGTGGAAGCAGGCTGGATTCCATGGGCTGAGGCCGCGTGGACACTCCTCCTGGCTTCTGCCCCAGGGCCTGCAGCAGTGTCTCAGACCTGCTAAGGTGTCCCGGAGGGGCAGAGTCGGGGCTGAGCATGGACGCCACCTGTCCTCTGCCCACAGCCACCGCGGGATGACCCTCAGTGTTCGGCCACCTTGCTGACCTGTGGTTGTCTCCGAGGGGCAGTCAGGATTGGGGTGAAGAAGGCCACGGGCGGTCGGGCGTGGTGGCTCAAGCCTGTAATCCCAGCACTTTGGGAGGCCGAGGCGGGTGGATCATGAGGTCAAAAGATCGAGACCATCCTGGTCAACATGGTGAAACCCCGTCTCTACTAAAAATACAAAAAATTAGCTGGGCATGGTGGCGCTGCCTGTAATTCCAGCTGCTCAAGAGGCTGAGACAGGAGAATTGCCTGAGCCCAGGAGGCGGAGGTTGCAGTGAGCAGAGATTGCGCCATTGCACTCCAGCCTGGGTAACAAGAGCGAAACTCCGTCTTGGGGGGGCGGGAAGAAGGCCAGGGGCAGCTTGGTGGTGAGGTCCACCTCCCGATCCCCCATCAAGGGATCACCCTCAGCTCCCCACTGTTCTCGGCTGCCTCTCAGGGAGGCGGTGGGCCGTGTGCCCGCCCCCAGCGTCCCATCCCAGCGCCCCACCACCTCCGCTCCCTCCCACTGCGTCTGGGGTCAGAGAGACAGGTGGAGAGGAGGCAGTGCCTAGTGCTTTCTGAAGTCTGGCCAGGGGGAGGCCAGGGGCGACCTGGGCTCGGTCAGGCACCTGAGGGGAGGGTGCTGGGGTGAGGGAGACCCGGGGCTGGGACGCGGGCGTGGGTTGCAAAGCGATCCCACGCGTGACATTCTCGAGTCCCTGAACGAGAGAGCTCTGAACTCCCTGGCGCCCAACCCTCCGCCCAGCCAGGCCTCCAGGGCTCCGGGACGCTTCACGCCCGGTCCGCGCAGCGCCTCCCCTGGGGCCGGCGAGAGCGGAGGACAAGGCGGGAGCCCGGAGCCGGGAGGCGGGAGGGTAGGGGTCCTTTCTCGGCCGGGGTCGCCTTCAGCCGGGCCTGCCGCCCTGGGCCGGGGCATTTAGAGAGGGGACGGCGCGGCCTCCTTATCCCGGACTCTCAGCACCCGCTCACGGCGCCGGGAGCCGCCCGTCAGTGCGCACGCGCCGACCCTTCCTTCCCCGGCGGGCGGCGACAGAGAGTCGTGGGCGCGGTCCGCCAGGCTGCCTAGAGCGGCCGCCCTGCCTCCGTGCCGCGAACCAGAAACGGAAGCGAAGCTGGCCCCGCCCCGCGAGCGGCCATTTTGGAGGCTGAGGCGGTGGAGGCGCAGCGGCGGGTTCGGTGGGCCCAGTCCCGGCGCGGTGCGGCTGTTTCGGGCGCGGGCCCCGCTCGTCCGCACCCTGCTCCGGCCTCGACCACGGCGAGCCTGAGCGCGGCGGCGGCCCACGCGCGGCGACAGGGAGAGGTGAGCGCGCTCTCAGGCCTGCGCCGGGTCCTCGGGCCCGCTCTCTACCCCGCCGGAGCCGGCCACGGCGGCGACCCGGGGCTGCGGGAGACCCTGCGCGACGCCCCTCAGTTCGCGCCGCCTCCCGCGGGGTCCGGTCCCGAGCTCTCCTGCCCGGAACCCGAGGTCGGTTACGGCGGGCGCCCGGAGCTCCGGGTCAGGGGCAGGTCGCGGACTCGGCCCCTCGGCCGCGACTCCCGCGAAAGCGAAAGGGCCCCTTGTCCGTTGGGACACTTGCCGCGGCCGCCAGGACGGGCAGCCTTGGTCCTGGTTGGTAAATGGATCCCGGGAGTCTGTCGGGGGAGGGCTGCCCCCGAACGCTGAAACCCCGAGACAACGAGCGTGCCCGGGACGGCGCTCAGGGCCGGTGCGGCTCCGCGCCGGCGGGCGGGGGAGAGACCCGGGCCTAGGACCCGGCCCTGAGCTGCGCGTCCTCCCCGCCTCTGGCCGGGTGTCACCTCCTGGCCTCCTTTTCAGTGCCTGCCACTTAGCGCGTGTGTATTTCACTCGAGGCCGGTTGCCAGCCTCTTGCCGGACCCAAAGAGGAAGCGGCCGAAAGGTCGGGTCTCTGCTCGGTGGAAGGACGGCGAGGAGCGCACGCAAGGCTCGGCTGGGCCTGGCCGGTGGCCCTGCGCCCTGCTCCAGGGGAACCTGCACGTGTAATCTGGCTTCCGGATAGAGGGTCGTGAGGACCTCGCTTAATCCAAAGTCCAGCCCCTGAGCCTAGGGCATGGTTGGGTCTGGGTGCCTGGAATCGCAGTCCGTCACTTGCGTGGCCTGGCACCCCTGACTTCCACTCTAGGCGGGGGCGTGCCTGAGTGACGGGCAGGTGAGCAGGGCAGGTGCGTGCATGAATGAGTGACAGGTGAATGTTCCGCCTCTACCGGCCGGGGCTCCCATCCTGTCTCCGGAGCAGTCCTGGTGGAGCAGAGACTTCCGTGGATTCCTGGGCCTAGGTGTGCCGCTCGCCCGGCCAATGGGTCAGGCCAACGTTTTCTGCCACATCCCCTAAGCAGGAAAGAGCTGTCCAGAGAAAGAGGGACAGGGTGACGCTGGGCAGCCACCACCTCATAGTGCCTGACACGGTTGCTCTCTGTGATTCACCTGCTTTAATGCTGTTTCCGTGTGTTAACTTTTTTTTCTGTGCCTTTTTGTTTTAAAATCATCAGCTCTTTCAGCAGGATGATACTATACACACGATGTCTCTTGTCTGTGAGACGTGTCTGAAGGGAACCTGAGACACATATGCTTCAAACTTGTTCTCAGAGTTTGCTTCCTTTGCGGATTTTTTTTTTTTTTTTTTTTTTTGAGGCAGGATCTTGCTCTCTTGCCCAGGCTGGAGTGCAGTGGTGTGATCTTAGCTCCCTGCAACCTCTGTCTCCTGAGTTCAAGTGATTCTCCCCCCTCAGCCTCCCGAGTAGCTGGAATTACAGGCACCTGCCACCACACTTGGCTAATTTTTTGTGTTTTTAGTAGAGATAGGGTTTCACCATGTTAGCCAGGCTGGTCTCCAACTCCTGACCTCAGGTGATCTGACCACCTTGGCCTCCCAAAGTGCCGGGATTACAGTCTTGAGCCACCATTCCCGGCCCCTTTGTGGATTTTTATTTTCCTTGTCCTTCCTGCTGTCATTTTGGGATGATAAGAATTGAGGGAAATAGCCCTCTGGTTTCCCGAGGCACAGAGAACGCTGTTCTGTGTGAAGCTTAGGAAGGGTGGCTGGGAAAACAGCAGTTGAATCATGAACATGATTTTAAAAGCCTCTCAAAGTAAGTATGGGAGGGAAACTTTCTTGTGGCTGACCAGATGGAACCTGTTTTATTTTTGCACAGCTCTCCATAAACTTTCCTGCAGCCTGGCCACTTAGCTAAGTCCAGACGCAGCTGCAATAGAAATGTCCAGTGCATCATTTTGTATATGGCGGAGTGTTAGCTTCAGGGTGAGCTTTTGAAAGGACAGCCCGTTTGGCGGTGCTGCTTGGGGTCATGGCTGTGTCCACCACCAGGTGTTGGCCCAAGGGGAGCTCCCTGGCCCATTGGCTTCTTGAGCCACGAGCTGGGGATGCTGCTGTGTGGGAGCACTTCCTTCCCGGGTACGACCGTAGCCCTCCTCCTGGGGAGACACTCCTTAGGCAGAGGAGCCTGCCCTTGCCTGTACTGGGGCCCAAAAGGGCCCTGCGTGGTGTATGGGGTCACATGGAGGCCAAGCGGGAGGCATTTGGCAGGGAAATCAGGGAGGCCTATGAAGGCAGTGGTTCCAGCTAGGCCCGGAAGGGCCTAGGAGAGTTTACAGTACAGTCTGGGCTGGGAAACAGCTGTGAGAAGGAGTGAGTGTGTCAGTCAGAGGTTTGGAAGGGGGCCCCGACTGTGCTGGGTCTTGGGATTTAGGAATGAGGAGGGCTGTATGTATGGGCTACTCTGTCAGGGGCTTGGCAGGCAGGAGGAGGTGTTGATGTTTATTTGCTTGCCTGTGGGGTATCATGAGGGTGGCTGGGCGAGTGGGTGATCTGAACAGTGTGTTGACTTAGGGGGTACAAGAGGGCCTTGAAATGGGGAGAAACTAGAAGCTCAGACCTTCTGAACCCACGGTGTTGGGCAGGGGTGGGAGGCTGCTGGAGTGTTGATGGGAGAAGTGATGACATTCTGTGTTTGGACAATGGGAGTGGGAAGGACATGGTGAACAAGGCTTACAAGGGTCAGGGACCCCAGGACAAGAAGCAGAGGTGGGTGGTGCTTCTTAGGCTATGCATTTGGGAGCATGCTGTGGGTGCCCTGGCTGTGCCCTGCTCTCTGGGCCTTGGGTGTGTGGGGTGAGCAGCCAAGCCCTGGCTGTTACCATCCTCAGGTTAGGAGCAGACACTAAACAGCCTGGTGGTGATGGTTCTCTGAGGAGGAATAAACCAGGCAAAGAGGCCAAGAGTCTGGAGATCTCTTGTGGGCGGAGACTGAAGGGAGCCGGCGTATATGGCTGTTCTGCAGGTATGCAAGTTGGTTCTCCCACTGTTGTAAAGATGTATCTGAGACTCGGTGAGACTCGGTCTTCTTTTTTTTTTTTTTTTTTTTTGAGATAGAGTCTTGCTGTGTTGCCCAGGCTGGAGTGCAGTGGCGTGGTCTCAGCTCACTGCAACCTCTGCCTCCCATGTTCAAGTGATTCTCCTGCCCTAGCCTCCTGAGTAGCTGAGATTTCAGGCATGTGTCACCACACCTGACTAATTTTTAGTAGAGACAGGGTTTCACCATGTTGAGCAGGCTGCCTTGGCTTCTCAAAGTGCTCGGATTAGAGGCATGAGCCACCGTGCCAGGCTGAGATTCGGTAATTTATAAAGAAAGGGGGTTTAATAGACTCTCAGTTCTGTGTGGCTGGGGAGGCCTCAGGAAACTGAAAATCATGGCAGAAGGGAAAGAGGCACATCTTACATGGTGGCGGGTGAGAGAGAGCGAGCAAGAGCAGGGAATACTGCCTTAGAAACCATCAGAGCTTGTGAGAACTCACTGTCACTGGAACAGCATGGGGCTGACCACCCCCATGATCCAATCACCCCTACCAGCTCCGTCCCTGAACGTGAGGGATTATGGGAATTACAATTCAAGATGAGATTTGGGTGGGGACACAGCCAAACCATATTAGCAAGCGTCCCCAAGTGTAGAAGCTGGAGCGGAGCTGACTTCAGGTTTGTGTAAACTGGGAGGTCAGGATGGAGATCATTGGTCACTGGCTGTTACTGATGGCCAGCGACGTCCAGGGATAGTATTAAGGTGTGTGGCCATGGCCTGGTGTGGTGGTTCACGCTTGTAATACCAGCACTTCAGGAGGTCGAGGCAGGCACATCACCTGAGGTCAGGAGTTTGAGACCAGCCTGGCCAACATGGTGAAACCCCATCTCTACTAAAAATACAAAAAAAATTTGCTGGGCATGGTGGCATGTGCCTGTAATCCCAGCTATTTGGGAGGCTGAGGCAGGAGAATGGCTTGAACCTGGGAGGGAGAGGGGAGAGGTTGCAGTGAGCCGAGATCACATCACTGCACTCCAGCCTGGGCGACGAAGAGTGAGACTCTGTCTCAAAAAATAAATAAAATAAAAATAGGATTGAGTTGCAGCTGGTCTGATGCGGTGGGAGCCCTATGTTCTCATCAGCACGCCTCTCCCCAGCCTCAGCCATGGCTCTGGGGCCTTGTGCCCAATCCAGCCTCTTTTGCATGTTGGCACCTCATGCCCCGTGCTTGGCCCTCAGTGCTGTCTTCAGTGTCCCTCATGGATCCACCAGAGCGACCTTCCTCACAAGTTAGGGTCTGTTTAAGGCTTGGACCTAAAACCCCTGTGGGGCCAAGGGCGCAGTGGTTCCTGCCTGTCATTCTAGCACTTTGGGCGGCTGAGGTGGGAGGATCACTTGAGCCGAGGAGGTCAAGGCCACCGTGACTCAAGCCTGGGCTACAGAGAAATATCTTGTCTCACAAAAAAATAAATGAATAAAACCCTTTTGCCCTGGCCCTGCCTCCCTGGGCAGTCTCACCCCTGCCCCTCACTGTGCTTGGCCCCACCACACTGTCCTGTCTCACGTGTGGCCTGTTCACCTGTGGCCCCTTCTACCAGGAAGACAGCTGCTCCTCTGCCCAGCGAGTGCATTGGAGTCTCCAGAGCCTTAGTCACTCTAGCAGCAGAGGCTCCCCTTGTCTGCAGTTCCTTTTGCTTGTGGCCAGCAGAACATGTTGGGCAGCAGGTCCTGGGTGTGTGGAGGGGCTGGTGGTGCTGCTTGCCCTTTTCCGTAGTGTGGGTTCTCCATCATGAGGGATCTTTGAGCTCAGAGTTGGCAGGTGTGAGTAGCTCCCCTCGGAGCCAGTCTGAGGCTGAGGCCTTGGCACCACCACCTCAGGCCTTGTGAGGGTGTCCTATGTGAGTTCTTTGAGGACAGGGGTGAGAATTTGGGTTTCTGCTCATCTTTGAACCTGAGCTGTACATTGGGTCAGTGAAGGTGGTGGCAGAACAGATGGGAAAAGAAGCCGCAGGGTGGGTGGCAAGTCAGGGTGACCTGTGAGCTGTGACTTGGTGACGGGGCTGAGGTATGCACTTCAGGGCTGGGGCCCAAATGAATGGCGGGCTGCAGAAACAGGAGCCAGGGGTGCGCTGGGGGGAGAAAGCCGTGGTAAGCATTGCTTCTCTTCGTCAGTGTAGATGTTGTTTTTAACAGATGAGCAGCACCAGCACTAAGAGGGCTCCAACCACAGCAACCCAGAGGCTGAAGCAGGACTACCTTCGAATCAAGAAAGACCCGGTGCCTTACATCTGCGCTGAGCCCCTCCCTTCAAATATTCTGGAGTGGTAAGGCTCCGCGCCACTGATCACCCCGAACTGACTGTCGCTGCCACTCAGGCCTCCGCTGGCCTGGCTTGGTGAGCCTGGTGCCCCGGTCATGGCATTGGTGAGGTGCTCCTGCACCCTCACCAGGGGTGAGTGTGTGCCCAGGGGCCTGTGGACACACTCTGGTAGTTTTCCCAATGGACGCATGCCAGGGACATCACAGAGCTCTGCTTGACTCAGGCTGGGGCTGGAGAGAATCTCTGGTGTGGGGTCATTGGGCAGGGGTGGGGTCCAGGTTGACTCAGGCTGGGGTTGGAGAGAATCTCTTGTGTGGGGTGATTGGGGGCAGCTGGGGTCCAGGTTGACTCAGGCTGGGGTTGGAGAGAATCTCTGGTGTGGGGTGATTGGGGGCAGCTGGGGTCCAGGTTGACTCAGGCTGGGGTTGGAGAGAATCTCCGGTGTGGGGTCATTGGGTGAGGTGGGTCCAGGTTGACTCAGGCTGGGGCTGGAGAGAATCTCTGGTGTGGGGTCATTGGGTGAGGGGGGTCCAGGTTGACTCAGGCTGGGGTTGGAGAGAATCTCTGGTGTGGGGTCATTGGGGGCAGCTGGGGTCCAGGTTGACTCAGGCTGGGGTTGGAGAGAATCTCTGGTGTGGGGTCATTGGGTGAGGTGGGTCCAGGTTGACTCAGGCTGGGGTTGGAGAGAATCTCTGATGTGGGATCATTGCGTGAGGGGGGGCTCCAGGTTGACTCAGGCTGGGGCTGGAGAGAATGTCTGGTGTGGGGTCCTTAAGGGAGGGGTCCAGGTATGCAGGGCTCACAGCTGCTGCTGGTGTGCGCTCTAGGTGCTTAGAGGAGAAACTGCCTTTCTAGACTCGACTCTTTGCTTCCAGATATGGGAATTAGCCTGTTTTGGGCTAGTGTAGGACTAGGGTTTGACACTCCTGTCCCTGGTGCTGGCTTGGGCCAGGTGCCTCGACCCTGAGGCTGACGATGAGAGGACTTGTGCCTCGTAAGCATTCATCTCACAGTGACTCTTTGTTGTTGAAGTCTGGGGCTCTGAGAGTGCATGCCGCTCTGTGGAAACGCCGCTGTTGCAGGGCTGCTGGTGATTGGGTAAGAAATAAAGTGTGGGGATGTTTTATATTTTAGTCTTTAAAAAATCAGTTTTTAGTTTTTTTAAATTGAGAGAAAAGATATTTCAGTGAGTTGAAAGGAAGTGTGTTTTGTTCAGGGGCTGCTTTCTCTGGCTTACAGAGGAGGCCCAGCGCAGGCAGGTGGAGGGTGCCCAGGGTGAGTCAGAGCCTCGGCCACCAGAGTGCTCTCTGCGCCCAGTGCTGAAAGTCAGATACGGCCCCAGGACATAGTTGGCAGGTGTGAGGGACACGTTCCACAGTAGCTACTGCCTCCCTGATTGCGAGGACGCCCTCGATGTGTGGGGAACCCTCCCCAGAATTCTGTGGGTCGGGCATCCCCAAGACCCTGCGCAAATTCAATGATTGGCAAAAAACACTCAACTTAAAATTATAGAGAAGAAAGCAGTAGCCGGAGTAAGAGGGATGTGGGGCAAAGTCTCCAGGAAGCACAGCACAGGCCCTGGGCCTCTCGAGGGCTATGCCCCAGTCCCAGCAGCAGGCTTGGGTTTGGACAGCATGCATGGAATGTTGACCAGAGAAGCTCATTTGAGACTAAAACATATTAGGGGAAGGCCCAGGGATTTTATGGGGCTGGTCCTGCAGGTACTCTCTGCCTGGCACCTGCCAAAATACTGGACTTGCTGGAGCAGGGGCTCAGCGTAGACCATGTTACTTGTTCTGTTTTGGCAGTAAGCCCTGTTGTCAGGTGGTGGCAGCTGGCCTGGACGGCAGTGTCAGACCTGTCCCGCAAGAGCCCCTGGCGCGGCCTGCTAGATGTCTCTCCCTCCCTGAGAGAAGAGTGCTTTTCCCGAAAAGGCCTGTGGGTGCGTTACGGACCACGTGGATTCCATGTTATCTCAGCCACCGCAAGGCTGCTGGGCTGTGTCTCAGGAAGAGGACGACTTCTTCGTGTGTTCCCAGTTTCCACGGATTGGGCACAGTAACAAAACAAGACCACATTCCTGGGTATATTGGGTGCTGTGCTCAGAGCCATTTGGTTTGTGGGCCACTGACACACGATAATGGCATTTTTTGAGTAAAAGATATCAGCTGGCAGAGAGCAGGCATCACAGACGGAGTCTTGCCCTGTCACCCAGGCTAGAGCGCACCACCATGCCTAGTTAATTTTCTTTTTTTTTTTTTCTTTTTTCTTTTTTTTGAGATGGAGTTTTGCTCTGTCGCCCAGTGGCACAGTCTCGGCTCACTGCAACCTCCGGCTCCTGGGTTCAAGCAATTCTCCTGCCTCAGCCTCCGAGTAGCTGGGATTACGGGTGTCCACCACCATGCCCGGCTAATTTTTGCATTTTTAGTAGAGATGGGGTTTCACCTTGTTGATCAGGCTGGTCTCAAACACCTGACCTCGTGATCTGCCTGCCTCTACCTCCCAAAGTGCTGGAATTACAGACTTGAGCCACCAAGCCTGGCCCCAATTAGCATTACAGTGACAGCACACATGTCCTGTGGGAGAGCATGGGAAGGGCTTGCAGCTGGCAGCAGTGTCTGGTTTCCGGCATCTCTGGCCGGTTTTACTTTCTTCTCTGTGCTCTTCTGTTTTGTTTGGGAATCTGTAAAGCCCAGACACTGCTTTACATAAAGCGAAAGCCTTATTCGTGTGTGTGGAGGAGTGTGGACCAATTTGCTGTTGCTCCTGGTCTCAGGGTGAGCTCTGTGTGGGGAGTTTGGCTTTGGGGAGAGTCACGGCTGTTCCTGTTCCTTCCGCTCCAGAACAGCTGCTCAAGGTCACTTCTGGCGTTTCTAGGAGCATGAAAGGGGCTGGATACAGAGCCAGCGTCATGTCACTAGCTGTGTTTTAATTAGGGTACATGCATGATACCAAAAAGTACATTATATATAAGCGCATTTTTAAAGATATAAATTTTGTTTTTTTGGGGGGTTTTCTTTGTTTTGTTTGTTTTTGAGACAGAGTCTTGCTCTGTCGCCCAGGCTGGAGTGTAGTGGCATGATCTCAGCTCACTGCAATCTCCACCTCCTGGGTTCAAGCGATTCTTCTGCCTCAGCCTCCTGAGTAGCTGGGACTACAGGTGTGAGCCATCACGGCCGGCTAATTTTTGTATTTTTAGTAGAGACAGGGTTTCATCATATTGGCCAGGCTAGTCTCAAACTCCTGACCTTGTGATCTGCCCGCCTCGGCTTCCCAAAGTGCTGGGATTACAGGTGTGAGCCACCACGCCCGGCTAATACAAATTTTAAAATACATTTTTTTTTTTTTTGAGACAGGGTCTCTGTTGCCCAGATGGAATGTGGTGACACAGTCACAGCTCACTGCAGCTTAAACTCCGGGGCTCAGGGAATCCTCCCTCCTCGGACTCCTGAGTAGCTGGACCTACAGGCATGCACTGTCACCCCCTGCTAACTTTTTTTTTTTTTGAATAAAGGTGGGTCTGTGTTGCCTAGGCTAGTCTTAAACTCCTGGGCTCAATGATCTTCCCACCTTGGCCTCCCAAAATGCTGAGATTATAGGCGTGAGCCACTGCACCCAGTTTTTCAAGTACATCTTTTTTTTTTTGAGACGGAGTTTCGCTCTTGTTACCCAGGCTGGAGTGCAATGGCATGATCTTGGCTCACCACAACCTCCGCCTCCTGGGTTCAGGCAGTTCTCCTGCCTCAGCCTCCTGAGTAGCTGGGATTACAGGCATGCACCACCATGCCCAGCTAATTTTTTGTATTTTTAGTAGAGACAGGGTTTCACCATGTTGACCAGGATGGTCTCGATCTCTTGACCTCATGATCCACCCGCCTCGGCCTCCCAAAGTGCTGGGATTACAGGCTTGAGCCACCGTGCCCGGCCTCAAGTACATCTTAATAATGTACTATGAAATTAAAATTTATTTAAAATACCAGGTTTTTTTTTTTTTTTGGGATGGTGTCTCGAGTTGTTGCCCAGGCAGGAGTGCAGTGGTGTGATCTCGGCTCACGGCAACTTTCGCCTCTTGGGTTTAAGCAATTTGCTGCCTCAGCCTCCCAAGTAGCCGGAACTATAGGTGTGTGCCACCATGCCTGGCTAAGTTTTTTATCTTTAGCCATACTGGCCAGGCTGGTCTCAAACCTCTAACCTCATGATCTGCCCACCTCAGCTTCCCAAAGTGCTGGGATTACAGGCGTGAGGCACTGCACCCAGCCTCAGTTGTTATTAATGATTAGAGAGGATTAGTTTCATGCATGTTATAGTGTAGAAACAAAGCTACTTTATGGTAAACTTATATAGTCTCAAAGATCCCATTACACAGAGACTAAAAGCACCCATAGTAGAAGAGACTGGTGGCTTTGAAGCCGTGCTGCTGTGTGATGTTCCACCTTCTTTTGTTTACCTTCTGCCTGAATGTGAATGATTTTGGCTGGGTCCTATGAACCCCAGGCTTGGAATTTCCAGATTTTGGAGAATTTGCTGTCCTCAAATCCCAAGTAATTTTCTTCTCTCCCTTAGGCACTATGTCGTCAGAGGCCCAGAGATGACCCCTTATGAAGGTAAGGATTCTGTCCTCAGGTGGCAGGTTTTATGTTCTGAAACAGCCTTGCCTGTTAAACATCTTTTATTTGCAAACAACAGCCTTTCTACCTTGGATGGATGTGCCTTAGTTACATAGGCTTAGCTGGAACTCACCTCCAGCTGATTCTCTGAGCCCTGGAAGTGTTTGCTCCGCATTTTGTTGGCTGACGTCTGTCAGTCTGCAGTGGAGGCCTGTAGTGTGAGTGTTCAGCAGCCTCCAACACCATAGGGTCAGAGCTGAGAAACCAGACCGGGGTAGACACTGAAGTTGGCCTGTTTGCTGTTTCTTAAGACCTGGTGAATATCATCAAAAGGAAAGAAAGGCATATTATTCACTGTGTCTCTGTGCTGGGTGCTCTCAGGGTCTTGCGATCCTCAGAACCGTCTCTGAGCTAAGCAGGAGTCTCCCTGTGTGTTGTGGCATGTGGGGCTTCAGGAGGCTGCAGGACCTGCCCAGCATCTCAGTCTCTCATGGGCTGCCAAGGCCGACTCAGGTCAACAGCCGCCACCTAGAGTCCCAGGTGTCGTTACAGAGCGGACACTGGAGTGGTCAGCAAGTTTCTGGGGCCTTGGGGGGTGCTGGCACCAGCCTCAGGGTCTGGGCCAGGTTAGGAGTCGGCGTGCCCATGGACGCTGTCCCACCGGCAAGTGCAAGGCAGAGCAGGGCCAGGTCTGCAGCTGCTTGGCTCTCCAGCTGCAGGGCCCCAGCTTCAGGGGGCTGTAGCAGCAGGCTCTGTCTGCCTGTGTGTGGGGCTTTGGGTGCGATTTCACGAGAGAAGGGTGCTACTGCTGGAGAAGGGTTGCTAACCCTGCTTGGACTGTTGGGAGGGTGGAGGGTGGGTAAGAATGAAAAGGGTCAGGCTCTCCTAAAGGTACTTTGGCTGAGTTATCACAGCCTTACCCGAGTACTCTCCTTTGACCCAGGAATCCCAGTCTGGGGTAATCTGCAGCCAGTGTGCAGGAGTACATCTAGGGTGGGTGCGTGATCCCAGCGTCACTGATGGGGACCAGCACTGGGGTTGCCCAGGCCAAGGCGAGATACGGCCTGGGAGCAGGCATCCAGGGCGTGCATGTTCAAGTATTGCTAACACAGCATAACCACAAGCGAGCAGTGCCCTTTGACAAGCACAATTATGCCAGCTTAAAATTTTTTTTTGTTTTGTGGTTTTAGTATTTTTGTATCTTTTTCTTTTTTGGGCGATGGAGTTGCCCAGGCTGGAGTGCAGTGGCACGGTCTTGGCTCACTGCAACCTCTGCCTCCCGGTTCAGGCGATTCTCCTGTCTCAGCCTCCCGAGTAGCTGGGACTACAGGCGCCCACCACACCCGGCTAATTTTATTTTATTTTTTTTGTAGACGGGGTTTCACCATGTTGGTCAGGCTGGTCTTGAACTCTTGACCTTAGGTGATCCGCCCGCTTGCCTCCAAAGTGCTTGGAACAGGCTAATTTTTATAGTTTTAGTAGAGATGGGGTTTCACCATGTTGGTCAGGCTGGTCTCTTAACTCCTGACTTTGTGATCTGCCCACCTTGGCCTCTCAAAGTGCTGGGATTACAGGTGTGAGCCACCAACGTCCAGCCAGTTTTAGTGTTTTTGAAATAAATATTTATTAATTCAGTAACCACATCCCCCAGCTCCCATCGTCACCAGCCAGGGCAGTTGCTGGTGGAGACAAGCTGCTCCCTTGACAGGGTGGGACACAGTCGGGAGAAGGGGGGCAGCCCCTGGGGGTGTGCAGGGGCATGGCCATTGCCAGCCCCAACCCTGTCACTTGTCCTTTATCTTGGTCTCCTCCCATCCCTTCAGTGGTTGCCTTATAGCTTTGGGTGGCTCTGCTGGTCCCAGGTCTCAGGAAAGCCTCCCTTCAGAGACAGAAGGTGTCTTCTTGCTGTCCTCCCTTTTCCCTTTCTGTGACACTGCTGCTCCCGCCTGGCCCTCCCCCTCACTGGGGCTGCCTTCTGCTGTTTGCAGCTCTACCCTCTGTTCTCCTTCAGCGTCTCCAGGGAACCAGGCCCTCAGAATTGCCACTTGCCAAGGGGCTCTTCTCAGGCCTCAGTTTCTTGGCCTCTGGTATCTGATGTGACTGCTGATGGCTTTCTTCCCGACTTTGGGATGTTCTGACCCCTATTCCTGCCTTTTTGGCGGCTCCTGTGTGGAGTCCGTGTCTTTTTGCCCTGGCATGCGTTAGTTGTGGCCCCTCCACATGCTGGGCTCCGTGGCCGTTCTGCTCTTGGTGCTGTCTGACAGTTCAGAGCTGGCTTCCTACAAATGTTGCTAAATAACTCCCGAGTTAATCTGTAGATTTCACACAGTCCCAAAAAAATCTCAGTAGTTTTCTTTTTTTTAACACTACACAAAATTTAACACTATACAAAATTACAATGTAAATTCTAAAATTTACATGTAAAGGCAAAGGACCTAGAATAGCTCAAATGACTTCTCTAAAGAATAAAGTGGAGTCGGTGGTTTCAAGACTTACCCCAGTGATGCGGGTCAGGCAGGGGTAGGGGAGGAACGGGCCATGGGGCAGAAGAGCCAGCTGGGCCTTCGCCTCAGGCTTTTCAGTAGATGGTCTGGGGCGTGGGGACATCCCTGGCCACCATGTTCAAGTTGCCAGGGACCCACTTCAGGATGAAGTGGGTGTTTCCTGATTTTCACCTGTGCAGATGCCTGGTGCTGTGAATATCTGTGTGTGTGGCTCTGGGTGCATTTGTCTGTGTTTCTTTGGTTGGTGGCAAGCAGTGGGATTACTGTCTGGGGCTTCCTGACAGGTCTGTGCTCAGTGAGGCAGCAGGGTGCCTATCTCCCAGCACCCTCTCCACTCCACATGGCCCTTTCCTGCCGTGTAAATCACACTTCCCCATCAGTACCAAGCTAAACGTCATCCCAAAATGGCTTTGGCTGTTCCTGCTTCCTCTTTAGACACATGCCTGTTTCTTTCATTCTTCCGTTTGGCCTTTCCTGATGATCTCATGTGTCCTCTGGGTGCCGTTCCTTGGGGTTCACTTCTCTCTGGTGCACGTGGCTTCTCACCAGAGTGGGTTAGTGACATTCGTTCATGCCAGCTCTCCACTGTCAGCTCCACCTGTTCTGTGCGTCCTCGAGTGCCAGCCCTGGGCAGAGTGCAGAGAGGATGCTGCAGCGCCCTCATGCTCAGCAGTATGTCAGAAGGTGAAGCTGTGTTTCCATCTCGGATCTGTGGGAGGGAGAGCAGCCCCCAGTGATCGAGAGAGACAGAAAGGAAAACAGTTTTGATCACCTTCAGGCCCTGAGGTGCCCAGCCCCCTGGGAGGCCACACACACAGGGAGGCCAGGGAAAGTGGAGAAATGGGGACCCCCAGACCAACCCTTTATTGAGTCTAGGGCATTCTGCACACAGGTTTCCCTCGGAAGTTTTAAATGGTGGTTTTAAAACACACGGGCACAAGCCCCGAGGGGCCACTCTGTGACTGTGAGGGACTCTGTGGCCCGGCTGCATAGTCCATGTGGGGCTTGGGGTCCACAGGGACACAGGGAGGTGGTCACCAGGGGGCAGTTTCAAGGAAGGGGGATGTGAGCTGGAAGGTGTCGGCGAGGGGGTGGTCCTGTTTCTGGTCAGAGAAGGTCCAGCTTAGATTCAGAATGGATGCCGAGGCAGCCTGAAGTGATGATTCTCTGTAAGATGTGAAGTGGCTGCAGGGCAGGGGTGCTGCTTCCTGCACAGGCTGGCTCTGGAGCAGAAGAGCTGTGGCCATTTGGAACTTGAGTTTCCTGAGGCAGGGCTGTGCACAGGGAGCCTAGGGGGACAGGCCGGTGCTCCTCAGACCTCTGGCATGTGCAGGTACACAGGCGGCATGCACGCACACACGACACATGCACACGTGGCACGCATGCACACATGACACACGTGTCACGCATGCAGGTGTGTCTGGGGATGGCGTGCACACGTGCACACAGCTGCATGCACATGAATACACACATACCCCCATCACACACGCAGGTGTGGCTGAGAAGTCCTGGCTTGTACAATTCTGCTCTGCTGGTTTGGGTTGGCCCAAGCTCTAAATTTCCAACCAACTCCAGGTGTAGCCTGGGCAGCTAGGGTGTGGGCCTCAGGCAGGGGCGGGACTGCCGTGAGGCAGCTTATGGAGGGTCTGGGAGCAGGGGCTGGGGGAGGCCACCCAGGGTGAGGGGCTCTAGATTGATTTGAAGGTGGGGCCAACAGGATTTGTTCATTGGGTTGGGTGTGATACCAGGAGGTATTTGCCATTTGGTGGAAGTGGCTGGAATTCTGTCCTGAATGTGGGCATCTGGGTGCTGTCCTGTGGTTGGTCAGGGTAGTGGCCTGGAGTGTGCAGCGGGCCTGTGGGTCCAGGATGAGGGTGCTAGCTGAGCAGCCATTCCAGGGCTCCTGATGGGAGGCTGTGAAACTGGGGTGACCCCAGGAGTGTGCCAGGACTGAGAGGAGAGGGCCCTGTGCCTGGGTGGGTGAAGAGGGGCTAGCTGGGGTGGGAAGAGGGGGCAGGAGGGAGGAGCCACACCAGGGTGGGGCTTTGAAGAGGTGGAGCCAGGAGTGGCCCCTGATGCCAGGCCGAGGGTGGTCAGAAACCAGTGGGGACGTGTGGGTGACCCTGAGGTCGACCTTCAGGTCAGGTTTGGTAGAGCAGGGAGAAGGCCGGGTCAGATGGACTTGAGAGCATGGGAGGGGAGGGTATGGGGACAGCCACAGACAAGGCCCTTCTCCAGGGGTTCAGGTCAGAGCAAGGGGCATTTGGCAGAAATTAGAGGGATATGGGGTACAGAGTGGTGTGTTTGAGGTGGGTTTTGCTGGCCTCTGGGTGCAGTTGGGTCAGGGAGGCAGACAGTACTGGAGAGTTGCTGGGTCGGGACCCCAGTCTTGGGAGGGGCAGCCTCAGCTGGACCTGGAGCTCCTGATATGCTGGGGGCTTTGCAGACCACTTTCCGGCCCCTCCCCTCCTGGTTGGGGTGTGTGTGTGGACATTCTAGGGAGAGCGTGGGGGTGTATAGGTGGGGTGTGGAGGGGCGTTGGGTCTGAGTGGTCGTGACAGTGGGGTGGAAGTGGCGTGGCACTGGACAGTGAGGTCGGGGAGGCAGGGGGACTGAGCCTGGGAGCTGGTTCGGGTCGGAGAGGGCAGCGAGAACTCGGGAGCGGGGCTGAGTGGGGGCATGTGGGAGGGGTAAGACCCCCAGCCCCTCCTCCTGTCCCCGCTGTGGAGGACGATAAGGCTTTTTCTGTTTTGTTTCCATGTAGGTGGCTATTATCATGGAAAACTAATTTTTCCCAGAGAATTTCCTTTTAAACCTCCTAGTATTTATATGATTACTCCCAATGGAAGATTTAAGTGCAACACCAGGTAAGGACCCGGAGGGGCCAAGGAAGCTCTCCGGCTGAGGGGAAGTGTGCACTGACTGGCCCCTGTTTTGCAGGCTGTGTCTTTCTATCACGGATTTTCACCCGGACACGTGGAACCCAGCCTGGTCTGTCTCCACCATCCTGACTGGACTCCTGAGCTTCATGGTGGAGAAGGGCCCCACCTTGGGCAGCATAGAGACATCGGACTTCACGGTGAGGTTTAGAGCAGCTCTCCCTGGTGGGCTGTCAGCCTTGTGTCTGGGGCTATTTCTGCTCCTGAGTTGCAGCTGCCTTTCTTCTCAGCAGGCAGGGCTGGGTGGAGTTCCTGCCTTGACCCCGGCACCATCATGGAGACTGCTCTGCTTCGGGCTTCCGCGTCACACTCAGCCTCGTGTTCCCCTCTGCCTCTCAGTCTCGCTTTTATCCGAATCAAGCCTCATCCACACCCACCAGGGGCTCCGCCTTGGGATCTTGGGGTGGGCCGTGGCAGTGCCGGTTGCACAGCCTGGGGCGGAGGGGGGGGGGGGGGCCTTGCCAGCAGAGAGCATAGTGTCTGTATGCCTTTCTCGCTAGCTTGTTTTATTTTTCTATTTTTAATAGGAATCAAGTGTGATATCATTAATTGATAATGGAAAGATCAGTAAGCCTTTATGAGATTCTCAGTCAGTTTGCTGTGAAGAGCATGCTTATTAAATGCTTTCTACAGCATGAAGACTGCAGCTCTTGACTTGGAAATAACCTGTTTTTAGAAGTTTGAAAGAATTGAAGTTAGTTTTCTGGCTGATTCCCTTCTCTTTCTTCCTAGAAAAGACAGCTGGCAGCACAGAGTTCAGCGTTTAATTTAAAAGATAAAGTCTTTTGTGAATTATTTCCTGAAGTTGTGGAGGTAAGAATGAGAAAGTAGGAAGTGGGTTTTGCCTTCCCCTGTGTCAAAAACACTGTCAGTCTCACTTCTTTCCGAAGCTTAAGGTTTGTATCCTGAAGCTGCAGATCTTCCCAGAGGACAGCTCCTCTCTGGGAGCCCTAAGGCAGGGGAAACAGAAGGCCTGGGCCCTGAGGGGTGACCTGCCAACCACCCAGGGGCTGGGGGCTGGAGGCTGGGGGCTGGGCCTGTCCCACAAGGGCGTGGAGCCCGTTGGCTTGAGTGGCCCTTACATGGCCTGGGGATGGCTGGGACGCACAGCAGCTGCCTGAAGCCATGTGGGACTGGAGTGGACCCTGGTCTTGGCCTGTGACTCAGCCCTGCTCTGATCTGATTGAGTGCAGGGGCCCAGAGGGACAGGCGCAGTGAGGCCGGCCCCTTGCTCAGGCCCTCGCCTGTTAGACAGGGTCAGGATTGGACACAGCCGAGGTCTTTGTTCTTGGTGGTGGACTGTGGGCTCCTAAGAATGGGAGTGCTGGTCCTGAAGGCACTGGTTGGAGACCAGCCGAGTTTCTCACTCTTTTTCTCTCAGGAAATTAAACAAAAGCAGAAAGCACAAGACGAACTCAGTAGCAGACCCCAGACTCTCCCCTTGCCAGACGTGGTTCCAGACGGGGAGACACACCTCGTCCAGAACGGGATTCAGCTTCTCAACGGGCACGCACCAGGGGCCATCCCAAACCTCCCAGGGCTGCAGCAGGCCAACCGGCACCACGGACTCCTGGGTGGCGCCCTGGCGAACTTGTTTGTTATAGTCGGGTTTGCAGCCTTCGCCTACACCGTCAAGTACGTGCTGAGGAGCATCGCGCAGGAGTGAGGCCTGGCACCGAGACCAAGGCGCCACTGAGGGCGTGTCGCACGAGTGTGACCTGGGCCGGCCGGACATGCTGCCCAGTGCAGGCAGATGTTTAGGTTTTAAAACCTAGAAAGGAAAGCAAAAGCCAAAATGTGTGACTGGGCTTCGGAGGAGACTGGAGACTCCACCCTGCCCCTGCCACGTGCCGCTGGCGTGCTGGTTTTGTAGCTTATCTTCTGTGTTGTCTTTGGATCTGTTTTAGTAAACCCGTTTTTCATTTTATTAGATTTGGTCGCTTAGAAATACAAACCCGATGCCGACTGCAGGCTGTGCCTGCGTTCTTGGAGCTCCCGGCTCCTCCGTGGGTGGGATCCTGGGGCCTGTTGGTGGGGCTGGCCGTGTGGTGACAAGGCTTAGCAGGGCCGGTGACGGCCGTGGGTCAGGATCCAGGGAGATAGGGTTTGGTCTCAGCATTTTAAAATGTGTTTACTGGCAGTCAGAATGAGACGCATTCCTCCTAGAATGTGCTCGGGCTTTTTTGCTGCAGTGGAAGTCAGGAGCCTGCTCACTGTGGCCACGAGGGGTTGCCCTTGACTGTGGCTTCCTTAGGGCAGGGCATCCTGGGCGCCCCTCTGGCTGCTGCAGGCTGGGGGGGCCTCAGGGACCTGCAGAGCCTTTTCTCTGAATTCCTGAGGTCCGGGGGCCCAAAGCCCATGCTCCTGTGCTGTGGAAGGCGCAGGGCTGGAGTCCCTGCAGGAGGCCCCGTGGCCGGAAGGCTGGCTCTGCGCTCAGGTTCCCGCGCCAGCCATGGTAGGTGACGGCTCCGCGGTGCGTTCGCTCTTCACAGAAGACGGCAGAGGGGACCATGGCCCGGGAGAGGCGCCAGAGTTGGCGGGGGCTGTTTCGGGCCCATGGCTCCCCACATGGCGGTCGCCTTCCTGCCTCTGTCCATCCGTGGCTTTGCCACGTGGGATGTGCCGAAGGTGGGTCATGGTCGCAGGCAGTTGCCCACCTGTCCCAGAGGCGGCGTGAGAGAGGCACAGCCGCGCGCCTTCCACCTTTCAGAATTGCTTATAACTTAGCGCTTGTGTGTATTGAACCTATTCTTGTGGAAAAAAGTCTTTTGTCACATCTTTGTTTCTGAATTTCATGCTGCCTCGTGTCTGTGCTGGCCGTGAAGCATGTCCATGATTGGGGGTCACACCTGTTTGCCTGGGGGCTGTGTGGCCGCTGTAGGGCAAGGTGCGTCCCAGTAGGGAGCCTCTGCAGCCTCGGCCCCGGTCCCATACTGGATGCCTACGCCGCTGCAGCCTTAGCCTCCGTGACCAGTAGCACCAGTTCCAAAGCCTGCTGTTGCCCGAGGGTCGTGGGAGAATGCTGGCAGTGTTTACTTGACACATTACTGTCAGGTGTGGTCACTCCCACCTATAATCATCCCAGCACTTTAGGGGGCTGAGGGGTGGATATCTTGAGCCCGGCCTGGGCAACGTAGACCCCATCTCACAAAAACTACAGAAAACGACCTGGCTGTGGTGGTGCACACCTGTGGTCTCAGCTACTCAGGAGGCTGAGGTGGGAGCATTACCTGAGCCTAGGAGGTGGAAGCTGCAGTGAGCCGTGATGGTGCCACTGCACTCCAGCCTGGGTGACAGAGCGAGACCGTCTCAGATGTTTTACTTGTTTTCTACATGTAAAATCTCAATTTTTTTTTTTTGAGACAGAGTCTTGCTCTGTTGCCCAGTCTGGAGTGCAGTGGTGCCATCATGGTTCACTGTAACCTTGACCTCCTGGGTTCAAGAGATCCTTTAAACTCCTATGTAGTCCCCTACGTAGCTGGGACCAAAGGTGAGAGCCACCATACCTGGCTAATTTTTGTAGTTTTGCAGGTATGGTGCACAGGCTGATCTCAAACTCCTGAGCTCAAGGGATCCACCTGCCTTGGTTTCCCAAAGTGTTAGGATCACAGGCACGAGCCACTGTGCCCGACTGAAATCTTACCTTTTTTTTTTTTTTTTTTGATACAGCCTCACTCTGTCACCCAGGCTGGAGTGCAATGGTGCAGCCTCGGCTCATCAGGTTCAAGTGATTCTCCTGCCTCAGCCTCCATAGTAGCTGGGACTACAGGTGCCACCACCATGCCCAGCTAATTTTTGTATTTTTAGTAGAGGTGGGGTTTCACCATATTGGTCAAGCTGGTCTTGAACTCCTAACTTCATGATCTTCCTGCCTCAGCCTCCCAAAGTGCTGGGATTACAGGTGTGAGCCACCCCGCTCGGCCTTGAAATCTCAACTTTTAACGACCCATAGTCAGCAGTGGAGGTGGCCCGGCGGTGCCCATGGCCTGTTGTCTGCACTGGCCCAAACTAAAAGATGATCTTTTGCCCGTGGGGCTGGGCTTTTCTGACCCTCTGTTCCCATTTCCCCTTAGAGGAATTGTGGGCTCCTCTGTTGTTGCGCCACTGCTGGGGGCCGACCTTGACCTTCCCGTCACCCCCCCCGCCCCCCCCCCCCCCCCCCGAGCAAGGTGCGTCCTATCGCCAGGCAGACCACAGTGTGAAGCCTTTTAGTGAGGAGAGAAAAGCCCCTTAAAAGTTGATATTCCACAGACACGTGCAGCTCGTGGTCTCAAAGGAAGGTGTTTCTCGTGCACTCTGGCACCCTGGAGCTTCTCCCGGAGCTCATGCCCAGGCCGGCCTGATTGCTGATTACCAGCTGACGCCGAAGAGTGCTCTGGGTCTGCGGGAGCTGCTTTCCCTGTGTGGCTGGCCGGTGGGTGGGCAGGGCACCATGCTCCTTTGCCATTTTTCCAGGGCCTGGGGGGTGTCAGGGTGTCTGGGTAAGGGGGTGTAGGGGGTGGGCAGAACCAGCAGCTGCACCTGAGCCTCCCCTTGGGGCAGCTCATGGCTGTGGCCCAGGGTACCCTGGAGCCTTGGTGGGTGACCAGAGGGTGGGGTCCTCCTGGTTGTTTTCTGGAGGGTGTGTGGGGGCTGCAGCGTGGGTGCTGAGTGTCCCTACCTGGGTGCCAGGCTTGGCTTGTTTTAAAGGCACCTGGGGATGGGAACAAGGAGTCACGTCCTTCCTGCTCCCGGGTGTTAGGCCCAGCCTCCCGTGGCTGCTCATTTTCCTGCCTGTCCTGTTTGGAGTCACAGGGGAGCACATTGCCAGTAGGTGACACAGAAGAGTCGGTGCCCTACCTGTGAGGTGGGGTTTGGTAGCCCTGGGCAGGGGTCTCCTTGGCCAAGGCACCTGCCCACCCCTCTGCCCCAAGCCTGGAGTGACGGGTATGGGATCTGCCTTTACTGACCCATGCTGGATGCTGGTCACATCTAGGGCTCACCTGCGGGGTCCGGTGGGGCTGGTGCAGTGTGGGAACTTTGCCATGTCTCCAGAGTTCTCCACAACCTTTGTGGACATGGGGCTGGGAGGCTTCACCCCCTTTACCAGGGGACACGGGTCGGGAGGCTTCACCATCTTCCCCAGGGGGCACGGGCCGGGAGGCTTCACCAGTGTGCTCTGGAGATGCTAGAGTCAGCTTCTGAGGGCTCGGAGGGCAAGGGGGCAGCCAGGGTCCCTGGCAGGTTCCCAAGCATCATCCCCATCCCAGCTTGGTCTCCGGTGGCTCTGCACTGGGCTGGGGTCTTGACGTAGCTGCCCTTGTGTCTGGCAAATGGGGGGGGGTCTGGAGTGTTCAAGTTGCCCATCAGGGCCGGCACATTGAACTTCCTGTTAATTTGGGGGCCACTCAGCCTCAGCCAGGACCAATGGCTGGGGTTCTTCCAGCCCCACCTGGCTACCTGCTTCCCCCAGCCACTGGGCCCAAGGGGCCTATTGCCTTGACCTGGCCTCACCTGACCCAGGCTGTAACTTGGGGCCCTGCCTTTCCAGCCAGGCCCACCAGCATTCCTGGGACCCTGGGCTGGGCTCTGAAGGCAGGGCACCGGGAGGGCCTGGGTGAGGAGGTTGTGGGAAGGGGCTGGGCTCTGTCCATGGATGGTGGCTGCAGCTACCGGGGAGCCCTTGGACACTTGCTCCTGGTGGCTGGTTGCAGAGGCTGGTGTGGGAGGGCCAGGTTGAGTTCAGCTGGGAGGGAGAGTGAGGAGTCAGCTGTCTTCACCGTTCCCAGGATGAGGCGGACTTTTGGGGAAGCGGGGAGGGTCAGGGTGGGGTCTGTTTCCAAATGACTGGGGAGGCAAGGAGTGGAGGTGGGGGTTGGGGTCTCCACCTCACCTCCGCCCCTGGCCGTTGGGCACCGGGTCAGATGGCAGCTCATCGGAGTATGAGCCCTCCCCTTGGAGCCCGTGAGGTCTGGGGAGGAGGGGAGGGGAGGATTTATTTGGTGGTGGAGTTAGCAGGCCAGAGGGCTGCGACACCCGGGACCTGAGCAGGGCCATCCTGCCATTGCGCTGAAGATCTGGGCAGATCCCTTCAGACATGCAGTGGCGCAGGCTGTATGTGCCCCTGTGCCTGGTCCCTGCTCGGGGGCTCTGAGTGGTGGCCATCCCTATGACTCTGCCCTGGCGCCGGGACTCACTGCGGGACGGAGCCATGCAGCGCTGGGTCAGAGCCGTGGTTGTGGCCCTTCTCTGGCTCACTCTGCTCTCGGGTGTTGGGGCCCGGCGGGAGGCCAAGAGGACGCGGCAGGCCAGCCAGAGCGGGGATCCCCCCACTGCCACCGCCACCGAGTCTTCCCTCGGGATGCCGGAGGTCCCTAAGGTAAGTGGCCAGGACGCATGTGGGTGCTGCCGTTGGGGCACTTGGCGGTTGCTTGGAGCTTTGGCTGTAGGCTATCGTCCCCCAGCAGGCCCTGTCGCTTCTCCAGGCCTTGGCCACGGGTCCTGTAGTGGGAATCTGCTGAAACCTGACCCGGCCAGCCTCTGGGAAGCCCTCTCCTCCCCTGCGGCCAGGACCTGGCCCCCAGCTGTCTGGGGTGGCTTGGCGAAGGGGGCTTCCTGCAGGGGTTGGAGGCTGCAGTTAGCTCTTTGAGGCCTGGGCCTGCCATGTCCTGAGCAACCTGTTGCTATTGGCTGTAATTGCTGATTTCGGGGTGGGGGTGAGGAGGGGTCAGGCAGCTTGTTAGATGGTTTACCAGACCCCCTAAGAGCCCAGCGCCCCATAACTCCTGTGGCTGGAGACACCGCGGCAAGCCTGTTGCTTGTGCTTTTGGGGGTCCTGTGTAGCCAGCACCGCCTCTTGCAGGTTAAATCCTCAGGACCCAGCCTGGCCAGGCATCCTCACAGAGGCAGAAGGCCCTGAGCCCACCTCAACCCTGGGCTTCCTCTCCTGCCAAGGGTCCCCCGATGGGTCTCTGGCTGCTGCTATCAGGCCCCAGGACTGGGAGGGGAGCCACAGTCACCAGAGCAACCCCTGCCCACAGCCCTCACACCTTTGCTGCTGGCTTCCCTCCTCCCAAGGGCGTCTCTGCGGCAGCCACTCTGGCTGCCGTTCAGCCCCCGAGGCCCCATTTTCCAGATGGGCAGGCTGAGGAAGCTGGAGGCCTTGAGGCCGTGGCTCTGTCAGCTCAGGAAGAGTGGGCTGGTTCCCGGCATGAGGGCCAGGCTGGCATGGCTGGCAGGGGTGGGGCGGTGGAGGGGTCCTCAGCACTCTCGGCCAGTCCCAGGGAAGGGAGGGGTGCCCTCTGCCCAGGGCTGCTCCAGGCCTCCCTGGAAGGATGTGGGCTACAGATGTGTGCTCAGGCTGACCCTTCAGGTGTCCGGGGTGGGGTAGTTCTGCAGTCTGCTCTCTGCTGCCTCTGGCCCTCATTCTCCAGGTAGTCTGATGCACACGCCCCTAGGGCACTGGGTTCCTCCAGCATGTTGCAGGCGGCCAGGAGAGCCAGCAGATAGGGGGTGCGTGAGAAGTGGGGGGTGCATTCGAATAGTCTTGGCTTGTTTTTCCCTAGGCGGGCCCGGGTCAGGGATGGGGACGTGCCCACCCTCCTGTCCCCCACGTTCCCATGGTAGAAGCCTGTCTGGTCCACTGGGAAGACCCTCTGCTGTGTCCACTCAGGAGGCCAAGGCCATCTTCAGAACCTGGGCCTGCTGTGTTTGGAGCTAGGCCAAGCTCAGGATGGGACTCTGCTGTGGGCCAGGGTCCCTTGGCTCGCCCTGCCCTGGGGAGGAGCTCTCTCCCGGCCAGGTCGCACACTTGCTGTTGGAGCCTGGCACTTGTCCGCTTGCAGGCAGGCTGCCCCAGCCCATACCCCCTTAATGCTCCTTCTCTGACTGTGGGGGCTGGGGTGGCTTAAGAGTGGGTGATTGGAGGGGGCATCAGGCTCTTGGGGCAGCTCTACCCCACCGTGTCTGGCCATTGCTTGAACCGGGTGGGCTGGCCCCAGCTGCCTGGACCTGAACCCAAGGAGTGGGGTGAACTGGAAGGTACAGGGTCCTTGGAGGGAGGGTCCATGCCCCCTCCCCCTCTGTGAGCCACTTGGCCTGGTGCCTCTGGGACTCCCAGTAAGGCCCGTGGAAAACTCTCCTGTCTTCCCCACAAGGCCCCATCCCGCCTCAGCCAGGGCCAGGCCCCCGGCCGGGCTCAGGACGTCAGGGTCTGGCTGTGTCCACAGAAGCCCTGCATGCTTGCCCTGCCGGTGCCTGGCATCGGGACAGCTTCTGAGGCCCCCATGGCAGTGGCTGTTCTTTCTCCTGCCGGCGATGACTTGTGGCATCTTCCCTGTGTTTGCACTGGGGTTCCCGGCTTTCTGCAGGGCACAGCCTCAGTGCACTCGCCCCATCCCGTCCCTTCAGCCCTCCCAGGCCTCAGGACCTGAGTTCTCAGACGCCCGCAGGACGTGGCTGAACTTTGTCCGGCGGCCGGGCACCGCCATGTTGAGGAAGCAGTGCCTAGGCTGGGACACAAAGCCGGTGAGCCCGGCTGCTGCAGGGTCTGAGCCAGAACGGGGTGTGGTGCTGCCTCCCACTGGGTCCCAGTGGGACCCTCACCATCGTCTTCTGTCTCCCCCAGCGGGGCCTCTTGGGCCCCCCAGGACCTCCGGGTGCAGAAATTACCCCAGACACCCTGCTCCAGGAGTTTCAGGAGATGCTGAAAGGTCAGCTGCCCCAAACTGCCCAGGGTCCGGAGGTGTCTGGGCCCCCAAACTGACCCTGCTGGCCGCCTGTGCCCTCCTCCCCGAAGAGGCCATGGAGTACCGGTTCTCAGGGCTGCTGGACCCCGTGTGGCCCCTGGGGGTGGGGCCGAGGCTGGTGAGCGAGGCCTTTCACTGCCGGCCGAAGGGCCCCCGCTGGGTGGACAAGCGGACGCTGGTGGAGCTGGATGGCTTTCAGGCTGTTAGTGGGGCCAGGAGCCCAGAGGGGGCCTGGGGCCCAGCCCGGTCCAGAGTCAAGGAGCTGGGTGGGGTCCCAGGTGGGTCGGAGGTCTGGAGGGGGCTTGGAGGGCAAGGGGCTGCCTCGGGTCAAGTTTGGGAGGCCCTGGGGGGCCCGCACCACACCTTATGCCCAGGCCAAGGATGGGTCTCGGCAGCCGGGAAGCAGGGGGATCCTCCTGGGTGTGGGCTGGAGGGTCCGCCTGTCGGCACCCACAGTGAGAGTGAGGGTCCCGGGGAGGCCTGCTCCAGTAAGGGGCTGTCGGCTGCCGGCACCTTCTACAGGAGGGGTCTGTGGGGTGCTGGCTGCTCACCCGCTGCCCTCATAGCCTGCCACCCAAGGCGCCTTCCTGCGAGGCTCGGGTCTGAATCTGGCCTCGGGTCGGTTCACAGCACCTGCGTCCGGCATCTTCCAGTTCTCTACCAGCCTGCACGTGGGTGAGCCGGATGGAGCTGTGCTGTGTGCTGCGACGGAGCTGGGGCTGAGCTTCCTGGTGGTGCCTGGCTCTGGGCACGGGTCCCATTAGAGAGCTGCGCCGCCCCCCCCCCACGGGGGCCTTGGACTGGATGTGGGGTCGCTGCTACACTCTGGGCCTCAGGCCCACCCTCCCCAGCCCAGCAGGCATTCCTGGGCCAGGTGCCCCAAGCCCCTCCCCCTCTGGCCCCGCCCCCACCCCCCATGCGCCACCCTTCCCAGGGCTGTCTCCACAGACCATAGTGAGCTGCAGGGCAAGGCCTGGCTGTGGGTCCGGGATGCCATGCATGTCCTCATCTGCATCGAGTCTCTGTGCCAGCGCCACATGTGAGTGACCTCAGACCCCGCTCCAGTCACAGCCCCTGGGACCACCCTTGGTCTGGGGGGGGTGGTCACAAGCCGCAGGGGTCTCTGGGCACTGGGGTGGGTCTTGGCCCCATGGACCTGCAATGTCTCAGCCTTGCCCTGTGGGGCTGTGTTCAGGTCCCTGGAGGCCATCTCAGGCCTGGAAAGCAACAGCAAGGTCTTCACAGCACAGGTGCAGGGCCTGCTGCAGTTGCAGGTGAGGCGGGGACGGGAGTGTGAGAGTGGGTGGGGAGTGTGAGAGTGGGTGGGGAGTGTGAGAGTGGGCGGGGAGTGTGAGAGTGGGCGGGGAGTGTGAGGCTGGGTGGGAGTGTGAGGGTGGGAGTGTGAGGCCTGGTGGGAGTGTGAGGCCTGGTGGGAGTGTGAGGCTGGGAGTGTGAGGCTGGGTGGGAGTGTGAGGGTGGGAGTGTGAGGGTGGGCGTGTGAGGCCTGGTGGGAGTGTGAGTCTGGGAGTGTGAGGCCGAGTAGGAGTGTGAGACCTGGTGGGAGTGTGAGGCCTGGTGGGAGTGTGAGGCCAGGTGGGAGTGTGAGGCCAGGTGGGAGTGTAAGGGCGGGAGTGTGAGGCCTGGTGGGAGTGTGAGGCCTGGTGGGAGTGTGAGGCTGGGAGTGTGAGGCCTGGTGGGAGTGTGTGGCCGGGAGTGTGAGGCCTGGTGGGAGTGTGAGGCCGGGAGTGTGAGGCCGGGTGGGAGTGTGAGGCCGGGTGGGAGTGTGAGGCCGGGTGGGAGTGTGAGGCCGGGAGTGTGAGGCCTGGTGGAAGTGTGAGGCCTGATGGGAGTGTGAGGGTGGGAGTGTGAGGCCTGGTGGAAGTGTGAGGCCGGGAGTGTGAGGCCTGATGGGAGTGTGAGGGTGGGAGTGTGAGGCCTGGTGGGAGTGTGAGGCCTGGTGAGTGTGTGGCCGGGAGTGTGAGGCCTGGTGGAAGTGTGAGGCCGGGAGTGTGAGGCCTGATGGGAGTGTGAGGCCTGATGGGAGTGTGAGGGTGGGAGTGTGAGGCCGGGAGTGTGAGGCCTGGTGGGAGTGTGAGGCTGGGAGTGTGAGGCCTGGTGGGAGTGTGAGGCCGGGTGGGAGTGTGAGGCCTGATGGGAGTGTGAGGCCGGGAGTGTGAGGCCTGGTGGAAGTGTGAGGCCTGATGGGAGTGTGAGGGTGGGAGTGTGAGGCCTGGTGGAAGTGTGAGGCCGGGAGTGTGAGGCCTGATGGGAGTGTGAGGGTGGGAGTGTGAGGCCTGGTGGGAGTGTGAGGCCTGGTGAGTGTGTGGCCGGGAGTGTGAGGCCTGGTGGAAGTGTGAGGCCGGGAGTGTGAGGCCTGATGGGAGTGTGAGGCCTGATGGGAGTGTGAGGGTGGGAGTGTGAGGCCGGGAGTGTGAGGCCTGGTGGGAGTGTGAGGCTGGGAGTGTGAGGCCTGGTGGGAGTGTGAGGCCGGGAGTGTGAGGCCTGATGGGAGTGTGAGGGTGGGAGTGTGAGGCCGGGTGGGAGTGTGAGGGCAGGAGTATGAGGGTCAGAGTGTGAGGCTGGGTGGGAGTGTGAGGCTTTGCCAGGTGTGAGCAAGAGGGATTGGGAGCGCCTGGGGCGCAGACCTCTGGGGCCTCACACCTCCAGGCACAGGGCAGGTGGACAGATATTGCCTGTTGAGTGGCTGGGGTGTGGCTGCCCGCGGTGGTGACATCCCCGTGCCTCTCACAGGCTGGGCAGTATGCCTCCGTGTTTGTGGACAATGGTTCCGGGGCCGTCCTCACCATCTAGGCGGGCTCCAGCTTCTCTGGACTGCTTCTGGGCACGTGAGGGTGCTGTGGGGGGCTGGGTGAGGAGCTGCCGCCAGAGTTCGGGAATCCTCCTGTGGGTGCCTGTGGTCATCACAATAAAGAGCTGCCACCCTGGCTGCCACCCTCGAGTGCTGTGTGGATGTTTCAGTGGGGGTGGAGGCCGGGCTGCTGAGGTCTGGGGAGGGGCCGGGTGGGGGCAGAAGGGTGCTGCTCATGCAAAGCCCTGGAGCTGGGACTTCGGGCCACAGAATCTCGGGGCAGACTGCACAGCCTGGCGTGGCTTGGTGGGGGCTGGACTCTGCTGAGGCAAGCCTTGCAGGTGCCACGTCGGCCCTGAGGATAAGGACCACCATCCTCGGAGGCCTTGCTCAGCTTGTCCACGGGCCTGCCCAGCCTTTGGGGGCCCTGGAAGCTGCGAGGTTGGGACATAGCACAGCTCTGCGCCCTCAGGAGGCCTGCGTCCTGGGGGGGATGTGGGGGGGGGTTCTGCGTGGGACAAGAGGGCGTGCGGGCCACACCCGGGACCACGTGCTCACATGTGCTGGTCGCCAGAGGTGTGCGGAGCTGAAGGGCACCCCTGTGGGCTCAGGTTGGCCCAGACCGTGCGGTGCTCTGGGCACTCAGATGGAGCAGGGGTGGGACCAGCAGGCTTCTCCCTGATATCAGAATTGCCCATGGAGGGTTGGGTGGGCCCTACGTACGACCCCCATGCCACTGCCTCCTGGCAGGATTTGGGTCCCGTCCCCCCGCCCACCCTATTTTGGCTCTGGCAAACCTAGACCAAAGAGCAAATTGTCCTCAGGACATCTGGGCCTCTGCTGAGCTGCAGACATGTCATCTCAGGGCCCTTGGTGGGTGGTGGGGTCCATGGCTGTTACCCCTTCCCTGGGACCTGGACCTGCTTGGGCTGGAACCTGGGCAGTGAGGCAGGACGAGTGAGGTGTGTGGGTGGGCACCAATCAGCAGGGGGTGGGCCTGGCTGCTGACCTGTCCCACCTCTCTCCCTGGGGCCCCCATGGTGACATAAGGGGCTGGGGCTGTCTGGAGGGCCTCTGCTTCACTTGTCCAGGCTGTGGCCACCGGCCTGGGGGCGTCCAGCCAGGCAAGGGCTGGCGATAGGCAGCACTCTGGGGCCCCATCCAGGAGGCAGGGTGGCAGGGAGGTCAACAGCTTCAGCACCACTTCAAGGGTCCCGAAGCCCTGATGTGGGGTGCGGGATACCAGCCTGGATGCAAAAGACCGGGCTTGGGGCTCCTCTATCTGCTCTCAGCACCCCCTTGGTGGGCACGGCCTGCCCTTGGGGCCCGGACCCAGAGCTCAGGGTCTCTCCCCTCTACAGCCCCTGCCCTGCTTGGCCACAGCGCTCCGCAGTTCCCCTCCAGAGAGCAGGGCTGCTGCCCGTCGCATGGGGGAAACAGGCTGTGTCCCAGAGCTGGGTGGCGGGGATGGCAGTGTTGGAGCCCTGAGGAGGCCGGGTGTGGCCTGCACTCTCCCAGTATGCGTGAGACCCAGGGCCGCAGACACCCCTGTTTGCTTCAAGTTTTCAGCGGCTCTCCCCGTGCCTGGCTGGGCCTCGCTCACCTGTCCTGCCCTCTGTTCCCCAACCCTGGGCGAGAATGGGCTGGGACCAGGCACCCCAGATCAGGCAGCACCCAGCCAGGCCCTTCTGAGCTCTGCCCCAGCCTCACTGTCTGGGAATGGGGGCCCTCCAGGTCCTTCAGCAGCAGCCTGTCCCCCACCCCACCCAGCCCTGGAGCAGGGAGCTGTGATGACAGATGGAGATGCCAAAAATGGGACCCAGGGCCCCAGAGAACCAGACAGACAAAAGACAAGGAGATGGGGAGGAGGCGCCGGGGCAGGGGTGGGGGCCAGGCGGGGGCTGAAGGAGGGGCTGGGGTGGGGCTGGACGGGGGCTGAAGGAGGGGGGATAGGGCATCCTGGCGCCGGTGCCACCTGCCTGGCTTCTGCCTCCTCTTCTGGTTTCTGCCCCCATCAGAGGTGATCAGCCACTTAGCCACAATTCCCCGGAATGTGCTGTTTTTTTTGTTTGTTGGTTTTTGTTTTTTTTTGAGATGGAGTTTTGCTCCTGTTACCCAGGCTGGAGTGCAATGGCGCGATCTCGGCTCACCGCAACCTCCACCTCCTGGCTTCAGGCAATTCTCCTGCCTCAGCCTCCCGAGTAGCTGGGATTACAGGCACACGCCACTATGCCCAGCTAATTTTTTGTATTTTTAGTAGAGACTGGGTTTCACCATGTTGACCAGGATGGTCTCGATCTCTTGACCTCGTGATACACCTGCCTCAGCCTCCCAAAGTGCTGGGATTACAGGCGTGAGCCACCACGCCCGGCTGGAATGTGCTGTTTCTAACCACAGGGGCTGGGCACCCAGGAGCAAAGGAATGGGCAGGTTGGGGCGGGGTGGGCAGCTGCACTGGAGGCTCCAGGACCCCCAGCCCACCCAACCCAGGCTCCACCTGCCAGCGCAGCTCAGCCACACCCCTCCGTTTCTCTCAGCCTCAGTTCCCCAGCTGGGCCCACACTGCAGTGTTTGCTGGAGGAGGGATCCTGGGCTCTGAGGGAGGTGGGAGGTGTCTGTCACCCAGCCTGAGTGGGGGTCCCCAGGGTAGGCGCAGGCCAGCCAGAGACACTGAGGGTGGGGGGCCGAGGGGGCCCAGGGAAACGGAATTCTCCTGGCCTGTGCCCCCCGGTTTGGGAGCTGGGCTGTTGTGTCCCAAGCATCTGTCAGCTTTCTGGACCCTGGCGGGGGCACAGCCAGAGAAGCCAGCTCAGCCTGACCCCTGACCCCTCCGTGACCTCCACCAGGACTGACTTCCCAGAACTCCTGGTTGGGGCTGGGAGCGTCGGAAGCTGCTGCTGTGGGCTTCCGGCCATCCTGGGAGGAGCCTGGAAGGTCTGAGGCCACCTGTGGTCTGGAGGATGACGAGGAGGTCCTAGCAGAGCCACACTTGCGACCCTTGGCTTCTCAGCAGTGGGTGCTGTCTTGTACCCCGGCCAGCTGAGTTGAGGGGGTTTTGTGGCATCTGTAGCCACGGCCAGTGCCCCAGTCCGAGGAGAGGCCCCAAGGCCACACTGCACAAGCCCTCCAGCCTCATGCGCACGCAGGGCAAGCCCTTCCCTAGGGCCCCAGCTGCACCTGCCCAGCCCAACCTGGCATGGCGGCCCCGGGGCTGCCTCAGTGAGGACAGAAGCAGTATTCCCAGCCCATGGTGATGTCCTGGTGTTGAACTCAGACATGTGGATGGCAGCTCAGGGCAGCTAGAAAGTCCTCTTGAGGCTAGGAGCACTGGCCACCTCAAGGGAGGCAGCAGGAGCCAGGGAGAGGCGGGGCTGGGGACTCCTGGCTGTGAGGAGGAGGCTGGGCCCAGCCCCGGCCCTCCTGTCAGGTGTGGACACCCTTGTCCATCTGTTCCTGGTGCCTCGAGGGCCCCACTGTTGGGGCATGTGGGGGATATGGCCGCCGTGGCCTGGCCCCTGGGGGTGCCTGGGTATGGACTCTGGCACTGCAGCTGGGAGAGGCAGGTGCTGTGGGGCCCGACTTTGGCATCTGACTTTGCCCCCTCTCCCCACCCCTGTTGCCCTGCTGGGAGGGGGTCTGCTCCAAGGGCCCCTGGGCTGCCCGCCTGCCTCTGGAGTAACAGCCTGTTTCTGTAGCCTGTCCCGGGCCCCAGACCGCACCACACATTCTGACCACTGTCACCTGGGTTTCGGAGGCAAGCGTGGCCTAGGAGGTGTGGGGGACATCTGGGATCCATGTGGGAGCCAAACAAACCTGCCTGTGCTTCTTTTTAAATATCTGTTTGCCCAGGTGCTCGGTGTTGACCCGAGTTGAGAGTTGTGTCTCCCTGTGACTGGTGCGTGGCCTGTGTGTCTTCGGGTCTGTGAGGGGCTTTGCCCTGAGGCTGGGACTCTCTGCAGAGCCAGCAGCTTGGCCTCCTGGGAGCAAACCCAGGGCAGCTGGCCAGGGCCTTGGGGCCTGAGCCCTCAGTCCGATACTCAGTGCCCGGAGTGGCTGTGGGCAGAGTTCCTGGGGTCCAGGCCACAAAGTCTTCATCCTGCCAGGGAGCCTGTCACACCAGTCAACAGGGGGCCCACAGAGCTGTGATGGCCGCCCCGGCATTTGGGGCTCCCTGAACTGGGTGAGGGGGTCCAGAGAGGGGCCTTCCACCCCCCAGCTAGGGGCTGCTCAGCGAGCCGTCCTTAGGGTAAGCCCCTGGGAGGCTACTTTCTGCATGCAGAGTGCTGCCTTGGGACCTGCGGGGGGGGGGGGGGGCAGGCGGAGTGGGGAAGGGGGAACTGGATCTAGGGAATGGAGCTGGGGGCTGGAGCGGCTGCGGGGGCAGGAGGTTGGAGCTGGGGCAGAGCTAGGGCTGGAGCTGGGCGGGTAGAGGTGCCAGAGCGAGGTGGGGGGCTGGAGCTGTGACCTGTGGCTGCAGCTCGAGGGCTGGGCTTGGCCAGTCTGCCCTTCAGGCCACTCTGAGCTGCGGCAACCTCAGCGCCTGTCACCAGGGGTCTCCTGTGGCCTGACCCTGGAGTGGCAGCGTGTCTGGGAGCTGGGAACACGCCCGGCCCTGCCTGTACCTGCTGAACCACCGGCGTGTCTGTCCACTTGTGCATCTGACAGGTGCACAGGTGGGCCTGGCAGCAGAGGCCTGGAAACAAAGGGTCTTTGTTTGGGAGGCCAGGGTAGTCCCCGCTCTGAGGCAGTGACTCACAGGGCCTTGGTGTGATGACATCTGTGTTGCAACAGCCGTGTGTCATGCATGCGACATGGGGCCTTCCACCCACCCCACGCCCACGGCCCTCACGTGGGGTGATAAAGCTTGACAGGTGGCCAGGGCTGGAGGGCTGGGAAAACCCCGCCTTGATCTCTGCAGGGAGGTGTCTCCAGACCCCTCAGTCCCCCACCACCCGCCAGGCCTCTCCATGCCACACGGGGGGTGGGGTGGGGGGAGCAGGGCACCCCTCTGCAGCAGGAGGCAGAGCCTCCGGACTCAGGTCCTCAGAGCCGGTGCCTTTTAGACTGAATTCCAGTGCCTGGGCCGGAAGGGCTGGGTGGGGCCAGTCTGCAGAGGTGGTGGAGGGTGAGGCACCGTGACCCCGTCACCCCGGTGGGGACTTGGCCTAGCTCTGCCTATCATCATTCCCTCTCTGTCCGAGGTGGGTGGCTGCGGGTGCAGAGCCCCAGGGGGAGGCTAGGCCTGCCGAGACTGTCAGACACCTCCAGAGGGTGGGGCCGGGGCTTGAGTTTCCTTTGGCATGGGTCACTGGGCTGGGTCAGGCACCGGGTCCATGGGGAGGGGAGGGGACTGTGGGCCTCCTGGGCCCCTATCCTGCCTGCCCAGCTAGCCCTGGAGGGTCTGAGGATGCCTGTGTTGTTTGCTCTGCAGGATGAAGCTGAGGAGGTCCTGGCAGAGCCACATTTGCAACCCCTGGCTTCTCAGCCTTGGGTGCTGTCTTGCACCCCTGCCGGCTGAGTTAAGGGGGCTTTTCAGCAGCCGTGGCCCCGACGGAGCGGGATGCCCCAGCCCCAGTCCAAGGAGAGGCCCCAACGCCACGCTGCACAGTTCGCTGGGCAACAGGAGCAGGGCAGAGGCCAAGGCTGGGAGCGGGAGGAATGCCTGCCCCTCCCACCTCCACCTCCCTTCAGCCACTCCTCCTCGGACCACTCATCCACAGTCCACCTCTGCTGGGAACCCCGAGGAGAGAGGAGGGGGTGGGTCCCAGGGAGGCCCTCTGAGGAAGAGATGAGGCCCAGGACAGGGTGGGGCCAGATCTCAGCTCTGTGGGGTGGTTCTGACCCGGCTGGCGTGGGGCAGTGGGCCTCCCGAGAGCAGGGCGGACATCGGGGGAGGGTCGGCAGGGACGGTGCGGAGGGCAGGGAGGCCAGAGGGAGGGGCTGTGAGGTCTGGGGGTGCAGAGGTCTGAGGGAAGGGAGTGTGGGCACCCAGAGGCCAGCTTGCTGGGGTGGCATGGGTTCCAGTTCCTGGGCTGTGGGAGCGTCTGGAGTGGGTGGCTGAGACCTCAAGGGGAGGCCCAGGGAGTGCAGGGAGACCCAGGGGTTTGGCCTGTGCCCTCTCAAAAACCTCCTCTTTGAGGACCCTAGAGACTGTCCAGGTCTGTGGGATGGACAGGCCAATGGGGACACAGAGGTCTTTCTCCTCGGCCCACAGCAGGAGAGGGAGATGCCAGCTCACCCCAGAGCAGGAAACCAGGAGAAAGAGCCGAGCCCCTGAAATCAGGGTGCAGGCCCCACAGAGCCAGTCCATGGAGCTGGAAACGTCTTCACTGGCTGTTGGCGGGCCCAGGAACAGGGCCTTGTGTGAACAAGGGGCCTCCTCTCCCCTCTGGGTGTGGAGGGCCGGGCCCGCCCGTCTCAGTGGCCATCTGCTCCCCAAAGCTCCCAAGCTGTCTGCTTGTCAGCTGGTCTCATGGTGGCATGGCTGGGGAGCCTGGGGCTGGTGGGGCAGCAGGAGGGCCATGCCTCCTAGATCTGAGGACTCAGCCCAGACTGCTGGCCAGGAAGAGGGTAGAAGGGTCTGGGGTTATCCAGGTGGCAGGGGCCAGACAAAGGCCTGCCGGGCATAGGGTGTGTGCTGAGCCCCTGGAGGAGGAGGAGGAGATCTGGACCCATCAGTGCTGGGAGTCTGCCCACATGGAATACCAAAGAGACCAGGGCACAGGGAGCTGGGCTCGCACCTGGGGCTGCTGGATGGGGTGTCTCCCCTGGAAGACCTGGAGATCACCCTCCTGAGGTCCTGGGAAGAGACCTATGGGCAGAGCCCCTCCCCCTCCTTGCCTGGGGCGGGGGGTCGTCAAGCCTTGGCCTCAGAGTCATCACCTGGGTCCCGGTTTCATGGCCACACAGCTGCCTTTTCTTTCTAAGGATGCTAGTAAGACCACCTCGGTCTGGGTTTAATGTGACTCTGCCTGCAGCTTCGGTGTTAGGGCTTGGAACTCAGTCCAGAACAGGAGCCTCCACCACCGCCACCATCCCAGCCAGGCACAGGGGGCAGGTGAAGGCCTGGAGGCCTCAGGGGTGGGAGTGCCCCCAGGCACAGGCAGCGCTTTGCATCTTGGGAGCTGATGTCAGGGGGCAGCCTCCAACGGGTGGGGGCAAAGGGGCAGGACCAAGAGGACGGCAGAGGTGGGTACTCTCCTCCTGAGGGATCCTGAAGGGATCAGAGCCCTCCCTCTTGGCTTGACCTGCATTCCCCGCCGGCCATGCACCTCCTGGGGGCTGGGCACACACGGCTGCTCCATGCCTGTCCAGCTCCAACACTGTCCCCTCCACGGTGGGCTTTCAGGTCACTGGTGGAGATACATCCATGGGGCTCAGGAAAAGTCAGCTGTCTTGTATCCCAAGTTCCCACATGGAAAAGAACTCGGTGACTTCCCATTTCCCGAGGGCCTCCTGGTTCAGCCCTGGTCTCTGGGAACTGAGTACATTGGTGGGTGGGGAGCTGTATGTGCTCAGCCTGGGGGAGGGGATGCCATGGCACCTCCACCATCTAGAGGAGCCACGGGGCAGGGAGACACCAGTGAGCAGGGAGGATCCACAGGGCAAGTTCGAGGTGAGGCCAGAGAGCTGTAGCTACCCTGGCTCTGGACCCCCAGCTGCCGCCCCAGGTCCAGGTCCAGCAGTCAGCCCACGTGTCCTCTGAACCTGTTCACCAACGTACACATGGGAGGGTCAGTCCAGGGCAGGCTTTGTTCTGATTTAAAATTTAATGTCTTAGGTTGAAAAACACTACATTTCCATTTTTGTATGTCAGAAGTGGTTGCAAACGGGATTTTTAGACTCTTTCTATTGGGGGGTCTGGGGCATTTGCACTGCATTCCACAGGGGCAACTCTGGGGAGCCACAAAGAGCTGGGTAGTGCAGGGTGAGGTGTGGGAGGCCAGCCCTTGGTTCAAATCCTGTTCTCCACTGTCCATGAGGTCCTCAGCAAGTTCTCTGGCCTCTCCAAGCACACACAGGTTTCCTCAAGCAATTCCAAACTCCAGAGGAGACATCCAGGAAAATCGGCTGGCAGGGATCTCAACACCCATGATGGGCAGACCCTGGGCTCTAGTGTGCAACCCCTGTGGGAGGGGAGAGCCCCATCCTGCTCACACAGGGGTCTGTCAGTCCCAGATTCAAGGTGGCTCATTGGAGCCTTAACTCATCTGCCTGACCTAGGGATGCCTCTGGTCCCACCTGTGCCTCCTGGGGGTGTGAGGATCGCTGTGCACATCACTGAGCAGAGCACCTCCCACCCCATTCTGTCCTCCCTGAGACCACTGCTTCCTTCAAACAGAAAAAACCCAAACCTGCTCCCAAACCCATGGCCTGAGCCTGACCCCGACCCAAGCCTGACCGTGACCCTAATGCTCCAGACTGGATCCTGCCCCAAAGTAGGACAGCAAAGGCCACAGCGGGCACCACCCAGATTCTCCAGACAGAAAACCCAGTGGGACTCCGGGGCTCATGTCACCCCTTGTCCTGGGGCTACGAAGGTAGTGAGAGGTGGGCTGGGTGCCGGATGGCTGGTACTGTTTTCTTGAGGCGGAATTTGGGAAGGCTCGTCATCACTCAAAGGTTCGATTCCTGGGACTTGGGCCAGAGTGTGAAGCAGAGCACTAGCTCTCTGTGGCCACAGGAAGCCTTAAAACGAAAGTCTCTTCGGAAAGAATGCGGCGACTGACGTGTAAACTGAAAAGATAAATGGCCAGTTTTAAAGTTCTCCTGCGTTTGTTTAAACACGCGCGGGGCTGACAGCACAAGCGGTACAAATGCATTACCCACAAACGCCAAGTTCTGACATAAAAGTCTTTCCTTAAATCATGTAAAAAACACCGAGACCAGCACACTGTCCACTTAAACTTACATCGACACAAACTTACAATAAATAAGTCACAAGCGAACACCGAGTCATATTTACCACGAAGTCACTGGACAGAGACGGAGGCCAAAACACCATTAAAGTGAATTGATGTGAAACCACTTTGTCTTAGACGCACACGTGAGAAACGCCACTGATAAGAGACACGGAAGAACGGAGTCCAGCCCCGAGTGCCGGTCGGGGACCGCACGGGGTCAGTGGGTCAGGGTGCAGCCGGCCAGGTTCAGGCCCGCTGAGATCCAGGAACCGGCACCTCCACGTGGACATGGCGCGCTGCGGCTCGCTGCGGTCCAGGAACGGGGGGCACATCCCCCTGGACATGGCGCGCTGCCCCGGCGACCCCCAGGGTGTCTCCCAAACGCAGGCCGAGACGCACGCAGCGGCGTGGCCGCGGGACCGGAGCGCTGGGACTCAAGCGACGCTCGTCCCCTCGGCATCTGCCCCAAGGCGCAACGGGGTGAACCGGCTGCCCAGAGGGCCGGGCGGCGGCGGCGGCGGCTCAGGGGATGCCCTCCCTCCTCTGGCAGCACTGCGAGGGTGGCGCGGACCAGTCGTAGACGTAGGACAGGCGCAGCTGCACCTCGCGCTTGCACAGGCGGCCCTCCCGCGCCAGCGTCGCGTGCTTCTCCAGCATGTCCTCCAGGCTCTGCTTGTGCGTCACCAGGTACTGGTTGCTGCATCCGCGGGAGCGGTACTCGGTGTCGAAGCGCGGGTCGTGCTCGCGCTGCACGTCCACCGGCGCCAGCCAGGCTCCCAGAGACACGTCCTCGCTGTGCCAGGCGCGCAGGTAATCGCGGCTGAGGCGCAGGTAGCGCACCAGGTCGGCCGAGAGGACGTAGCCGCCGCCCAGCGCGTAGGGCAGATAGTAGTCGCAGAGCTGCCAGGCGGCCTCGCGCCAGCGGCCCCCGGGCTTGACGCGGCCGCGGCCCGAGAAGAAGCCCCAGTAGAGGCGGCGGCGGCGCGCGGGGTCGCGGGCGCGCAGCTCCGCCAGCAGCGCGTCCAGCCGCGCGAAGGAGTCGTCGTCCGCCTTGAGTACGAACTCGAAGGCCACGTGCTCGTCCAGCCAGGCCAGCATGGCCAGCACCTTGGCCGTGAGGTTGTCGTAGGCGTCGCGCAGCGCGGGCAGCAGCAGCAGGTCCCCGTGCCGCGCCTGCTCGCGCTCCAGAGCGCGCCGCTCCTCGGCGCCCAGGCCCGCAGTGCCCACGGCGAAGCGCGCCCACACGTCGCCCGGGGCCCCGCGCCGCGTCAGCCACGTGCTGCGGACCACGCTGCGGCGCTCGGCGGCGCGGGGCGCGCTGGCCACCAGCACTGCCAGGAAGGCGGATGCGCGCGCGGGAGCCGGGGGCTGGGGGCTGCGGCGCGGCGCCGCCCTGGAGCCCCGGGGCTCCGACGCGCAGCGCGCCAGGTAGAGCAGCGCCGCCCCGCACAGCACCAGCGCGCCCAGGCCCAGCGCTGCCCGCCGCCGCCACGCGCGCCGCAGCAGCTTCATGGCGCCCGCGCCGGGCCCGCGGCCCAGGCCGGGCGCGCGAATGCGCAGGCGCTCCCGGCTTGGTGCGGTGCGCGTGCGCACCGCGCTCCCGGGAGCGCGCCGGAGCCTTCCGAAAACGCCTAGTCTCGGGGGCGCTCGGAGGCCAGCGACCAATCGGCGGCCGCGGCGGTACCAGGAGCGGCCGTCACGTGGCCTCGCGCGCCCTTCTCATTGGTCGACCTCGGACTGGGCCCCGCGACCGCTTCCGCCCGAAGGAAAGATGGTGGTGCCAGCGTCCCTGCAGTGAGGTCGCGCCCGTTTGCGCCGCCCCCGCCCGCAAGAAAGATGGCAGCGGCCTGAGCCAGGCCCGTTGGTGGCGTCACGGGCGCTTCGCTCCGCTCCTCGGATCCCGGGTGTGGGGAGGCAGGCCGGTGAGTGAGGGGCCCCAGGCGGCCTCTGCAGGCGGCGGGGCCGAGTGTCCCCGCCGGCCGGACGGCGAGGGCGGGTCTAGAGGCCGTCGCCGCCTCCCGCCCTGGGCCGGAACACCGTCGGTCCGTTCGGCCTCGAGCCCTAGCGAGACTCCGCCGTCACCGGAGCTCCTGGGAGCAGGGACGGGCAGACGACGCGAGTCTCCCAGGCCATGGGCACGTCTGGTCTTCTGTTGGCCAAAACATACGAATGCCACCGCGAAACGGAGGCCGAGGGGGGTATGGTTGGACTCGCATTTATCAGCGAGGCGACCTTGGACAAGCTGCCCAGCTTCCCTGCGCCTCCGTTTCCGCTTCCGAACCGCGTGGATCCTCATCCCCAGTTAGGAGGATTTGGAAATTTGAAGTCTGCTGTGCCCTTGACGTCTGGCTCAGAGGCGGTGTTAGGAACCCTGCTGAGCTTTCAGAATAAGTACGTGTGTATGTTTCACCGCCAGAAATAGCTTCGTTCCACCAGAGCTGAAGCCGGGGATGGCAAAGAAATACCGTCTCTGCTTAAGCCGTTTCCCACGTTCACTTCGCAAGGGCGTATTGATTCCTTGCTAGGGACCGAGGCTTCTAGGGGATGGCGATTCCACAAGACGAAGTCTGAAATCCCCTTCGGTGGGCGGGACAGGCCGGCTCAGCTGTGCTTTTAGTCTCCGGTTCACTGTGACGCCAGGGGAGGAAGTTCCACGTGATGGACTCCTGATATCTAGTTATTTTTTGATTACTTTTTAAAATTTTCCTTTTTTGAGACAGGGTCTCACATTTTTGTTTTTGCTTTTTAAAGAGATGCGGTCTCAGCCGGGCGCAGTGGCTCACGCCTGTAATCTCAGCACTTTGGGAGGCCGAGGCAGATGGATCACGAGGTCAGGAGTTCAAGACCAGCCTGCCCACCTGGCCAAGATGTGAAACCCTGTCTCGACTAAAAACACACACACACACACAAAAGCCAGCTGTGGTTGTGGGCGCCTGTAATCCTAGCCAGTCGGGAGGCTGAGGCAGGGAATTGCTGGAACCTGGGAGCAGGAGCTTGCAGTGAGCTGAGGTCGCACCACTGCACTCCAGCCTGGGTGACAGAGCAAGACTCCGTATCAAAAAAAAAAAAAAATATCGACCCAGTCTCACTGTGCCGCCCAGGCTAGTCTCACGGTCCTCCTGCCCCAAGTAAACTTCCCTGTAACTCATCAAGATAATGTAGAATCGAGAGCTGGCTCTGTTCTCTCTAGGAACAAAGTGCAGTCTCTGCACACAGACTGTAGTTAGTAGAGTTAGCACCAGGAAGAGGTGTCTGGTGAGCTGGGACGACAGGAACAGAATTATGCCACCAGGAGGGAAGGAAAAAGCCCTCAGCCATGTTAAGAAAATCAGACTGATGGCCGGGCACGATGGCTCATGCCTGTATTCCCAACACTTTGGGAGGCCAAGTTGGGAGGATCACCTGAGGTCGGGAGTTCAAGACCAGCCTGACCCAACATGGAGAAACCCCATCTCTACTACAAAAATTAGCTGGGCGTGGTGGTACATACTTGTAATCCCAGCTACTTGGGAGGTTGAGGCAGGAGAATCACTTGAACCCGGGAGGGGGAGGTTTCGTGAGCTGAGATCACGCCATTACACTCTATCCTGGGCAAAAAAAAGTAAAAACATAAAGTAAATCAGGCCAGGTGCCCGTGGCTCACACTTGTAGTCCCAGGACTTTGGGATGCTGAGGTGGGAGGATCACTTGATTGAGGTCAGGAGTGTGAGACCAGCCTGGCCAACAGGGTGAAATCATATGGAGAGACAGAGCTGGAAACTCAGTGTCTGTAAAAAAGGGTAAAAGGAGTGGGTGCCGTGGCTGACACCTGTAATCCCAGCACCTTGGGAGGCTGAGGCAAGAGGATCGCTTGAAGTCGGGAGTTTGAGACCAGCCTGGGCAATACATCGAGACCTATCCTTACAAAAAATAAAATATTAATAATTAGCCGGGTGTGGTAGTGCATGCCTGTGGTCCCAGCTGCTCGGGTGGCTGAGGCAAGAGGGTTGTCTGAACCCAGGAATTCGAGATCTCAGTGAGCTGTGATCACCACCACACTCCAGCCCGGGCAACAGACCAAGACCCTGTTTCTAAAAAAAAAAAAAAAAAGGAAAAGATGCTGTGTGTGGTCTGGAGCCTGTAAACCAAGGATGCGTTTCCTGTTGCAGAATGGACGTGCTCAGGGCACTCGAAGTCTCACTAACGACGTGTCTGTCTTCTCCGCAGACCGTGAGCTGTTGCCGTGAGGGCCTCTGGAGCCGTGCTGCCCGTCCCCAGCCTGTGGCCCTTGTGGGGACACACCCTCTTCAGTGCCTGGGGCTTGGACTGGAGCCAGACCTCACTTCCTCCTCTGCCCCTGCCCTTCCCAGCACCTGGCCCACACCCTGCAGCCCACCCCATGGTCTGGCCCTGGGTAGTGATGGCGTCCCGGTGGGGTCCCCTGGTGGGCCTGGCTCCGCGCTGCCTCTGGCTCCTGGGGGCGGTCCTTCTGATGGATGCGTCTGCGAGACCTGCCAACCACACGTCCACTCGAGAGAGAGCGGCCAACAGGGAGGAGAACGAGATCCTGCCCCCCGACCACCTGAACGGTGTGAAGCTGGAGATGGACGGGCACCTCAACCGGGACTTCCACCAGGAGGTCTTCCTGGGCAAGGACCTGGGGGGCTTTGATGAGGACACGGAGCCACGGCGGAGCCGGAGGAAGCTGATGGTCATCTTTTCCAAGTAGGCGTTGCCCGCGTGGGCCCATCCCAGCTCTGCATGGTGGGGGGCACTGGGCCCTGTGTCAGGATCTGCTGGGCTGGCAAGGTGTGCCCATGATCAGCGGCACTTCCAGCCTGCTGTTTGCACCAAGGCCTGTGCTGGCAGCCTGGAGCTGAGAGGGCCTGAGTGAGCCTGTTTGGCCATCCCTAGGATAGCAGGAGGAGGCGCCCACCAGCACCGTGTGGTCAGCATCCTCTGTGCTGAGGGGCAGATGGGTGGCCTTCGTAGGCTGCAGCACCAGCTAGACAAGGCCTGGCTGAAGAGCAAGGGCCAGCCATGGGCAGCTGGAGAGCTGGTGCCTTGCGCACTGGGCTCCTCCTGGCACGCCCTCTACCTTGTGTCTGCAGTCGCTGCCACACACGGGTGGGGCCCTCTACCCTGTTTGTCTGTGGTCCCTGCCATACGCTGGTGGGGAGTGTGTCACACGCAGATGTGGGGAGTGTGGGATTGCCTTGTTTTGCTGGCCCGGTCAGGAGCAGAGCTGTGCTGTGCCTGTGGCCTGCCCTTGGCTGTCACTGCCTCTGCCCTGCGGAGTCCCCGAGCCCCTCTTGTTATCTCTGTGCCTAGTGCCGAGCTTTCTCCCCCAACTGTCCCCCGGTCTCGGGAGCCTGGTTTAAGGGGCCCAAGATGGGTTGACCTGACTCAGTCATCCCCGGAGCCAGGTCCTGCGGCAGAACCGGGGTGCCCTGCGGGGTGGACCTGGAACCCACACGCACTCAGTGCTGGCCTCACCCCTGGAGGGTTCCTGGCCACAGAGCAGGGTCAGGACATGCCCTCAAATCCTCCAGGCCAGCTGAGGTGCGGGGCAGGGAGCCAGGGTGCAGGTGAGAGAACACCCTGGGGCTTCTGGGGCCTGCAGGACCTGGGCACATGGAGGCAGCCCCGGCCTCGCCATCCTGCAGGGTGTGGTGCTCCAGGGCCAATGTGCAGAGGGGCAGGTGGCAGAGCTGGTGAGCAAGGTGGTTGGGCAGGGCCAGGGCCCAGGGGAGCAGGTGCAGGCAGGGAAAGAGTGAGGATGGGCGTGGCTGTGCCAGGGACCTGGGCTAAGGATCCAGGCTTTTGGGCGGAGCACACGTGAGCTGGTGGGAGGGAGGCGTGGTGCCAGCCGGAGGACCTGGGCACTGGGTATGGTGGCCCTTTGCCCCTCTCCCCAGATGGCACGATTCAGGGTTCCCTGTGTGCCCTGTGTTTACTCAGTAAAGGCTGCTGGTGCTCCCGGAGTCTGTCAGCATCACCACTCATGAGCTTACAAAGGCCTTGCTCAGGTGTCCCGGGGTGGGGGTGTGGGGGGTTGTCCCTGCCTGTGTGGTGCTGGGAGTGGACTGCCCACCTGGCGAGGCGAGTCGAGGCATCTGCTCGGTGCGTCTCCAGTAGGACTGGGGTTTCTTTTTGCTACCCGTCAGGAAACGCTGAGCCACCTTGTTTGAGGAGCGGGTACGGGGAATAGGAAATAGCAGTGGGTCTTCCCGACACCAGCGCTGAGCAGGGACTTCACTCCTTAGCACGGGATTCCCTTCTTGCCCTCTTTCTGCGCAGGCCCTGCATCGCCAGGACCTCCGTTCACTCAGGCTTCCAGTCTCCTCTGCCTCTTCTGGGCAGGGACATCATCTGAGATTCCCCTGTTTTTTCGTGGATATAACGGTTCTGAGGAGGGCTGGGACTCCCGTTACTTGGTGGACATAACCGTTCTGAGGAGGGCTGGGACTCCCGTTTTTTGGTGGAAGTAACAGTTCTGAGGAGGGCTGGGACTCCCGTTTTTTGGTGGACGTAACAGTTCTGAGGAGGGCTGGGACTCCCGTTTTTTGGTGGGTGTAACAGTTCTGAGGAGGGCTGGGACTCCCGTTTTTTGGTGGGTGTAACAGTTCTGAGGAGGGCTGGGACTCCCGTTTTTTGGTGGGTGTAACAGTTCTGAGGAGGGCTGGGACTCCCGTTTTTTGGTGGACGTAATGGTTCTGAGGAGGGCTGGGACTCCCGTTTTTTGGTGGGTGTAACAGTTCTGAGGAGGGCTGGGACTCCTGTTTTTTCATGGACGTAACTGTTCTGAGGAGGGCTGGGCAGGAGGTTCTAGGATGTCCCGCTTTGGGCTCGTGGGGTGTGTTTCTTCCTGACAGGACGAAAGAACACCCAGAGGGGAGGTGCCCTCTCCTAGGGGGTCCCGAACACCATGTGGCACCCTGGGGAGCTGTCTCTGTCCCTGTCCCGCCCTCCCTGGCATCTGGGACCAGGTGCAGGTGCAGGTGCAGGTGCAGGTGATGCCTCCTCCCGTGGGCCAAGTGTCACAGCCACGAGGATTCTATGGGTTTCTGCTCCCTGTGCATTTACTTATCAGTCAAGGCTCTTTTTGTTTTTATGTCTGTGTTTGCTCTGAGGTCTCTCTCTGTCACTCAGGTTGGAGTGCAGTGGTGGGATCTCAGCTCACTGCAGGCTCAAGCTCCTGGGCTCAAACGTTTCTCCCACCTCAGCCTCTTAAGTAGCTGGGATCACGGGCCCGCACCACCACACCCAGCCAGCTTCTAAATTGTTTTGTAGAGAAAGGGTCTCACTATGGTTGTCCAGGTTGACCTCGAATTCTTGGGCTCAAGCGATCCTCCCACTTCAGCCTCCCACAGTGCTGACACCACAGGGGTGACCGCAGCGCCCAGCCCCTCATGGGTTTGCGTCCTGTGGTGTGGACTTTGCTGCGTGCTTTGGGCCCAGCACTGCTGATTGTGCTGCTCACGTGGCATCGGCTTTGGCTGTTGGGAGCTGTGGCTCTTGCGTCTTTGGCTTTTGAGCTCACTTTGCCTCCCTGCTTCCTGGCACCATGAGATGCTCCAGGCTTGCCTCCACTTGCCCAGTGCACAGCAGCCGCCTTACCAGCGAGCCCTGGCCTCTGTGGCCGGAGCTGGAAGCTGGGGTCTGGGCACTGGGGGTCTTGCCCTTGTCCTTTCGGAGGCCAGAGCTCGGTACCATGAAGCTGACCTGGCCCAGGTCCCCAACCACACACGCCTGGCGAGGGGCCGGGGCACCCTCCTCTTGGGACACCTCTGGAAAGTGCACCAGCCCGCCCCGGAGACCATGCCCCTCTCAAAGCCCCGCCTCCCAGTGCTGCTGTCCTGGGGGTTGAGTTTCCAGCAGGTGAGCAGAGCTCTGTGAGGCTGGGACCCAGTGGCCTGGCCTGTGGCCTGTGGCCTCCTGGCCTGTGTTGGCCCCATGTCTCTGATATGTGTCCTGGTTCCCCAAGTCTGTGGTTTCTTCCATCCTTGGACACAATGCTAAGTCCCCACATGGTCTCTCTCCTAAGTCTTGTAACTTTACATTTATATGAAGGAAGGATTTGTTTTGTTTTGAGTTAGGGTCTCGGTTGCCCAGGCTGCAGTGGTGCCATCACAGTTCACCGCAGCCTCCACGTTCCAGGTTCAGGCAGTCCTCCCACCTCAGCCTCTTGAGTAGCTGAGACCACAGGTCCGTGTCACCACACCTGGCGAATTTTTGTAATTGTTTTTTGTAGAGATGAGGTCTCCCTGTGTTGTTGCCCAGGCTGGTCTTGAACTCTTGGGTTCAAGTGATCCACCCGTCTCAGCCTCTCAGCATGCTGGGATTGCGTGTGTGGCCACTGCATCTGGCCTATCTCAAGGTTTTTGTGTGGCCGTACCTGAAACATCAAAAATAAAATGGGGGCCGGGCCCAGAGACTGCATCTGTAACCCTAGCACTTTGGGAGGCCGAGGTGGATGGAATCACTTGAGGTCAGGAGTTCAAGACCACCAGCCTGCCCAATGTGGTGAAACCTCACTTAAACTAAAAATACAAAAATTAGCTGGGTGTGGTGGTGCACACCTATAATCCCAGCTACTTGGGAGGCTAAGGTGGGAGAATCCCTTAACCCAGGGGGTGGAGTGTGCAGTGAGTGAGATTGTGCCACTGTACTCCAGCCTGGTGACAGAGCGAGACTCCATTTCAATATATAATTAAAAGTGAAGACTGTGACTTTTGAGAGCTGTTGGAGAGAGGGGTCTGGTGGTGATTCTGTACTGCTGTGATGGTGCGGTAGGGTCCCTGTGTCTTCCAGAGGAGGGACTGTGGCACCCCCTTTCCCCAGTGTGTCTGGCACGGCCCCAGCCCCCATGTCCTGGACATTTCTCTCGGTGCCCCGGGGAGCCTTCGCTGTTAGTGATGGGTTCACATCGCGTGGAGCCCCGGGGCTGGGGCTGTCCATCTGGCAGTTTGGGGTCCTGGGGCCGGTCTGACGGCCGCCTGCCCATGTGCTGCCTGCAGGGTAGACGTGAACAGTGACCGGAAGATCAGCGCCAAGGAGATGCAGCGTTGGATCATGGAGAAGACGGCTGAGCACTTCCAGGAGGCCATGGAGGAGAGCAAGATGCACTTCCGAGCCGTGGACCCCGATGGGGACGGTACCGCGGCCAGGCCGGTGGGCAGGGCGGGTAGGGCAGGCAGGGCCGTGGACCTCGCCTGGGTCCTGGAGGGCAGACAGGCCTGGTCTGAGGGAAGGGCGGTGGGGAAGTGTCAGCTGGAGGCCCGAGGTGTGGTGGGGTACACTGGGGTACGCGAAAGCTGGGCTAGTGATGCCCGAGGCTTGGTGAGGAAAACGTGCTCTGAGCACTGGGTGTGGCCATGGAAGGCGCCGCTCAGGGCTTGTCACTGTCTGTGCCTCTTAGTGACACTGGGCACAGACATTCCCAGCTGGCTTCACAGGTGAGGAGGCGGGCGCGGGCTACTGGCCTGGGCCCCAGGGCTCCAGACGCTGGCATCCTGCTGTCTCCAGCCTGGGCAGCAAGCAAGACCCCATTTCAGCTGAAAAGGCAGCTCAGCTCAGTGTCAGACGTCCTGACAGGTATGACCTGCTCTTCCAGGCCACGTGTCATGGGATGAGTATAAAGTGAGGTTCTTGGCAAGTAAAGGTCACAGCGAGAAAGAGGTTGCCAACGCCGTCAGGCTCAACGAGGAGCTCAAAGTGGATGAGGAAAGTGAGTGCTCACCAGGCTCCTGCCGCCCGGGTCTCAGGCATCCCCTGCGTGCGTGCATGTTGTGTGTATTTGAGTGCACCATGTGCGTGTGCTCGTGGGTACATGCCGTGAATGTGCACATGCTCGTGGGTACATGCGGTGTGCGTGTGCTTGTGGGTACATGCAGTGAGTGTGCGTGTGCTCGTGGGTACCTGGTGAGTGTGCGTGTGCTCGTGGGTACCTGGTGAGTGTGCGTGTGCTCGTGGGTACATGGTGAGTGTGCGTGTGCTCATGGGTACACATGCAGGTGAGCCGTGTGCTCGTGGGTACACATGCAGGTGAGTGTGCCATGTGCTTGTGGGTACATGAGGTGAGTGTGCATGTGCTCATGGGCACACGTGCAGGTGAGTGAGCTGTGTGCTCCTGGGTACATGCAGTCAATGTGCATGTGCTCGTGGGTAAATGCGGTGAGTGTGTGTTTGTCCATGGGTACGTGTGAGTGTGCCATGTGCTTGTGTGTACGTGTGCAGGTGAGCCATGTGCTCGTGGGTACATATGGTGAATCTGCACACGTGTCTGCATCACACCTATTGTGTATGCGCATGTGCATGTGTGTCCTGACCCTATATCCCAACATGGGTGGTGGTGGCTGTGAGGAGGGAAAAAGCCATTGCTGGCCCAGGCACTGCCCAGGGGTCAGGTGGGGAGCGTGTGAGCCATGCCCGGCCACTCTCAGCACACTCTCGCTGGTCACGACACCATCATGGTGGTTATCCAGTGAGCTCCTGCAGAGGATCTGAGGCCGTGAGTCTTGTGGGGCTCTGCCTGATACTCTGAAGGCCACGTGAGGCGGGGTTTCCCAGGGATAGGGAACGGCCTGTGTCTAAGGGCCTGGCCCTAGGGTCTGGGGTCTGCTGAGACATCTGTATGGCCACCAAGTGGTCACTGGAAGCGGTTGGGTCCCAGGGAGAGGCTCTTCCTTGTGTCAGGGATGCGGCTGTTGGCCTGCAGGGCATCCTCAGCCCTGGCTGGGTCCGAGCTGGTGCCTCTGTGTGAAGAGGGTGGAGTGAGGTGGGGCCTGGCACCTGGGTTAAGGGCAGGCGAGAGGAGAGCCTGCCTCCCTGCACAGGGCCAGTTCCGGGAGAGCCGTCTGGGCAGCTGTCCTACTAGTGCTGTGGTGGCACACGGCGGAGCGGGGCCACGGTGGCCACTCCCCTGGGGCTCTGTGCCCTTACGCGTCACGCTCGCTTTCTGGTTTGGTTTGGGGGCTTTGCGGGGAGTCTGAGGAGGTGCTTGCCTGTTCCATCACTGCTCTGGTTTGTGGGGTGGTGTCTCTGCTGTCCTGCATAGCACCTGGGTACCCCATGGGACTGGTAATGTGATACGCAGCTGTTCCTGGTAGGCTGGGCGTATCTTACACCTTTATGTTTTGTGCCTGCTCAGCCTATCAGACGTTTCCTTACCAGAGGCTGACGTCAAACCACCTCTTAACCTCTCTTTTTTTGTGAGAGTGTTTCTCTTACCCAGCCTGGAGTGCAGTGGCGCAATCTCGGCTCACTGTGGCCGTAACTTCCTGGGCTCAGGTGAGCCTCCCACCTCAGCCTTCCAGGTAGCTGGGACCACAGGCGCCTGCCACCGTGCCTGGCTAATTTTTAAATTTTTTTATACAGACAGATTTTGCCATGTTGGCCAGGCTGGTCTCAAACTCCTGGCTTCAAGAGATCTGCCCACCTCAGCCTCCCAAAGTGCTGGGATTGCAGGTGTGAGCCACTGCGCTAGACTTAACCTCTTTCTTTTTTTAGTTTTTAACTTGTTATTGTTTTGGAGAGAGGGTCTTACTTTTGCCCAGGCTGCAGTGCAGTGGCACGATGTCAGCTCGCTGTAATCACATCCTGGTCTCAATTTATCCTCCTAGGAGAATTAAAAAAATTAAGTTGTAAGACATGTTCCTGCCAGGAATGGCCCCATATCATGTGACCAGCCCCCATGGGGGGCAGCCTCCTGAGTAACTGGGACCACCAGTGGGTGCCACCAGGCCTAGCTGATTTAAAAATACGTATTTTTTATAGACATGAGGTCTCCCCATGTCACCTAGGCAGGTCTCCAACTCTTGGGGTTTGAGAGGGTTTAATGACCTGCCGCCTCAGCTTCCCCCTGTCCTGGGGTGTGGGTGTGAGTGACCCCCCACCTCGGCCTCCCCCTGTCCTGGGGTGTGGGTGTGAGTGACCCCCCTGCCTTGGCCTTCCCCTGTCCTGGGGTTGTGGGTGTGAGTGACCCCACCCCTGCCTCGGCCTCCCCCTGTCCTGGGGTGTGGGTGTGAGTGACTCTCCTGCCTCAGCCTCCCCGTCCTGGGGTGTGGGTGTGAGTGACCCCCTCGCCTCGGTCTCCCTGTCCTGGGGTGTGGGTGTGAGTGACCCCCCACCTCGGCCTCCCCCTGTCCTGGGGTGTGGGTGTGAGTGACCCCCCTGCCTTGGCCTTCCCCTGTCCTGGGGTTGTGGGTGTGAGTGACCCCACCCCTGCCTCGGCCTCCCCCTGTCCTGGGGTGTGGGTGTGAGTGACTCTCCTGCCTCAGCCTCCCCGTCCTGGGGTGTGGGTGTGAGTGACCCCCTTGCCTCGGTCTCCCTGTCCTGGGGTGTGGGTGTGAGTGACCCCCCGCCTCGGCCTCCCCCTGTCCTGGGGTGTGGGTGTGAGTGACCCCCCTGCCTTGGCCTTCCCCTGTCCTGGGGTTGTGGGTGTGAGTGACCCCACCCCTGCCTCGGCCTCCCCCTGTCCTGGGGTGTGGGTGTGAGTGACTCTCCTGCCTCAGCCTCCCCGTCCTGGGGTGTGGGTGTGAGTGACCCCCTCGCCTCGGTCTCCCTGTCCTGGGGTGTGGGTGTGAGTGACCCCCTCGCCTCGGTCTCCCTGTCCTGGGGTGTGGGTGTGAGTGACCCCCCGCCTCGGCCTCCCCGTCTTGGGATTGCAGGCTCAAGCTCCTCTGCCTGCCCTTGTCCTTCTAGAATGACGTGGAGACTTTTCAAGCCTGTCGGCTCTGCCTGCCCTCTTCCAGTTCGTGTGCTCTTCTGGAGTTTGGTCCCGTCCTTTCTAAATCATACAAATTGGACATTAAAAAGGCCAAAACTTAGAGACAGGATCTCCCTGTTTGCCCAGGCTGGCCTCAAACCCCTGGCTAAGCGATCTCCCCGCCTCGGCCTCCCAGGTGCTGGGAGCCCCTGTCCCCGGCCAAACTGGACAGTAGTGTTTCCTTTCTAAAGAGTGGTTCCCATTTTCCTCACTGCGACCAATTGGTGCCTCCGCCCTGGGCCCTGTGTTTCACCTTTGTCCCGCGGGTGAGCTCTGTGCAACAAGTCCAGCCTGCTGGCAATTTGCCAGGTGGGAGGCCTGGGCCTGCATTGGCACCCTGACTCCTGTCGTGTCTGTCTTTCCTGGGTGCCATTTTATTTGGGTCTCTTCTGCCCAGGACACGTCCCACCTGGACCTAGAGCTTCGTGGCATCTCTGTGAAGCCGCCGTCTACCTTTGGGGCTCAGCAGAGGTGTATTTAGAATTTGCTCTGCATTCTGAGGGTCCTCGTGTACCCTGAGGTGCCCGTCCCTGCTCAACCATGTCTGATCCGCCTTCGCCTCCCCGACCTTAGGCTGCTTAGGACCCCCTTAGCCCTTCAGCTGTTTGGCTTCTGGATCAGGAAGAGCAGCTGCTGGGTCCTGGAGGGAGGTGCTGGGAAGCCCTGGCAGGTGCTGCCCCAACCCCCGTGACCTCTGACACCTCCCCTGCGACCTTCCACCCCTCCCCTGCGACCTTCCACCCCTCCCCTGCATGGATCCTTCAAAGGCCACGTATGGCCCACGCATGAGTCCTGGGCTGCTGTCCTCATGTGATTCTGGAGGCTGCGGTGAAGGCGTGGCAGGCGGGCATTGCCCCGTCTCCTGCCTCCATCCACTGCCTCGCTTGGGGTCTGTGTCCTCTTCCCACAGGGACAGTGGTCATTGATCCTCCCTGATCCAGGATGGTCTCTCCAGATCCCTCACTAACAGTGGCAGCAGAGACCCAGCTTGTGGTGGGGACTGGGGCCCACGGCTCCTCCAGGGCCTGAGGTCGGTGCTGGGGCTGAGTGGTTATGAGAATCCTGTGCTGGAGAGGTGCCTCCCAGCTGGCCTGTTCCAGGCGTCTCTGCCTGCCCCTGTCCTGGTGGGTCAGTTCTGCCCTGTCCATCCATTCTAGGAGCTGTCTTCCTTTAAGTGAACTTGTCACATATAAGGAGGTTGTTCAGAGAAGGGTAAGATGTGTTGGCAGCTGGGCCTCGTCCTCTGCAGGGACCGCGACACAGAGGTTGCTGGGTTTGTAGCCAGGCCTCCCTCGCTGGGCTGAGCCACTGACCGTGGTGAGGTTGTGTTTCTGCCCTGGAGACCAAGACAGGCCCTCAGGGTGCGTGGGGACCTCGGGGTGAGAGGGGACGGGGCCGAGTGAGCACAGCGGGAGAGCAAGGGCCACACACACAGAGGCCGCGCCACGTCCCAGCCGGGAGGTTCCCGCGATGCTCAGCTTAGCCCCATCTCAGTCATTTCTAGAAACTTCCTGCCTGTGACGTCACAGGTGAAGGAAATGGAAGAGGGCATTGAGTCCTTCCCCGCTTGGTGGGTGCACACCTCAGCCTCCAGGGTGATTCCACTCCTCTTGGGGGCAGCTGCAGGTGTGGGGGACGGGGCCCTGGCCCATCCTGAGGGCTGCTAGGCCTGAAGGAGTCTGAGCTATGTCCGGGGGGGTCTGGGCCACGGGGAGGTTCTGGACCATGTCTTGGGAGGTCCAGGTTGTGGGGGGTCCAGGCCATGTCTTGGGGTGTCTGGGCTAGTTTGGGGGCTCTGGGATGTGTAGCGGGTTCAGGCCATATCTTGAGGGTCCAGATTCTGTCTTGCGGGTCTGTGCTGTGTCCATGGGGTATCAGGGCCATCTGTGAATTAGGGGATCTGGTGTGGGGGATCAGGCTGTCTTGGGAGTCTGGGCTGTGTGTGTGGAGGTCTGGGTTATACCTTGGAAGGTCTAGGCAGTGTCTTTGGGGATCTGGCCTGTGGGGGGTCTGGGTTGTGTCTTGGGGGCCCAGGCTATGTTTGGGGAGCCTGTGAATCCTGGAGGGTGGGGCTCCGGTCTCGTTGGCAGCTGTATCCCGGTTGTTAACCCTTGAGTTCAGGCAGCACCTCTCGGAACTTTCTGGATTTGCGTGCTGGCATCTGTTTGCCTCGATGCCCACAGGCTGTGCCCCTCTCAGCACAGGAAGTCCTGGAGAACCTGAAGGACCGCTGGTACCAGGCAGACAGCCCCCCCGCAGACCTGCTGCTGACGGAGCAAGAGTTCCTATCATTCCTTCACCCTGAGCACAGCCGGGGCATGCTCAGGTTCATGGTGAAGGAGATCGTCCGGGACCTGGGTGAGGCGGGGCCCAGCCTGGTGGCTGACTGCAGGGGCCGGGCATGGCGGGAGGTTGGGGCGGATCCTGCAGGAGCCCCCACCCGGGTGTGAGCTGACCCACTCCTGCCTCACAGACCAGGATGGCAACAAGCAGCTCTCTCTGCCCGAGTTCATCTCCCTGCCCGTGGGCACCGTGGAGAACCAGCAGGGCCAGGACATCGACGACAACTGGGTAAGAGACAGAAAGAAGGAGTTTGAGGAGCTCATTGACTCTGACCATGACGGCATCGTGACTGCGGAGGAGCTGGAGGTGAGTCCTGCGCAGCCATCAAAGCCGGCCCACAAACTCTGCACCTGGGACGGGAGGCCGTGCTGGTGACTCTGTAGGCCGTGCTGGGAGCTCTGTGGAGGCCGTAGAGGCTGTGCTGGTGACCGTGTGGAGGCCGTGCTGGTGGCTCTGTGGAGGCCGTGCTGGTGACTGTGGAGGCCGTGCTGGTGGCTCTGGAGGCTGTGCTGGTGGCTCTGTGGAGGCCGTGCTGGTGGCTCTGTGGAGGCCGTGTGGAGGCCGTGCTGGTGGCTCTGTGGAGGTCGTGTGGAGGCCGTGCTGGTGGCTTTGTGGAGGCCATGCTGTTGGCTCTGTGGAGGCCGTGCTGGTGGCTCTGTGGAGGCCGTGCTGGTGGCTCTGTGGAGGCCGTGTGGAGGCCGTGCTGGTGGCTTTGTGGAGGCCATGCTGTTGGCTCTGTGGAGGCTGTGCTGGTGGCCGTGCTCATGGCCATGCTGGATGCTGTGCTCATGGCCGTGCTGGATGCTGTGCTCATGGTCGTGCTGGTGGTCGACCTGAGACTCTGCCATCACTTAGGCGTTTGCTCAGCGACATCCATGGCGTGGGCTCCCACAAAGGCCCCCAGGCTGCGTGGCAGTTGTTGGTGTTTAGGTTCAGATGAGAGATGGGAGCCTGGCTGGGCTCCATCCTTATCCTCTCTCCGGGGGGCATCAGGGTTCCCACAGCCGCTTTTTAACAGGACCACAAGGGGAGGCTGGTGCTGGGCCCAGCTCCAGGGCAGGTGGGTGGGGCAGCCTCTGCCACTTTGCTGGAATTTACCACCTTCCTCTGAAGCGTTTTCACTGGTATCCTGTGTAGGTGCCATGCGGGGCTTGTTTTTCTCCCACTGCTGAGTGAGTCATTTTGTTTTCATGTAGAAAATCCTCTGATCCCTGCTGGTAGCCAGTGGGCCTGGTCCAGGTCAGGGATCCTTCAGAACTGGGGTCCTGCCTGGTGTGGCCTCTGTGTCCCGTGACCCCTGCCGGCCCTGGGCAGGCCCTCCATGGCCCCTGGCTTCTCCCCACTCTGTGCCTTTCTCATATGTGCCATCTTTGAGAACTTTCCAGAATGTGCCCACATTCCCGCTGCAGCCAGTGGGCATCTTAAGAGCCACTTTGTGTTGGTGGCTTCAGAGCTTGGGTCCAGCTCCTCCCCTGAGTACAGCCTGCAGGGGCTCCTGGGTGGGACCAGTGCTGGGAGTGTAGCAAGGTGGCCCCTTATCTGTGCCCCGCCGGCCTGTGCCCCGCTAACCCGTGCCCCGCCGACCCGCACCCTGCTGACCCGCGCCCCGTACCCCACTGACCCGCACCCCACCGACCCGCACCCTGCCGACCTGTGCCCTGCTGACCCGCGCCCTGCCGACCCGTGCCCCGCTGACCTGTGCCCTGCTGGCCCGTGCCCCGCTGACCCGCTCCCGGCTCTCCCGCAGAGCTACATGGACCCCATGAACGAGTACAATGCCCTGAACGAGGCCAAGCAGATGATCGCCGTCGCCGACGAGAACCAGAACCAGCACCTGGAGCCCGAGGAGGTGCTGAAGTACAGCGAGTTCTTCACGGGCAGCAAGCTGGTGGACTACGCGCGCAGCGTGCATGAGGAGTTCTGACACTGCCCACCCGAGCTGCCCTTCACGCCCCACCAGGGTGGCTGTTGGTGATTCTGCGCTCGATGCTGTTCCAGACTCCAGCTCCTCCGTCCTGACCCCCGACCACGGCTGGTCCCAGCGGGTGGAAGACGCGTCTGCTCTGCAGTGCCTGCTGCCTGGGAGGCCCCTGCTGGGATGCGGCGGGGCGCAGGGCCTCGAAATCGCTGCATCTCACCTCTGAGAACCTAATCTCGCTCTAGTCATTCTGCCAAAGGCGCTGACGGCATCGAGGCCGGAACATCTGGGCCGGGCCCCTCGCGGGGCCACCGCTCCGTGGGAAAGAACACAGCTCCTCCATTTCCTTGAAAACTGAACGATTAATAAAAATAGATGAAACTTGGCTGAAAATGAGTAGCCAGGAGGTTGAGGGATGGGCGCCTGGTCTTTCCCCGCCTGGGGTGTCAGAGCCTCCCGGGTCCCAGTGCTGCCACCGAGAAAATGCAAATATTCGTTGTGACGAGACCCACGCTGATTCCCTCTAAACGTAGTTGCCTTTTTGGTCAGCTTCATTCTTTGGGTGTGAAACAAAACACAAAAGCAGCTTGGCACATTTGCGGTCACAGTTTCTACTCCAGCGCTGCAGGCCTGTGCTGGGTCACGGGGGAGCCTGGAGGTCGTGGTGGGTTCCAGGTGGTTCTCCTGGCAGGTGGGGATGGCAGGGGCTCTAGGAGGATGGAGGGCTGTGTGTGTGAGTAAGTGGGGGTCCCAGGGCAGGTGAGCGGTGCTGTGTGAGAGTGAGCGGAGGGTCCCAGGGGCAGGTGTGTGGCACTGTGTGGGCAGGGGTCCCAGGGGCAGGTGGGTGGCACTGTGTGAGCGGGGGTCCCGGGGCAGGTGAGCGGTGCTGTGTGTGTGAGTGAGCTGGGGTCCCAGGAGCAGGTGAGTGGCGCTGTGTGAGTAGGGGTCCCAGGGGCAGGTGGGTGGCACTGTGTGTGTGAGTGAGCGGAGGTCCTGGGGCAGGTGGGTGGTGCTGTGTGAGCAGGGGTCCCGGGGGCAGGTGAGTGGCACTGTGTGTAAGTGAGCGGGGGTGCTGGGGCAGCAGACATGCTCATTGAGTTTGGACATTTAAAACAGGAGCCAGAGCCCTTTTGAGTCACTGTGGTAGTTTGAGGTGGAGAAAGAAACGCCCAAGTCAAGGCCACCACCGGGGCGTGCAGAGGGGCAGAGCATGGGGCATGTTGGACAGCTGGTAGGGACCCCATCTGTGGCGTGTGGGGGCCCAGGCTCTGGTCTTGGCTCTCCAGGCAGGAGCTCGGGGATGCGAGGAGTGCCCCTTACTCAGTCTGCCCTTTGGTGCCCCTGTGACTGGCCTCTGCCCTGAGCCCACCTGCCCAGAGGCCCCTGCGGGGCCGAGAAGGCAGGCTGGCACCTGGGTTGGGTCCCAGGCAAACAAGATTCATAGAGCTACAGCCAGGGCAGGTGGCGGGAGGAAGGTCCCCGGCCCTGCTCGAAGGCGCTGCAATTCCCTGCGGTGGCCTGGACTCTGCCCTTCCCTACCCGTGACCCCAGGCCTGAGTCAGGGGCCATCATGGCAGCATTCCATGTCCTGTGCTGAGGGCCACACACCTGGAGGTGGGAGGTATTCGCTGAGGCCACTCCAGGCTGGGCATGAGGGTGGGGGCACAACTTGGTGTGTGGTGGCACCTGGCCCTGCAGAGGCCCCAGCCAGCTCCAGGCTGGTACCCGAGGAGCAGGGGTCTCTCATGGGCTGGCCTGGGCTGCCGTGACACCATGTGCAGATTGGGGAGGTCCAAGCTGCAGGCTGCCTTGCAGAGCTCGGGGGTCCTGAGCTCCGGGTTGGTGTCCAGCCTCCTGTGGCCGCTGCACACTGGGTTCCGTGGACATGGCGGGGCTTTCTCCCGCCAGCACCTCGGACCTGTGATCTTTAACCCGGGGACAAGGAGACCTGACCTCCCTGGGCAGCTTCCAGCAGGAGGGGCGGAACCCCCTCTAGCGGGGGTGCCCTCCATGGGGGACAGGCCCTGCTCAACACACCTGTGGGCAGACGTGGCCACTCAGGACCCAGGGGAGGTGTGTTGCCACCAACACACCCAGCTTACCTCAGCCTCCAAGAGCCCAGTTGCAAATATAAGCTTTTTCTCACTGTCAGTGGGAAACCCATGTGAACACTGGGTAGAACTGTCCAGAAAATGCCAGAAATTTCCTCCTCTGCCCCCTTGGGGCGTGGGCACGCACACACCCACAGCCTGTGTACTCTGAGCCCTTCCAGGATCCTATTTGAGGAGACGTGGGGAGGGAGACCGAGTGAGGGACCCTCAGTTTGAGGGCAGGTGGCCTCTCCCTCCACTCCCTCCGCCTCCAGACCCTGCAGGCTCCATGGCTGGGAGTTTCCCCACAGGTGGGCCTCGGGCAGGCAGCTGCTTCCTGTGCTCCTGGGAGGGGAGGGGATTTCCAGCCCCTTCCCTACTGCTCTGTCCCCCAGAGGCCTCTCTCCACTTGCAACTTAAAAAATGAACTTTTGGATGATTACCAGCTCATCACAGTTATTTGAAAGGGGCAGAAGGGCCCAGAGAGCCCCCAGCCCTGCACCTGCTCCCCGGCTCTCCAGGCCGTTCTCTTCCTGTGAGCAACCCGTGGAACCCGGGAGCTGTCTGCCTAGAAACTTGCTATGTGCCTGTGTATGCACAGGAGCATGCCTGTGCCTGTGAGTATGCCAGGCCAGCCGGGACCCACCTATCTCGACACACAGGCACGTGGGTTCAGGGCTTCCACACAGGGATGTTGGGGCACAATTTGGCTATAAGCACCTGCTGTGCTCAGGCACACTCCATGTGGGCCCTGGTGGTGGCCGTTTTCCTTTTTTTTTTTTTGAGATGGAGTTTTGCTCTGTCACCTAGACAAATCTCGGCTTTGCAACCTCCACCTCCTGGGTTCAAGCAATTCTCTTGTCTCAGCCTCCGAGGAGTTGGGATTACAGGCACCCGCCACCACGCCTGGATAATTTTTGTAGTATTAGTAGAGACGGGGTTTCACCATGTTGGCCAGGCTGGTCTGGAGCTCCTGACCTCAGGTGATCTGCCGCCTCCGACTCCCAAAGTGCTGGGATTGCAGGCGTGTCATCCCAGGCCAGTGTGTCTGTGTCATCATGGCCATGGCCACTGCTGCTCAGAGCTAGTCTTGGGCACTCAATGGGTCATATGCTCCAGTGCCCACACAATGCCACAACCCCAAAGGTCCAGACTGTAGGGGCCTCTCTTCTGGTTCAGTGCTGCCTTGGTTAACCCATGTGCTCCATCAACCTTTGTGCTGAGGGTTAGGCCACAGGCCAGGCTCTACTGTGCCCTGGGGTCTGAACATAGTGGTCTTGGGCAGAAGAGGGCAGAAGGCAGAAGAAGCCAACGGGGTCCCCGGCTGGCCTGCCACCTTCCTCCTCCCCTTCCTTTGCCTTCTTCACCCCTCCCCTTCCCTCACCTCACCTCCTCCACAGTCCTTATAGCCACAACCCACAAGGAAAAACCCAGACTTTGGCAAGAGCGGAGACGAGGATGTGCGTGGGGGCGCGGCGACGGGTCCAGGGGCCCTGGGAGGTGGCTCTGCTCCTCCTGGGCCTGGTGCTGAGCGCCTCGGGGCTCCGCTGTGTTGGGGACACCTACCCCAGTGGCGGCCGGTGCTGTGACGAATGCAGGCCAGGTGAGGGGGTGCCATGCACGGGGTGGGGGTCGGCTCTGGGGCCAGCCAGGAGGGTGGTCCTGGGGAGGGGGCAGGCAAGGGGCCGGCCAAACCCGACAGAGGACACGCCTGGGGAGTCCATGGGTGCAGGCCTGGGGCTGAGGGGGCCGGACAGCTGCCTAATTCGGTGGCCTCTGCCGCAGGCTATGGGATGGTGAGCCGCTGCAGCCGCACCCAGAACTCCGTGTGCCGCCCGTGTGAACCCGGCTACTACAGTGACTCGGTCAGCGCCAAACCCTGCAAGGCCTGCACGCGCTGTAACCTCCGTGAGTGAGCCACGCCCACCACACCCCAGCATGGCGCTCACCTGCCCACAACCCCCTGACGGGGCTCCCATCTTCCCACAGTCCACCCAGACGGGGCTCCCACCTGCCCACAACCCCCAGACGGGGCTACCACCTGCCCACAGCCCCAGACGGGGCTCCCACCTGCCCATAGCCCCCCTGACGGGGCTCCCACCTTCCCACAGTCCCCCAGACGGGGCTCCCACCTTCCCACAGCCCCCTAGACGGGGCTCCCACCCGACACAGCCCCCCAGACAGATGGGGTTCCCACCTTCCCACAGCCCCAAATGGGACTCCCACCTGCTCACAGCCCTAGACGGGGCTCCCACCCGCCACAGCCCACCCAGACGGGGATTCCACCTGCCCACAGCCCCAGACGGGGCTCCCACCTGCCCAAAGCCCACCCAGACGGGGCTCTCATCTGCCCACAACCCACCCAGACGGGGTTACCACCTGCCCATAGCCCACCCAGATGGGGTTTCCACCTGCCACGGCCCACCCAGACGGGGATCCCACCTGCCCACAGCCCACCCAGACGGGGATCCCACCTGCCCACAGTCCCCCCAGACGGGGCTCCCACCTGCCCACAGCCCACCCAGCACAGGGATGGCAGCCACATTCCCACTCAGCAGTGGGGGCTCCACAGCCTCAGAAACAAACTTCAAACCACAGCGGGGTCTGTGCCGCCCCCAGGGGTCCTTCCAGGAACTGAGGCATCTCCCCGGGGCATACCCCTCCTCCTGGGGCCCCAGACTTGGCCAAGCCACGTGGAATCGGGAAGCTCATGTTGGCCACGTGGCCTGGCCCTGCTGTCCTGAGCACTGTGGCTGGAGCTGGTGGATGGGTAGGGAAGGGGACTGGGGCTGCACAGAACCAACCCAGGCTGTGGCCAGGAAGGGATGGTCCAAGAGCCTTGGGGGCTGTAGGGGCTCCATGCCTCACCTCTGGGGAGGTCACAGACCCCTGACCGTGGCCTTGGTGCAGTGGGAAGGCCACGCTGTCCTCCTGTGCCCACGCTTCCTGGGGACCCTGTCCACAGCCCCCACCTGACGACTCCCCATCCGGCCCCTGCTCAGGAAGTGGCAGTGAGCGGAAGCAGAAGTGCACAGCCACTCAGGACGCCGTGTGCCGCTGCCGGCCGGGCACCCAGCCCATGCACAGCTACAAGCTCGGAGTTGGTGAGCTGCTGGCTGCGCCAGCTGGTGGGGTGTGCACAGCAGGTGTTCGTGATGCAGATGGGGCATGGACTGCAGGGACCTAGCCCCACCCATGCCTCCTCCAGTATCGCCAAGACTGGGCTCCCAGGTCAGGGCCCGTGGGTGGGACATGAGCAGGGAGGGCTTCCAGAGGCCAAGCCCCAGCACCTGGCCCTGGGGACGAGTGCCTGCCTCACAGGCTCTGCCCCATGTCCCCAGCACCGCGGGCCTGTGGGCTGCCCCTGACCACCCTGTTTTTGTTGCAGACTGTGCCCCCTGCCCCCCAGGGCACTTCTCCTCTGGTGACAACCAGCCTTGCAAGCCCTGGACCAAGTGAGGGCCCAGCCAGGGGCTGGGGGTGGGGCTGGGGCTGGGGGTGGGGGTCTGGAGGGCCGGGGACTGGGAGGGGCTGTGGCTGGGGGTGGGGGTCTGGGCCGGGGGCTGGGGGGCTGGGAGAGGCTGGGGTTAGGGGGCTGGAGGGCTGGGGGCTGGGAGGGGCTAGGGGTGGGGGTGATGGAAACTGGGTGCTGGGTGGGGCTGGGGGTGGGGGGCTGGAGGGCTAGGAGCTGGGAGGGGCTGCGGGGAACAGAAGGGTGGGGAGGCTGGGGGGCTGGGAGGGGCTGGGGGCAGAAAGGTGGGAGTCTGGGAGGGGCAGAGCAGTGTTTGGGGAGCAATGTGGGGAGCCTGGCTGCGCAGCTGGGCCAGATCTGGGAGCAGGAAGCTGCTGCCTGGGAGCAGCCTTTCCCATGGGTACAGCTGGGTGTGTGGGTCCCTCACCCTCCACAGTTGGGAGGCCCTGGGGTCACAGGACAGAGGGGCTGCTGGAGGCTGCAGATGTGGGGGAAGGGAGTGTGGTGTTAGAGGCCCGTGGTGGGGCGTGTGGGGCTGGGTGGGACCCTTGGCTGCCACTGGCCTGGCGTCTGTGGTGGAGGCTGCCTCAGGCTGGCCAGTGTGGACCCTGCCATCCCCCCTGGGGTGTCCCTGGTCCCAGGGGTCTCTGGCCTGAGCAACACGCCCTGCACCTGCAGCTGTACCTTGGCCGGGAAGAGCACCCAGCAGCCAGCCAGCAACAGCTTAGACGCCGTCTGTGAGGACAGGGGTCCTCCAGCCACGAAGCCCCAGGGGACCCAGGCCCCCACTGCCAGGCCCACCACTGCCCGGGCCACTGAAGCCTGGCCCAGAACCTCAGAGGGACCCTCCACATGGCCTGCAGAGATCCCCAGGGGTAAGGGTGCCTGGCCCAGCCCAGTGGGGCCCCCCAACCCAAATGGGAGGAGAGGAGGGTAGCATGGGGGTCTCTCCTGTGGACCCCACCCAGCAGGCCCCTTCCTGCAGGCCCTGCGGTCGCTGCCATCCTGGGCCTGGGCCTGGCCCTGGGCCTCCTGGGCCCCCTGGCCATGCTGCTGGCCCTGCACCTACTCCGGAGGGACCTGAGGCCGCCCCCTGACGCCCCCAAGCCTCCTGGTGAGTGCCATGTGGCCCCGCCTCGCTGCTCCTGGAGAGTGGCGCCTGCCCACCAATCTCTCCTTTTCTCCTTCTCAGGGGGAGGCAGTTTCCGGACCCCCATCCAAGAGGAGCAGGGCGACGCGCACTCCACCCTGGCCAAGATCTGACCCGGGCCCACCAGGGCAGGCGCTGGGCTCTTCCAGACTGGAGCCCCAGAGGTCTGCTGGACGAGCAGGGCAGGTGCCGGACACCTCCCCGACATGCTCCTGGGCCACGCCGCGCTGTTCTAGGTGCCGCTGGCTGCTCCGGGCTCTCTCCTTACGTATGCCATGCATACTCCGCACCCCGTGGGGCCCAATAAAAACCCGGCAGACAAAGTCTCTTACGGCACCATGGGCTGGGGGCCGCCCCTGCGGCAGGGAGGCCTGGGTCAGCCTGCCTCTGGCTGGAGAGAGGTCTTGGGCTAGGGTGGGGGTCCGGGTCTCGGGGTCAAGTGGGACCCTGAAGGCTGGTCCCTAGGTATGAGTTCCAGACTGAGCAGGGAGGGTGGGGGAGTGATGAGAGGCTAAGGTGGGGCAGGTTGGGGGCTCAGGGCCAGGGCCTCTGGGGTAGGGGCTGGGAGGGGCTGAGGCCTGGGATGGGGCTGGGAGGGGCATACAGGGTGGGGCGGTGGGAGTTCCTGGCCAGGCGCTAACAAGGGCCACAGGCCCCCAAGCCCTGGGTCACCCAAGGAGCATGGGAGCAGCTGACCCCTGGGCCTCTGTGCCCTTGGAGGAGGAGCGCAGAGACCTGGCCCCTCTTCCACCACACCCACACCCACCTCTGCTGCACCTGGGAGGGGGTCCCTGGGCCCCTGAGCACCCTGAGGAGTCCCTTCAGGGCAGCACATGTTCCTGCTGTGGCTGTCCAGGGCTACAGCCCCCTGGAAACCATGGTTTCTGCTTGAGCCAACGTCCGCCCTGGGACCACCCGTCCCCGCTCCTGCGCCCTAATCCACCAAGAGTTCTCGGCCCTGAACAAGAACCTCCACAGTGACTCCATGTAATGTCGTCCCACAGTGGAGAAACCTAGATGTCTGCTAGCAGTGTGGACCTGCCAGTGCTGGCACGCTCAGATGGGTCCCCAGCCCACAACACCAGTGTCAGAGATGGCCCCAAAGTCCCAGATCCAGCCCCAGCTGCATGGGAATCCTCACAAGCTGGTGTCCAGGAGTGGGCATCCTTCTAGCTGGTGTCCGGGAGTGGTCATCCTTCTAGCTGGTGTCCGGGAGTGGGCGTCCTAGCTGGTGTCTGGGAGTGGGCGTCCTTCTAGCTGGTGTCTGGGAGTGGTCATCCTTCTAGCTGGTGTCCGGGAGTGGTCATCCTTCTAGCTGGTGTCCGGGAGTGGGTGTCCTTCTAGCTGGTGTCTGGGAGTGGGCGTCCTAGCTGGTGTCTGGGAGTGGGTGTCCTTCCTTCTAGGAACACAGTGCTGCTTCCAGAGGGCCAGTCACACCCAAGGCCACAGCTTGGGAACCAGGCGGAGCCCCAGCGCCCGGGCCTCACTGCACTCACGTGTGGGAGACAAACAGCCAGGGCCGGGCGCAGAGGCTCACACCTGGAATCCCAGCACTTTGGGAGGCCGAGGCGGGAGGATCACGAAGTCAGGAGTTTGAGACCAGCCTGGCTAACATGGTGAAACCCCGTCTCTACTAAAGATACAAAAAATTAGCCGGGCATGGTGGCAGGTGCCTGTAATCCCTGCAACTCAGGAGGCTGAGGCAGGAAAATTACTTGAACCCAGGAGGTGGAGGTTGCAGAGAGCTGAGATTGCACTATTGAACTCTACAGAGTGAGACTGGCTCAAAAAAAAAAAAAAAAAAAGAAAGAAAGAAAGAAAGAATTGATAATCAGCCAGGTGTGGTGGTACATGCCTGTGGTCCCGGCTATTTGGGGGGTCGAGGTGGGAGGTTCACTTGAGCCAGAGAGGTCGGGGCTGCAGTGAGACGTGATTGAAAAAAATAATAATAAAATGAAACTTTAAAAAAATGAAATAAAAAACACATGAAGCCTGATAGAAGGTTTTGCCAAGGGCGTGGTCCAGCCTGGACACTCGGGCCACCGTGGCTGCTGTGGCTCAGGTCCGCAGCTGCACCTGTGCCCACACACAGCATCCCAGGCAGCCTTTCCTCTCCGTGTCCTCCACCGACGCACTGCCCATGGCTGTCCAGGGCTCCTGTGCCTGGCAGACAGCTCCCCTCAACACCGCGGTTCTGGACATGGGGAACTGGCCGGAGGGTGGGAAGGGGAGCACTGCGCACAGCAGCCCACGGTGCTGCAGCCACACGTGGCCATAAGCAAGACGCCATCTCTGGCCTCAGGCTGCCCCGACGCCTCCTGCCTCTCCAGCTGGTTTTCTTCCCCCTTTCTGTCTCCCCTCAAACCTGTGTCCTCCACCCACTCTGCACCAGCCACAACCATCCCCTGGCTGCACTGGGAGGTCAGAGGCCACCCTGTCCCCTCCCCCAGCGCCTTCACTGACTTTGCCAGGTTCCTGTGCAAGGTTAAGCCTGCAGTCCCTGCACGGGGTTGGGGGCCACCCCTTGAAGAGCCCCCCTCCACTATGGGGCAGGCAAGACCAGGCCTGGAGGTAGGGACAGCGGGTGGGTGGGGGAAGGGGTCAGGTGGCCAGGACTGGAGTTGCCAGGTCCTGTGGGGCCGGCAGGTCGAAGGCTGTGGGAAAGGGGTCTCCTTCCCAAACCTGGCGCTTACACTCATGGCTTCCTGTCTCCTCCCCTCCGGGCAGAGTCCCCACAGGCCCTGGCCCTGGGGCACCTCTTCCCCAGCCAGGCCTCCTGCCGAAACCCAGATGGACATGGGGTCACCTCCGCTTGGTCTCCCTGCTCACTCTCCCCGGCCCCTCACCCAACGCCATCTCTGCTGGAAATTCCTGCGCTAACTTTGCCCCAGGCCCTGCCTGAGCTCAGGCCTGGTGCCCATCTGCGTCCTCACCCTGGGTCCCCACAGCTGCCCTGCCCAGCACGGAAGGGCTGCCCCTCACCTGGCCACCGCACTGTGGGCTGTTCTGTGGCGTGAATGCCCTGTTATTTGTGTCATTGGTAAGTTGCTCAACACCGGAAAATAAGATGAGCAGATAAAGTCACCTCCAGCCTCGAAGGCTGAGGATAGGAGTCATGGGAGGCCTGGGAGGGCACTGCGGCAAGAGACACAGGAAGGCGGACAGCACTCCCAAAGCTGCTCCGGGGAACGAGGTGTGGGGGCTGTTCAGGCTGCTTAAGGTGTCAGCTGCACCACGGGCACCAGGACTGGGGGTGAGCCCGAGCTGGTGCAGACTTCAGGTTTTTAAAACTGGCAGGGACTCCGGGCCTCCTCCCTGAACACCTTCGCCTGGTGTTAGGTCTGATGGCGCCTCTTGCTACCCAGGGGCTCAGTGCCTCCCAGGCTAGGGGCTGAATGAAGATCTCCAGGCCCCTCAAAGATGGGGTCCCCAGGCCCCGCTGGCCCACCCTTTCTCTGAGCATCTGGAGAGCGTGGAGCCATGGAGACCCCCCCACTTTTCTGCAGTGTCTGAGGGTTGCCTCTCAAGGCAGGCTCCCACATCTTGGATATGAGAACCCGGAGTGTTACAAACAGCTAATTTCTGTCATTTACCTTGGAAAAGGAGGAATCGCCTTATGGGGTGAGGTGGGGGCTGCAGGTCTCAAAGGAGTGTCTGACCACATCACAACGGCCACCACTCCACCAGCCGTGGGCACAGTCACGCTCACGTTCCCCAGCGCCCCCGCCCCCAGCATTCCTGGGGGTCTCCACTTGCCCTGGGTAGCACAGAAGCAGGCTGAGCAATTCAGGGAGGCTTCCTGGTGGAGGCAGGGTCCCAGAACCACTCGGTGCCCACAGGGGAAACTGGGGTTCAGAGAGATGTAGGGCAGCCTCCAGAGAGCTTGTGAGGGGCTCGCCTCGACCCCCTCCTGGACCCGGCTCTGTCTGGTGTGGCGGATGAAGGTAGCTCCACAGAGACCTGGGTGGGAACCAGCCTGAGACTCAGCAGACCCAGCAGGCTGCTCTGCCCTGGGCCTCTGGTGCCCACAGGGGTGGCTGACGCTGACTGGAAGAGGCACCATGCACCCTCTCATGTCTCCCCCGCCCCAGCCCTCCTGGTGCCCCCTCCCAAGCCCCAGGAGCTCCCTGGGTTGGCAGCTGAGGGGGGCCCCAGGGGCTGTGAGCAAGGGGAGCCCACAGGCCTGCAACCCAGGGCGAGCCTCACACCTGGAGCCGGCCAGAATGGGTGTGCTGAGCTGAGGGGTGCCTGTCTTCATTCTGTGTCTACCCAGTGCTGCGGTCTGTGGCTGAGGTGCTCTGGGGGTGACTGGGGTTTGTGCAGACCTCTCAGGGTCTCACAGATACCACCCAGGAGGAGTGGGGTGAAGGGGGTGATGGGCCAAGTCCCTCCCACCAGGAGGCCCCCTGGGACAAGGTGCTAAGCCCCGCCCCTGCCTGGGACCCACCAAGGTGGCCGCAGATTTGCATAGAAAACCATTCTGATCCCCCTACCTAGTTTCCCCGCCCCTGCCGGCGATCTGTGGGGACTGGGTTGTGTCCACAGCGCCCACATCCCTCCCCACACTCATTTGGGGCACGCTTTGCCTGGAATTCTCGGGTCATGATTACTTCCAGTCACCCCCAGGCAGGGCGGGTGAGGACGGGGACAGGGTGTGTCCAACTTGCTGTGGGCTCCTGAAGTTGGGTGCAGCTGCCGGGCGATGGGCGTGTGCGGGGTCCTGTGCGGCCTGGCTCTGCTGTGGGCGCTCAGCCTGGGTCAGTGCTCCACCGGGGGCCCGGGGTGTGGCCCTGGCCGCCTCCTGGTTGGGGCAGGAACAGACGCTCGGTGCTGCCGAGTTCACCCGACGCGCTGCTGCCATGCGGACCCGGGTAAGTAAACCGCGTTTCCTCAGACGACTGGCCAAGACACAGCGTGGAAGCTGGAGAGGCGCGCCCCCTCCCCGTGCTCAGACCGCCGCTGTCATCTAAGGAGGGCGGGCACAAGGCCGCCAGAGCCTTTTGGAGGGAGGCAGGGCCCCAGAGGGAGGTGGAGGCGCGCCAGTGGCCCCGAGGCGACGGGCAGGGCGAGCCCAGTGGGAGCGCCCTCAGAGGGGTCTGGGGACCCAGGTCCCGCTGGGCAGGTTGTGAGCCCTTGACCATCGCCCAGCCCCCTCCTGCCCAGCTGCCCCCACCCTCCACCGTCTGCCCCGCTGGCTGCCCCTGATCTGCACCTGGGCAGGGGTGAGGGTTCAGTTGACACGTGGGTCTGGGGAGGAAGCTGGCAGAGAAGTCACCCCAGAGCTTCTTCCTCCAGGGCCTGCGGGTTGAAGGGAGGCTCTGTCCCAAGGCCCAGCATGGCTGGTGGTGGTGACAGCGGTGCAGGGGGGCCTGGCAAGCAGCCTCTGAGGTGTCCACCGGCCTCCAGGGGGCTGTGCCCTGGTGGGGGGCACCCTTGAGTCTAGTAGGGACAGCTCCTGCAGAGTCACAGCAGCAGGTGGGGGTGGCTGCGGGCCACAGAGTGGGTGGAGCCAGGCCTCAGGGCTCAGGAGCAAGACAGAGCTGGACAAAACCAGGGTCCTGACTCCCAGCCACGAGCCCTCCACTCCCTGGAGCCGACTGTGGGTGGTGGGGAACGGACAGCCAGCTCCCCTGGAGGGCTGAGGGGAGGCCTGGGGAGCAGGGGCCTCAGCCCAGCTGCTGGGGGCTGGCTTGTCCCCTGCCCAGGCGCGGAGTGCTGCTCCGAGAGGGAATGTGTGTGCGTCCAGCCTGAGTTCCACTGCAGGGACCCTTGCTGTGAAGCCTGCCAGCACCACCCTTGCCCACCAGGCCAGAAGGCACAGTCCCAGGGTGAGTCCAGGCAGCTGTGGGTGTCCACACAGGCCAGGGGTTCCCCCAGGGCCGAGGCAGAGCTCATGGGTGCAAGTGTCCAGTGAGGACATGTGGTGTGTGAGCTGCTGGGCAGGCGGGCCAGGCTATGCTCAGGGGGCCATGCAGCTCTGGGGGTGTCTGTCCCCCTGTTCTCGGCCTCAGCTTCTCCATCCAGCTCAAGGGCTCTGATGTCCCTCAGGGCTGTGAGAACCCGGGGTGGGGGTGGGGCAGGAGCTTTCTGGCTCTCAGGCTGGTGTCTCCGATTCTGTCTGCCCTTATTGAATGTGGAAAGCCTGCCCTGTGCCCCCAGGAGTCCTGTCTGGGGCCCAGGGCTGCACCCCTCTCCGGAAGAAGCTCAAGGCCCCCTAGGGGCTTGTTTACCTGATGGGAGGGGCCAGGCAGGGCACATGGGTGCTGGGAGGAGCTAGACCTGGAAGGGGGGTTGTGTGGGGCTGGGTCTGGGGTCTGGGGATCCAGCCTCTCTCTGGGACCTTCATCCTTTTCCACCCTCTGTTCTACTGGGTCCAGCCCGGGGCCTGGTGTGGCTCCTGTGTGACCTCTGCCCACGCTCAGCCCCCAGTGGGCAGGCCTTCCGCCCCCATGCCCCCGGCAGGCCCGCTGCACACTACGCTCCTCCCCCAGGGAGCCTCCAGGTGCCCTCACTGCATCCCACCCCAGACGCCCGACCCTGATGGGCAGACGTGGGACCCAGTCCTGGGCCATTGAGACCTCTGTTGAATGGATGATGTGGGGGGTCATTCTCAGGACTCAGACCCCTGATGGCCCCTGCACTGGCCTGATGCCCTCCTCATCCATCCCAGACACCCCAGCATCCTCCCTCCCTCCCTCCCGCCACCCCCAGGGAAATTCATATTTGGCTTCACGTGTGTGGACTGTGCCTGGGGGACCTTCTCCGGAGGCCGAGAAGGCCACTGCAAACCTTGGACAGAGTGAGTCCTGGCGGGCCCTGCGGTGGCCAGGTGGTCCAGGCCTCCTCTGGGGAAGGGTCCCCTCCCGTGCCTTGCACTGGGCCAGCCCCAGACAGCGATGAGGACATCAGCTGGGGCTGAAGGGGCTGTGTCCGTGTTCCAGCTGCACCCAGTTTGGGTTTCTCACTGTGTTCCCGGGGAACAAGACCCACAATGCCGTGTGTGTCCCGGGGCACCTGCCTGCAGAGTCACCTGGGTTGCTGACCATCGTCCTGCTGGCTGTGGCCGCCTGCGTCCTCCTCCTGACCTCGGCCCAGCTTGGACTGCATGTCTGGCAGCTGAGGAGTCAGCGTGCGCGGCCCCGAGGTCAGTCCCGTCCCTCCCTGGAGTGGGGAGCAGGGAGCCTGGCTGTCTGCTAACTGTGCCCCCCACCCTGCAGGGACCCAGCTGCCAGAGGTGCCGCTGTCTGCTGAAGATGCCAGCAGCTGCCAGTTCCCCGAGGAAGAGCGGGGTGAGCGGTCGGCAGAGGAGAAGGGCCGGCTGGGAGACCTGTGGGTGTGAGCCCGGCTGTCCTCCAGGGCCGCTGACCCCAGCCAGCGGGGTCAGCATGGGCTCCGTGTTCTGCTCTGGACTGGGCCTTGCTCCCCTGACAGCAGAAGTGGGTGCAAGATGGTGGCAGTGCCCAGGCCCCTGGACCATGCAGGTCAGCGGCTGTGGCCGGGCACTACAGCAGGGAGAGAGACACAGCAGGCTCCTGCCTTACGCTGCCAGCCCCACTGGTGTGGGGTCTTTGGGCCCCTCATTGCCAGGACGGGAGGCTGTGCTGTGGGTGTGCAGTGCCCAGCATGGGACCTGGCTGCAGAGGCCTTCAATAAACACTTGTTCAGTGAGCTGAGTGACGTATGCCGGGTGCTAGGGGAGGACCGGGTGCTGGGGCTGGGCTTTGGGGCACCATGTCCATGCCTGGCCGTGGTCCACTCCATAGGGAGCAAAGGGAGGGTGGCCAGGGCCATGCTGGGAACTCCTGGTGGGTGGGGGTGGGGCCTGAGGTGGGGCCATTCAGTCCTGGGCCAGGGCTCCTCAGGGACAGAGGGTCAGTGGCTTCCCAAGGAGGACGCTCTGCACCGGTGCCCCTGGAGACTCTGGTTTCTGGCCACACAGCGGGCTGGCGCCCGGGTACCCAGAGCCCAGGACTCACATCCAGCACTTGCAGTCGTGGGGGCCCTGTCTCCAGGCCAGACCTCTCTCCTCAGCACACCACCCTTGCCCGCCCAGCCTCCCGCTCCAGGTGAGATCTGATACCAGCTGGCTCAGCTGCCTGGGAGTGGTGGGCAGGCCGGTGCAGGCTCTCAGCAGTGCCCTGGAGGCACCGCATACCTGGCCCCCAGCTCAGCCCCCATTGGGTGGATGGGGCAGAGGAGGCGTAAGCACCTCCCCACAGGGGACCAGGAGTGTGGAGAGCCCAGGGGTGGCACAGGGACATAGGGGAAGGCAGCAGCCCTGGAAGCAGGCGGGGCCACAGCGTGAGCAGGACCCAGCCCGTCTGTGCCAGTGTGGGTGACATCCCACATGGGCACCGAGGAAGAAGAACTGTCCACACCCCAGGCACAACTAGTGAGTGCCTGAAGAATATCTTAGTTTACAGTGTTACTGCTCAGCTGTTTCCTTTATATAATCCTTCATCTATAATCATATATTAGTTTACAGAATTAGTGCCTGAAGTGTAACTTACTGCTTACATATATCTAGCTTATACAATCATACTTAACACTTACATGTAGCATACTTGGTCCCATATAATCTTTCTATATAATCATACAGGTGTCGTAGTCGGAGCTGTACTGACACATTTAGTGCTGATTTGTACAATCCTTCTATATAACCATATAATAGTCTGTAGTAGGAGGAATGCCTAGAGCAGTCACAGAACAGAAGCAGCACATGGGAAACAGCCAGACCAGGACAAGAACCAAAGACCCAGGTGGAGGTGTCCCCACCTAAAAGGGAAAACGCTGCATGGCAGGCTTGCAGCAGGAGCCTCTCTTCCTGATAAAGGAGCTGTGGCACCTTGCGTCCAGTTCCTGTGGAAAGTAGGCCTCAGGCCTGAGATCCTGGAAGTAACCGAGGGAGAACCCCTCTGGTGTGACCAGTCACTGCGGCTGTACACCCTGTCAGTCTTTTCTCACTTCTGTGCTAGCGCAAATCATCCTCCCATAAATATCTTAAGAGAAGAAGAGCACAAGTCTGTCAGCTCCCACTGCATTGGCTTACAGTGTCCTTCTATTAGAAACCCTTTGAAGTCTCCAGCCCCCAGATAAGAAGTGTTGCACATGACACCTGCTGCACACAGCCCACCTCCTTGCCTCGGTGACCTAATGGGGGTGGACCCCTTTTCTGTACATGACCCTCTACTACTGTGCACAGCACGGTCCCCTACTGTGTACAGCCCACCTCTCTGCCCAGGTGACATAATGGGGTGGCCCCCTCGCTTGTGACTCACGTGATTATGTATGTCCTATTACTAATCCTATAGATGATGACCTCACGCTCGACCCTGCCCCCTGCTTGTACCGAATAAATACAGAAAATACAGATGCTCTGGGGCATTTGGGGGCCGCCACTGATCTCCGCTCACAGGTGGCGTGGCCCCCCGAGTCCAGATGCTCTTCACCACTTCTTCAGTGTCCTGTCCCTTTACTTCTCGGATCCTGCACCTCAACACAACATAAAGGACACCCCACGACCCTGTGAGCCCCAACAGCCTTACATGCTGGCAGCGTACTGGGCTCTTGGCTGGGTACTGGGCAAAGAGCTGGGTACTGGAACTGGGCTTGGGGCTGAGTACTGGGCACTGGGCTTGGTGCGCTCTCGGCACCGCCACCCGCCAGCCCCGGCTCCCCCTACGCCCCATCCCAACCCTGAGCTGTCCCGCACCTTCCCCAGAAACCACCGGAGGCCGCACGTCACTGCTCCTGCGGGGCTGACTCAGCGCGGAAACTCCTCGTGGGCGGCCTCAAGTGGGCCGCGGCGCCGTGACGTCAGCGCGGGGGCGGCGGGCGGGGGATTCCGCGGGCTCCGGGCGGGGTCTGGGGTCTCCTCCCCTCCCGGCCCTGCCCACAGTTCTCCGGAGCGCGACCCTCCGGGCTGGCGTGGCCCAGCGCGCTGGCGGAGCCCCGGGGGTAGGGGAGGGGCGGAGGCGGGGGGCGGGGGGGGACTCGCGCGGGGGCGGCGCCTCCAGGGCCTCGGGGTGGCGGGAGGGGGAGGCCGAGGGCCGCGCGGAGGGGCCCAGCCGGGCTGGGGTCGCCCCTGCAGGCTCAGCCGCCGCCCCTCCCACCCGGGGCGCAGTGGTCTCGGCTTCCTGCGGGGGGGAGGGTCCCCTCTCTGCTCCCCCTGGAAGCCGGACCCGCAGCTTCAGAGCGGCCTCCACCTGCTCCGGAAAACCGCAGCCGCCCCACCTCCCCGAGTCAGCGCCCAGCCCTAACCCCTGTTCTCAGAAGCGCTTCCGGCGGCAGCCCCTCCTCTCCCCTCCCCTCCCCTCCCTGCTGGAAGAGCCCCCTCCTCACCTGCCACTGAGATCTGGACTTGGTCACGCGGGACCCCCCAAGCTGACAGAGACACCTGTTGGGGGGGCCCTTGACCTATGGCAGTGTCCACAGCCAGACAGCCCTTCCCAGCCCAGCCCTAGGACAGGTGGGGGGTCCTCGAGGGCCGGGTGGCCCCAGCCGCCCCAGTTGCATGGGTCTCTGCCCACTGACCAGGACCGGCTTCATGACTCGGTCCCCTCCCGGTGCTGGGCTGAGCCCTGAGGACCTATGGGCAGGACGGGAGGGGCCTTGCTCCTCTGGCCAGTGACCCTCAGGGGAGGTGGGGGCGCCTGGCCGGGAGGAAGCAGACACACCGCCTCCCACAAAGCTCATCCTCCCTGGAAGCTCCAGGAATTGAGGGCTTTCCAGAGTTGGTGATTCAGGCCAGGGATTGTCCTGGTCCGGTCTTAAAGACACACACGGGGGCCGGGTGTGGGGGGCAGAGGGGCCCGAGGGGGCCCCATGGATGTGCAAGCCTGGGGCCCTCAGGGGTCATCCATCTTTAGCAGACCCTCAGCTGACCCCAGGGCCCGGCTGCTGCTGAGGGTCTGTGCTGGTTGGACACCACGGTGGAGGCTGTGGGGATGGTGCGTGTGTGGCTGTGCCTGTCAAGTGGGAGGCAGCTTGACCCCCCCCACCTTCCCCTCGAGTCCCCTTCCTGGTAGCAGGACCCCAGGACTCACCCATGGAAGGGAGCGGGAGAGGTGGGCATGGGAGGGCGTCGGGGGCCTCTACCTTGGGTCCCAGGCTCCAACCTGGTGCTGTCTCCGTGAAGCCCCTCTGACCCTCCCTGAGCACCTCTTGTCCCCAAGGGGTCCTGATGCCTCTACTGTGGCCCTGGCTGCCACTTCAGTTGAATGTCAGGGAGCACCTGTACTGCCAGATGCTCAGGCACCCACAGTTCCCGCTCCCTGGAGGCCCCTCCTGCTTCACCCCTCCTGGGCCTTGGTGGGCTGCAGATTAGGCTGCTGTTGCCCTTGGCCCCCCGGAGGGTCCAGCAGACCTGCCAGGAAGGGGCTGGGGGCCCTGGGCTGCCATCTCAGTAACAGGTGTGTTCCCAGCATCTCACTGGGGACCCTGTACTTGCCGGGAGGGGACTGGGACCCTGGGCTGCCATCCCAGCATCTCACGGGGCACCCCGAACTTGCCAGAAGGGGACTGGGGCCCTGGGTTGCCGCCTCAGTGACAGGTGTGTTCCCAGCGTCTCACCGGGACCCACACACTGCGGCCTCAGCGGCAGGATGGTGCTGGTGGGGGTGGCCCCTGGCTTGGGGTGGCTCCTTACTGGCTCTGAGACCCGGGGCCTCCTTTGGCCTCTCTGGGCCCCAGTTCCCTCTGTCTCGCTGTGTCCTCTCCCCAGCGCCCTGGCTGTGCCCTGCCTGCTGTGCTGCGGGACACCACAGCTGATGCTGCCCTCTAGCGGTGCCAGCCACTGCATCCTGGGAAAGGCGCTGTGGGAGCTCGAGGTGGCCACGGGGCCAAGGCAGGGTCTGCTGGGCCGTGACCATGTGGAGTGTCGGGGGCAGGGCCCCTCATCTTCAGGTCTTGACTTGGGCACAGAAGCTTTGAGCCAGCCATGGGAAAGAGGCCTACATGCTTTAGCTCATGGGAGATGGCTGAGGGGGTGGGGCCGTGATGGGGTCAGGGCAGGGCCCTGGTCACTTGGTGGTAAGTGTGGACGCCTCAGAGGCGCTGGGCCATCAGAGCTTTTGCTGGAAACCCCCAGGCCCATGGGGAACGGGACCGTCAGCGGCCATGCAGGGCTGACCAGAGCTGGGCCAGTGCAGGCTCAGCACGGCCTCTGCAGGACCTCCTGTTGGGGCAGCCACGCTGTGCCCCTCAGCCCTGGCTGAGTCCTGGGACGGCTGCAGGAGGGCTGGGAGCTCATGGAGCTGGAGGCCCAGGAAGGTTCTGTGCCGGGCAGGCTGGGGCGAGCCTTGTGGGTGCCCCGGGCAGCAATCCTGGGCTGAGGGGTCCTCCTTTGGAGCCCCAGAAGGTTCAGAGGGGCCTATGGGGTGCAGACCCTACCTGGGGACACCAGGCAGTGGTGGATGGCAGGCCAGGCCGTGGGGGCTCTGGGGTTGCAGGGCTGCAGTCGGGTCCAGGTGCTCCGGGGCACAGGGTGATGGGCAGGGGCCCAGCCCAGCTGTGGGGACTCCCTTCCTTCAGCATGGCCCCCTTGGGACACAGCCCAGCTGTGGGGACCCCCTCCCTCAGCACGGCCCCTTCGGGACACAGTCCAGCTGTGAGGGCCCCCTCCCTCAGCACGGCCCCTTCGGGACACAGCCCAGCTGTGGGGACCCCCTCCCTCAGCACAGCCCCTTCGGGACACAGCCCAGCTCTGGGGACCCCCTCCTTCAGCACGGCCCCTTCGCGACACAGCCCAGCTGTGAGGGCCCCCTCCCTCAGCACGGCCTCCCGGGACTTGGCTGGCGTGGTGGTGACCCCTCCCTCAGCACGGCCCCCTGGGACTTGGCTGGTGTGGTGGGGACCCCCTCCCTCAGCACGGCCCCCAGGGACTCGGCTTCATGGTGAGGGTCACCCTGGGGCATAGGCTTGGTGGTGCTGAAGTGACAGGACGGTGCAGGGATTGTGTTTGTAACAAAGTAGCCTTTACAGGTCCCTGAGGGTGGGCAGCGTGGCAGGGGCAGCATGGCAGGGGCAGCATGGTGGGGTGGGGGGCGTGGTAGGTGGGGCTCGGGTGGCCCACCCCTTTAGAGTCTTGTGTTCCTGAGCTCCTTGTGCTCCTCCTGGGTTGTCCCTGGAGAAGGATCTTGTACCAGGTCCCTGTCGCCCCCGCCTGGGGCTCCCGGTCATGGGCATTGTCGGGGCTGGGGCCAGGGCTGGGTGGCCGGAGCTGCCAGGGAGCCGAGGGAGGTGGTGTTGGTCTGCGGGCACCCGGCCGGGCTGGGGCATGCGGCATGGGCGGCCCAGAGGACTCGGCCCGGTGGGGGGCGCAGGGAAGCTGGCGTGGGAGGCTGCTCCGGCCCCCTGGACGCAGCCGCTGCACGGCCTCACCGATGTGCAGGAGCAGGAAGTGGCGCTGGGTCCGCAGGGGCAGCATCTTCTGGCCACACAGGCTCTTCTGGAAGGTCTCCAACGCCAGGTCTGGTGTGGTTGGAGAGAAAATGTAAGTGGGGGCAGAGGCTGGGGGTGGGAGGAGCAGAAAGGGGTGGGGAGGGGGGAGGGGTGGGGCCCAGGGGACTGAGGTGTGGGGAAGGTTGGGGCGGGGGGTGGCACTGCCACGCAGGCCCTGGGGATGTAAGAGAGCCCCAGCTGTGGGGCTCTGAACTTGGGAAGAGGGTGGGTGGGCAGGCCGTGGGGGAGTGGGGTGGGGGATTCAAGGCTCACCCAGCGTCTCCATGACCACACCTGGGATGACCTCCTTCAGGACTTCACAGTTGGTGTGCAGGGCGGGGTTGGAATTCATCTCCAGCAGCCACACCTGCACCAGACACCACTCAGCTCCCTCCCCCATTCACCCCCCCCCCCCCCCGCACCTGCCCCGAGCCCACTGGGCCTGCAGGAGGCAGAGGCCCCATCCTCACTCAGCGAGGTGGCCCTGGGAGATCCCTTCCTTTTCTGCAGCCTCACTCCCCTGTGTGCCCACCAGGGCTCTGAGGGGCTGAGGCTCTGGCCTGAGCGGGTACCCTGGGAGGGGTGCAGGTCCATCCCAGCTGCAGAGAAGGGGAGCCTCGTGGACACACCCAGCCCCAGGGCTGGAGCCTGCCCATGTGGTCGGGGTGTGCACATGCCCTGCCTCCCTGCATCTCCCCACCATGCTCCCCACTATGCCCCCAGCATGCCCCCACCATGCCCCTGCTGCCAGGACAGCACCTTGAAGTTGTCATCAATCAGGAAGTCTTGGGAGGCCGAAGCGGGTGGATCACGAGGTCAAGAGATCGAGACCATCCTGGTCAACATGGTGAAACCCCATCTCTACTAAAAATACAAAAAAAAAATTAGCTGGGCATGGTGGTGCATGCCTGTGATCCCAGCTACTCAGGAGACTGAGGCAGGAGAATTGCCTGAACCCAGGAGGCGGAGGTTGCGGTGAGCCGAGATCGAGCCATTGCACTCCAGTCTGGGTAACGAGAGCAAAACTCCGTCTCAAAAAAAAAAAAAAAAAATTAGGAAGTCACAGCCGATGAGGTCGAAGTAACCCAGCTTTCGCTCCAGCTTGGACTTGGTGGCCAGGAAGCAGTGGACCATGATCTGCTGCATCTGCTCCTGCAGGGGGCAGGGAGGCATCGTGGCTGTGGCTGTGGCCTCACAGCCACACCCATCCAGACCCTCACCTGCAGGGGGCAGGGAGGCATTGTGGCCGTGGCCTCCACAGCCACACCCATCCTGACCTGCACCTGCACAGCCATACCTGTTCATATGTCCACACGCAGCATCACAGCCTCGCAGCCAGAAGCTCATTCAACCAACTCCTGGAGCTCCCAGCGAGTATCAGGCACTGGGGGTACAGGGGTGAGGGAAGCTCTGCTCTTGAGCAGCTCACTCAGTAGAAGAGATGGAAAGCGAACGGGATACATGACACCTGGAATGTTGGTGAGAACAGGGAGCTCTAGTGTTTTACCTGCTCTAGTTTCATCCTCTGCTTCCCAGCCCAGTGGTAGCCTCAGAATCACAGCGGCATCTCCACAACTGGAGATGGCAGAATAGGCCTCTTTTATTTACAAGATGTAATTGTTTGTTTTCTCATGTCTGGTAGTTTCTTGGAAGATCCCACTTGAAAGGACTAAAAGAAGGTGTGAGGGCCGGGCACGGTGGCTCACACCTGTAGTCCCAGCATTTTGGGAGGCTGAGGTGGGAGAATCACCGGAGCCCAGGAGTCTGAGATCAGCCTGGGCAGTATAGTGAGACACTCCACCAAAAAGCCCGAGGTGCATCCTTCTCAAGTGCACGTGAATTTAAACCAAATAGACCTGAAGACGTCCACAAAACACTCCACCCAAAAGCCCATCAAGTGCATGTGAATGTAAACCAGGATGGACCCTATGCTAGGACATCAACAAGTTTCAGGTGTTTTTTGGTTTTGCTTTTTAATGATCCACTTGATTAACAGTAAGTTTGTTGTTTTTTAGAGATGAGGTTTCACTGTGTTGCCCAGGCTGGACTCAAATTCCTGGGGTAAGCAATCTTTCCACCTCAGCCTCCTGAGTAGCTGGGATTACAGGTGTGAGCCACCACAGCAGCTCCAATAATTTTTCAATAATTTTTAAAGGGTGGAAATTATAAAGTATGTTCTCTGACACAATGGAATGAAATTAGAAACAGAAAGAAACGGGAAAATCACAAATATATGGAAATTAAATAACATGCTCTTAAGGAACCAATGGGTCAAGGAAAAGCTCACAAAGGAAATTTAAAAATATTTTGCAGCTGGGCATCATGGCTCACGCCTATAATCCCAGCACTTTGGGAGGCCCAGCCGGGTGGATCACGAGGTCAAGAGATCGAGACCATCCTGGTCAACATGGTGAAACCCCGTCTCTACTAAAAATACAAAAATTCGCTGGGCATGGTGGCGCATGGCTGTAATCCCAGCTACTCAGGAGGCTGAGGCAGGAGAATTGCCTGAACCCAGGAGGCAGAGGTTGTGGTGAGCTGAGATCGCACCATTGCACTCCAGCCTGGGTAACGAGAGCGAAACTGTGTCTCAAAATAATAATAATAAATAATAATTCTATTCACAAGTATCAAAATAATAAAGTATACCTAGGAATAATATTTACTCTAGGTGACAGACTTGTACCTAAAACATCGCTGAAAGAAATTGAAGACCTAGAAAAACGGAAAGACTCCCTATATTCATGGATTGGAAGACTAAATGTTGCTGAGATGTCACTACTACCCAAAGTGACCTACAGATTCAGTGTAATGTTTATTAAAATTCCAGTGAGGCCGGGCGCAGTGGCTCACACCTGTAATCCCACATCTGTAATGAGAGGCTGAGGCAGGCAGATCACCTGAGGTCAGGAGTTTGAGATCAGCCTGGCCAACACCATGAAACTCTGTCTCTACTAAAAATACAAACATTAGCCGGGCGTGGTGGTGGGCGCCTGAAATCCCAGTTTCTCTTGGCGGCTGAAGCAGGAGAATCACTTGAACCTGGGAGGCGAGGTTGCAGTGAGCCGAGACTGCACCACTGCACTCCAGCCTGGGCAACAGAGCGAGACTCCATCTCAAAAAGAAAAAAGAAAATGATACATGGGCGACATGGATAACCCCTGAAAACACCACACTAAGTGAAAGAAGCCAGGGAGATGGAAGCTCCACCAGCGGTGGAAGGGACCCGGCAGGCAGACCCTGGCTGTCCCGGACCATGGCTGCCTGGAGGGACCTGGAGGCGACCCCCAGCTGGGCTTTCATCCCCTGGCCTTTGCTGGCTGCTGGGGACTGGGGCTACCAGCTAAGTAGGCGGGGACACTGGAAGAGCTTCATTCCACAGGGTCAGGTCGGGCGCGTGCTTTAGTGCAGCCCCTATGTACTCCAGCCCGGCCACCCCGACTGAAGGATCTCAGCACCCTGGCGGGAGGTGCTGGAACGCACCGTGAGGGTGGTGAAGACCCAGTCCCTGGGGAGGCCCCGGGCCTTCCTGAAGGTGTCGTTGATGTGTGGCGGTTGAGACGCTCCATGCTCCACACCATGTCCTCCTTCAGCAGCACGTACAGGGGGTTCTTCTGTATGAACTGGGGGCACAGGGTACCTAGACACTGGCTCCCAGAATGTCCAGAAAGCCTGTCCTCACAGGGTCTCCAAGAGAGCATCTCCCTAACCCAGAGGGCCTGTCCTCACAGGGTCCCCAAGAGAGCATCTCCCTAACCCAGAGGGCCTGTACTCTTGGGGGTCCCCTGAGACAGCCTTCTCCTAACCCTGCTCCCCCGACCCCTACGATGACCTGCCTGCAAAGACCCTCCTGCAAACCCCTTCATCTGCTGAGACACCCCCTCAGCAGTGAAGACCCCACAGATCCTCTCATAAGGCGCATACCCTGGACTCTCTCATGAAGACCCTTCCCCAGAGACCTCTGCCCACAGGGCCCTCCTCTGACGTCGGCTCAGGGTCCCCTTGGTTTCACCCACCCACACCTCATCCTCAGCAAACTCAGCTGCTGCTTGGGAGCCAGGCTGCTGGTTGGGGGCTGCAGGGTTCTGAGCCCTTTCACCAGCTAAACGGGTCCCAGCCACGCCCTTCTTCTGCCACGGCGGAAAGAGGGAGGTGAGGGGTAGTGCTGACAGCAGGTGGGCGCAGCCCAGGCTGCCTCTGGGCCACCGTCGGGCCTGGGCCACCTCCCTTTGCAGCCGCACCCGCTCTGCACCCCCTCTCGGTGAGAACCTTCCTCTAACTTCATCCCAAGGCTGCAGGGAGGGCCCTCACCAGTTGCAGTCTTACCTGGTTGGTCAGGTGGCTGCTGAAGTCGCTGGAACGGGGGTCGTAGAGGCTGAGGGTGAGGCGGGCATAGCCGTGGCCGAAGAAGACCATGTAGGGCATGGCGCAGGCGATGAGCAGGTAGGAGCGCATGTCGAACTTCCTCCCGTCCAGCAGCAGCGGGTTCTGGATGTACCTGGGGGCACCGCATCGGGGCTGCTGGGCTGAGCCTCGGGGCGGCCTGGCTTGGGTCCCCTCGAACTCCACCCTGGGCCTGGGCCATTTCCTCAGCTCCCTGCCTCTGCCCCAGGCGTGACCTCCAGGGAAAGGGGCATTTCTGGGCCTGAACATGTCAGGGGAGTTGGGTCAGCCGGCCCAGACCCCGCCCTCCGGGCACCCGGCCGCACCACTGCACCACCAGCGCCTGAGGCCCCCAGAGCGGCAGCTTGTGGTAGACCGGGTCGTCCTCGATGCTCTGGGTCTTGGCCTGCAGGGCGGAGACTTCCTCCTGGCTCTGGAGCAGGAAGATACCTTTGCCCTGGTTGCTTGGGCTTGCAGATCCACATCTGGGTTTCTGCAGAGCGCGCGGCCTGAGCCCGGGCCCCGCCCCACCCACACCCAACCCCGCCCCCTGGCCCAGCCCACACCCAACCCCGCCCCACCTGGGCCCGTCCACACCCAACCCCGCCCACGCCCAACCCCGCCCCCTGGGCCAGCCTACACCCAACCCCGCCCACGCCCAACCCCGCCCCTGGGCCAGCCCACACCCAACCCCGCCCCACCTGGGCACGCCCACATCCAACCCCGCCCCACCTTTCCCCGCCCCTTCCCCGCCCACCAGGACCACGCCCCTATCCCGCCTCATTCTAAGGCCGGGCCAGGACCCTCCTCTCCCGGCTGCGCCTTCGGCCCGGCCCCTCCAACCTGAGCCCTGCGCTAACCATGCGCCTGGCCCCAGCTCCTGCCCATGCCTCGACTAAGCTCCAGCCCTGGCCCCTGGGAAGGCTAGACCTCCCCTTTCCAACTCCTCAGCCCTCACCCAGACCAGGCCCAGCCGTGACCCCTTCCTGACCACCTAGCCTCGTGCCAGCCCCACGCAGCCCCTCCAGGCTCAGCTCTGCCCTCACCAGGCTCCCGCCTTGGTCCAGCGCTGACCCTGTCTCCCCAGGGCCAGCCTGGTGTCCCGCCAGCAGCCCCTTACCGTCAAACAGGGTGAAGAAGGCTTCTCTCGAGTCCTTGACATCCAGACGGTAGGTCTTTGGGAAAAACTCTTGCATTCTCAGGACCCTGAGGGGGGCAGGGAGGTGGGAGGAGTTGCTGTCCCTGCATCCCAGGCTGCCCGAGGTTTGAGGCTTGGCCTGTGGCGGGAGGGAGCATGGCCCTGGCAGCTGGAGCCCTCGGCCCTTCTCGTGGGGGTGTCGAGTTTCCTGCTCCTTTGCAGGCCCCCACTCAGGCTGTGCTGCTGGCTGCAGCCTCTGGCTGCTGACCCCACCCGGCCCCTCCCTGGAGGCTGCTTCTTTCCTGGTGGCTCTCCCGGCCGGCTCTGTCTCAGCCCTGAGAGCCACCAGCTCCCGGCATGTCCTCGTGGCTGGGACCACACGCATGTGCACGGCGGTCAGCATGGGTCTCCTGCCCGGCCAGGATGGACCCCTGGTTCTAGCTCCTGGTTTTCCCTTGTGTGGGACCTCCACCTGGCTTTCTCCTTTTCAGTCAACACTGGGTTTAGGTCTGAACTGCAGTCTGAAGGCCCCTCACAGCTGGGCTGAGTGTCCACCTCTGTGGCCCCTCACAGCTGGGCTACCTCTGTGGCCTGAGGTATCCTGGGCTTGTCCACGGGAGGTCCTCCAGCGGCCACTGCTGCATCCTGTCCCAACCTGCAGCCCAGGGGACAGAGGGCCTGGCTGAGGAGCCACTCATGGTGCTTGGAGTGGGTGGGGACTCAGGGATGGGGCTTGGGTGGTGAGTGGGTGGACACATGGGTTTGGATGAAAGCAGGTGGCTGAGTGGACAGAGGTACCCAGAGGAAAAAGCAGCATTGCTGTAGCTGGAAGTGGACGCTGGACATGGTGTAAGGAGGTCCTCACGGGTGACCAGGGACGGGTCAGGGCTAGGGGCAGGGGCGGCAGGTGCTGACTTGCCTGGCCTAGGGGCTGCCCGGCGCCTTGCTGGCCTTGCTAATGGCCCGTGCCCGCCCCCGGAGGGTGCTGAGGAGTTTATTGTAGGGAAGCTGGTACAACAGCTGCTCTCTTGGATGGCAGAGGCCAGGGTGTGTGTCAAGGGTGTGCAGGACCTCAGTCCCCACACCTCCAATCTGCCCCCTGCTCTGGCCCAGGTGGCCCTGCAGGCTGCCTGCCCGGGACGCCTGGCGCCCCCACCCGATACCTTCCTGGAAGCTGCTGTAGCTGTCTCGGCTCTTGACCTCCCACCACTTCAGCATGTAGTCCTCCCGGCCACTGTCCTGGATGCGCTTCCAGCCCTTGCTTTTGCAGTAGGAGCTGATGCTGTGAGGTCCGGGGCAGAGGTGATGGGGGTGGGGGTGGGGGCCCAGGCGAGGGGGTGGGGACTGTGGGCGGCCAGTGGAGGCCAGGCTGGGCCCCAGAAGCAGGCAGTGGGCGTTCAGTGGGGTTGGGTGGGGGGCGTTCAGTGGGACCAGGGTCGGCCTGTACTCACATTGAGGTCCCATTGCTGCCTCCAATGTAGAAGAAGGGCCCAGGCTGGGTGCTGTGGGACGATGGCTTCCCACCCCCCAGCAGGAGCCCCTCCAGGAGGGCAGCTGGGGGCCCGGCGGCCTCAGCGTCATCTGGGTCTGCAGGTGGGCAGCTGGTCGGGAGCCTGGGGATTGTGGGCGTCTCAGAGGCTCTTCCTGTCCCCTCCAGGTCTGGCCCACAGTGCCCACCTGCGTCGTGGTCTGGCTGGCCTCGCTGACTTGGGAGTCCCTCCTCTTGGCCACTCCCCATTGGCCTCTCATGGGCTGGGAATAGGTGGGGTCCCACAGGGGTGGCTATGGGAGCCGTCCACTCAGCCGGGACCCCTGTCAGCCAGTTGCATCCCAGCCTGTTCGTCACAAACCTGGACAATCCACCTGGCCTGTCTGGGGCTCAAGTTCAGCCCAAGCTCCTATGCGGCTGGGCAGCCTGGGGACTGCTCACAGCTGGGGAGGGGCCGCAACCACCCTCCAGGGCCTGGCTTCCTGCCGGCAGGGTCCAGGTGAGGGCCCGGAGCTCGGAGCAGGGGCAGGGAGGGCCCCCACCCGCCTCACCAGCAGGGCAGCAGCCTGGCACAGGGCAAGGACTGAGCGGAGAGGCCTGTGCTGGGTGTAGACTTGGCAGGGATGGCCCCAGGAGGACAGGGGTCACAATGGCCATGATGACATCACCGGTGACCCGAGGGGCCATCGCCAGTGATGGCTGCCTGTGGGGGTGGTACCAGCTGGGTGGAGCCTGGGCTGTGGAGTGTGGCATCTCCCCTCTGTGCCTGCAGAGCCAGTGCCCACAACAGGCCCCTCTTGGAGCAGTGGGGCATGGCCATGCGTGGGTCCTGGTCCCACCCTATGAGACTGACTTCCCTGGGGATGGGCTGCCTATCCCAGGGTGGCCCTGGCCTTGGAAAGGAGGAGGCCACCCAGGGCTGCTCTATTCACCGGAGACTCGAGCTGGCGCTGCTGAATCCTTCAATGCTTGCCCCTCTTGGAGCCAGGTTGGGTCCCAGTGGGCTGTCCCCGGTGCTGGATGAACCGGGCATGGCTGCGGACCACTAGCTGGGGGGCACCAGGGCTAGGGCCCTGCAGGGAAGATGCTGCTCTGACCCTCCTGTGGGACCTTCCATCTCCCCGAGGCCCCAGCACTTGGATGGAGCAGGCAGTCCCCACCCAGTGTGGGGAAGGGCGCTTCCTGGGGCTATGGACTCCAGCCTCTGCATATGCTGGCCCCCATCTCCGTGGCAGCTTCGGGGCCTGGTGCCATGTGGGGGCTAGATCCTCTCTGGGCTCTGTCTCTGCCAGGCAAGTCCTCCCTGGCCAGAGCTGCTCCTCAGGCGTAGCCGAGCGTGATCTGGGTGCCAGCTGGAAGGAGGGGCAGTGTCAGGCCTGCTGGGTGGGGCGCCTGCCCGGAAATGGAGGGTGGGAGGGCTACCCGGTCTCCCCTCTGCTGTCAGGGTTCTGCTGCGGCCGCCCCTGGGGCCCAGGCCAGACCCCCGGACGCCATCCCCAGCAGCACCTTCCCGTGTTGCAGCGTAGGAACTTCTTGGGAATTTTCAGCCACTTCCTCGACAGATCCTGCTGCCTCCGTCTCAAGTAAACAAACCTACCTTAGGGCTGCTTGGGAGGCAACGAGTTTTGTTTTCTATTTGTTTGTTTTTGAGCCAGAGTCTTGCTCTGTCACCCAGGCTGGACTTCAGTGGCGCAATCTCAACTCACAGCAACCTCTGCCTCCCGGTTTCAAGTGATCCTTCCGCCTCAGCCTCCCAGGTAGCTGGGATTACAGGTGCCCACCACCACGCCAGGCTAATTTTGTATTTTTAGTAGAGATGGAGTTTCACTGGTCAGGCCAGTCTCGAACTCCTGACCTCAGGTGATCCGCCCACCTTGGCCTCACAAAGTGCTGGGGTTACAGGCCTGAGCCACTGTGCCTGACCTAGGTGAGGACTTTCAAGGGTTTGAAGGAACTTGGACAGGAGACCGGAGAGGCCACAGAGGCTCCAAGGCTGGGGGAGGCTGGGGGAGGCCTGAGGCTCAGGCTGGGAGCAGAGCTCTCCAAAGGTCGCCCCTGCAGCTGATCTGGCCTGCAGAGGCCTTTGTGTCTGCCCTTCCCTGACCCGCCTGAGTGACGGGAACGGAGGAGACAACGAGGGAGCCCACATGCAGGGGAAGGCGGGGAAACTGAGGCAGCTGTCCACACGATGATCTGGCCAAGTAGGGCCCATCCTGGGGGAGGAGCAGACACACGCTGGCCTTGCACCTTCGGCCAGGAGAGCCTGATGCCGTCTTCCAAGGCTGGGCTGGGCAAGAATGGAGGGAGTTAGGAGCCCTGAGATGACCCCCAACCCAGAACAGGAGGACTGCTGGAAGAGGCTGGACCTGCGCTGGCATGGGGCAGGAGTGTGTTTGCGCGAGACTCTGCATTAAAGGGAGACCTCAGCCCCTTCTCACAGGTTCTCAGCACCCAGGGTCCTGCTGGGGAAGGGGTCCTCTAAAGTACTTAAACAGGCCGCCCAGGCTCAGCGTCATCAGAGGGGCTCCCAAGTGTGAGCAACAGAGTGACAGATGCGTCTACACACACACCTTACACACAGACACGTCTACACACGCATGCACAGACATGTACACACACGTACACACAGACACACAGCACACGCCCGCAGACAGACACCTACACACACCTTACACACACAGGCACATCTACACACATGCACACACACACAGACACCTACACACACCTACTTACACGCAGACAGGCACATCACACATGCACACACAGACACACCTACACACAGACACAAGCATGTCTACACATGTATGCACAGACACAGACACACCACACACACCTTACACACGCAGACACAGGCACGTCTACACACAAATTGAACAGACACATGACAGACACACCCCTACACACACCTATACCTACGTACAGACGTCTACACACACATGCAGACACACACCTACACACCTTACACACATGTCTACACGTGTGCACACACACGTCTACACATGCGTGCACACACATCTACACACACCTACTTACACACATAAACACATCTACACACATGCACAGACACAAACACGGCAGACACACCTATACACACCTATACCTACACACACATACACACAGACACCAACACATACCTACACACAGACACGTGTCTACACATGCACACATGCACAGACACACGTCTACACACACACCACAGACATGTCTACACACACATGCACCGATAGACACATCTACACATGCAAACATGGAGACATGTCTAACCATGCACACATGCACAGACACATAGACACATCTACACACACATGCAGACACACAGACACGTCTACACACACATGCACTGACACGTCTACATGCACACATGCACAGACACACAGACATGTCTACACATATGCACCAACACACAGATATGTCTACATGTGCATACATGCAGAGACATACAGACACAGACATGTCTACACACACATGCAGATACACACAGACACATTTACATATACATGCAGATACACAGACATGTCTACACACACATGCACCGACATAGACACATCACACACACACATGCACAGACACACAGACACATCTACACACACAGACACATCACACATGCACACACAGATGCGCACGGACAAGCCTACACACAGACACACCTACACAGGCACAGACACATCTACACACATGCACACACAGACACGTCTACACATGCACACACACAGACACACCGACACAGGCACAGACACATCCACACACATGCACACACAGACACATCTATACACATGCACATACAGACACATCTACACATGCACACACAGATGCACACAGACACTGACACACAGACACGCCTACACAGGCACAGACACATCTACACACATGCACACACAGACACATCTACACATGCACACACACACACACAGACACTGACACACAGACACACACAGAGACGCCTACACAGGCACAGACACACACCCCACACGCACAGAGGAAGAGGAGATGGAAGAAACAGGGAGACTCACCCTGGAACGTGCTGGGGTGGCAGAAAGCACCCAGAGAGCTGCATGCTTTTAAAGCAAGGGAATGGAGGATACGAGAGGGATGGCGGGGTGGAAACATCAGCAGGGGTTGGGATTTAAGTCAAGGAAACTGCCCAGAAAGGGGGGGACGGGGGGGCTGTGACTGTGAAGCTGAGGCACACAGCAGGGTCACCGTGGAGCCCGGGTGACGGGGAGGCCCGACACACATGGAATGGAGGAAGGAATGGCCAGTCCTGGCCTTGCCCTGGGTGCCCACCAAGCCCCCCAGCCTTCCTGGGGACACAAGAGGCTCCCAGCCCAGAATTCCAGGAATTCCATATCTGGCCTAGCACGTGTGGAGGTGGGAAAGGGCAGGGGAGACATCCCTTAGGGAAGTCACAGGAATGGGGAGTCTGGGAAAGATGCCTCAGCTGTGGCCTTGCAGCCCCCGTTGCCTGCTCAGCCACGGGGAGCAGCAGCCTCTCAGGGTTGCTGCAAAGATGCAGTTTCCCCACATAACTAACATCGGGACAGCACCCGTCACACACCGAGTGGGCCGCAGGGCTGTGTGATGACGTTGTGGGGGTAAGAGGGGGAGCAGAAAACTCAGGGACAGCTCAGGATCCGAGGGAAAACCAGCCCTCGGGAAAAGCAAGGTGATCACTAACTCAGGAAGACGAATGGGTGCCAGTGTGCCTGGGAGGCAGGACAGCTGTGCCTCAAACGTCACTCCCCCCAGGAGGCGGGACAGCTGTGCCCCAAATGTCACTCAAACTTCACTCCTCTCGGGAGGCGGGACAGCTGTACCGCAAACGTCACTCCACCCGGGAGGCTGGGCAGCTCTGTCCCAAACGTCACTCGTGTTGGGATGGCATGAACCAGGAAGCATATGGGGACAAGCCCCTTTCGCAGGCCAAACCATGGAGAACTTCCTCACTGGAAGCTCCAGAAGCAGTTGTGTCAGGTGCTATTTGGAAGCAGCAAGGCAGTTAGAAAACAGAGCGAGGCGTCAGGCTTTGGTGAACAGCACCCCATCTTCTGCCTTGTGGTTGCAGAAGAAACAGCTGGTGGGGCAGCCGGGTGCTGATTCATCGTGACCCCAAGGCCTTGTGGCATTTTTTTTTTTTGAGACAGAGTCTCCCGCTGTCTCCCAGGCTGGAGTGCAGTGGCGTGATCTCGGCTCACTGCAGCCTTGGTCTCCCCAGTTCAAGTGATTCTCCTGCCTCAGCCTCCCGAGTGGCTGGAATTACAGGGGGGTTTCACCATATTGGTCGGGGTGGTATTGAACTCCTGACCTCGTGATCCACCTACCTCAGCCTCCCAAACTGCAGGGATTACAGGCGTCACCACTCTTGGCCTGAAATTAAAGGATTCTTAGGCAGCTGTCTGGGCTGTGTGGTTACCCAGGAGCCTAAACACAGACGGGTTGGGGCCTCCAGAGCCTCTGGACATCCCGAGCTGCCGGTCCACATGCCTGTCAATCTTGCATGTGCCCATCGGAGGCTCTGATGGATGCGATTCCAAATCCAGAAAGAAAGCACCTCACTCTGAGATGCTGAGTGCCCGGGGCGTGGGGTGCTGGTGAGCCCTTCAACCAGATGCTGTGTAAAGGCTGCATGGAGATCCGGCGCAGCAGAGCCAGCAGAAGCCTCAGGACCTTGGATCATTGTAAAACAAACTCTTTACCTGGTGAGGGAAAGGCTGGCAGGAGACGGTGCCACAGCAGGATGAACAGAAGAGACTTTTAAACCTGAGGAAATCGTCCACAAGTGCCACGCGTGAGTGCAGCGTCCTGCGAATGTTCTCCCCCAGTGCAGGCTTGGTCACTCGGGCCTAGGAACGTATTGACGTTGCTGGAAGAGCCGGTGCCTCCCGGCCAGAGGCTGCTCCTCGGGACGCAGGCCCTGTGGTCTCCAGCAGCCGTCCGTCCATGGTCTAGGCCATGGAGGTCGCCGCAGGACTGCCCAGCCCTCCCACCAGCGCTGCACACACACCCTACTCCACAGAGTGGGCTCAGCCTGGCCCCACTGCACCCTCTCCTTGTCCAGTCCCCTTCCCCACCGCCTCCTCTCCTGGGCAGCTTCTTGAGGGGACCCGTAGGGAGGGCATGGAGGGGTAGGGCTGAGCCCACTGGACGCTGGCCACTGGCGCCTCTCACCATAAGGTCCCGAGAGCCCGGGCAGGGAAGCAACAATGTGACCTGGCAACCATCTCCTGGCAATCACTGCCACCCGCCCCAGAGGTGACCTCGAGACTTAGGGGGATGGGAGGGGCTGGGGGTGAGGCTGCCTCCCAGTTGTTCCTGGGCTGAGCCCAGTTGCTGCCCCTCCACCAGGCCCTCCGGGGTCGGTCCCTGAGCAGTCTCTCGGGCCCCACCCACGCTCAGCACCCCAGGGCCTGTCGGGGGCTGAATCGTTGTGGATCTCGGAGCATTCTCTGTTCTCCATGTGGTCATGTCCCTGTTCCCACTCCACAGGCAGCCCAGGATGAGGTGCCACTGTGCCCCCCTCCACAGACAGCATGCGGGCTCAGCAGGGCCAGTGCCCCCCAGAATGGGGTGGGGGGCTACTCACATCTCTCAGGCCAAACTGTAAGCCCCTCACCATGTTGCAGATCTTGGCCAAAGTGAAACATTCTGAGGGGGTCTGGGCCGTCAGAAACAGCCTGCCCAGCACCTGACCTTGTCACACTGGCTGGGAAAGTGTCCAAGTATCACACTGTTACCTTCTGTGGGAACAAGGGCCAAACACATCGCCTCATCATGAAGCTGTCCCACCCAGACTCCTCCTGCCCGTACCTGTAAGTGCCCAGGACCCCTCCCGCCCACACCTGTAAGTGCACGGGACCCCTCCGGCCCATACCTGTAAGTGCCTGGGACCCCTCCCACCCACACCTATAAGTGCCGGAGCCCACAGGAGGTGGTGGCTCTGGTGTGAAGCTGGCCCCGCCCCTGCAGGTGTTTGCTGCTGCGGAGCCGCCCTTTATCTCTCTGTGTCTGTGTTTAACCCTCACCTTCCCTTTAAAACACCCAAAGATACCAGGTCTGGGAGGCCTGGGCTCCTGGCAGGGCCCCTTGCACGATCTGATCCCCTCCACCTCAAACCCTGAGCCTCCAGCCATGTGTCCCCTCCCTACCCATGTCCTTAGGAGCCTTGCATGTGTCACAAGGGTCCCCTTGCAGGGGGCTGGGGTACCCTCAAAGACAACCACATCCTAGCTCTGAAACCTCGAATGTGGCCTTATGAGAAGGGTCTTTGCAGGCGGGGTTACGCCAGGATCTCAGGTGCCATCGCCCAGGGTTTCGGGGCAAGCCCTAAATGCATGGCCAGCGCCCTCCTGAGAGGGAGGCGGAGAGAGGAGAGCCAGACTCGAGGGAGACACCGTGGGACGGGGGTGGGGGGTTGGGGGGTGGGAAGTGGGGGCGGACACAGCGGGGGGGCAGAGACGGGCCTGAGCTGGCAGCAGGAAGGATCTGAGGTTCTGGCCTCCAGACTCACCAGCTGAGGCGTCTGCTGTTGCTGTGGCTGCTGCATGAACCCACGCAGGGGCCAAATCCTGGCTGGCTCCTCCCTCCAGCTCCAGGAGCCTGAGCTCTGGGGCTTGGCTGGGGAAGAAGGGGCCTCACCTGTCTCTGGGGAGTCCCTGGAAGGAAGAGGGAGCTCTCGGAGGTGGGGACGGAGCGGGGAGAATCCTACCCCTCTCCCTGGTTCTGTCCAGCAGGGAACAGTGTCTGCACCCCCACCTGGTGCCTGGTGTTCAAGCTTTGGTATGGTCCTGCCAGGCCTTGGTTCAGAGCAGGCCCAGGAGGTCCCTCTGTACTCTGGGAGCCTCAGGTCAGGCTGCAGGTGGAGCTGGGTTGGGTCCTGGACGGAGTGGCTGGGCCTTCGGGGCTCCGGGGCCGCATGGGTGAATGATGGGCGGTGGGGGCTTCGGATGGATCTGGGGGTTCTCCAGGCTGGGAGCAGCAGATCCAGGTTCAGAAGCTCTGGCTGTGGGAAGGGGCCTACGTGTGTCCCCTCCTCCCTGAGGCCCAGGCAGGTGGCCCGGCAGGAGCTCCACTCCAGGGCTGACCCTTTGGGGAACAGAGCTGGGCAGGGCCATGGCCCTGGGTGGGAGGGGAAGCCCTGTCTGGTCTTCCCAGTGCACCCGGCCTTTGGAGGATGTGATCTGGACGCACACCTCCAGGACAGGTTTTCGGATATGGGGGGAAGTGGGGGTGCAGTGAGCATGTCCCCCAACCCCTGTGGCCTCCCTTCCCCGAGGGCCCCCTCCCCACAACCCCCACTCCCAGCGGCCTCCCCTCCCTGAAGCCTCCCCTCCCTGAGGCGCTCTCTCCTTCTGGCCTCTCCTCCCCTCCTGAGATGGTGGCGGAGACAGGAGATGTAGACTCTGAAGAGGCCATAGGATTGGGGGAACATGGTGGGGCAGAGATGGGTGATACGGCCACAGCCATGGACTCCTGAGCTGGCAGCAGGAAGGGTGTGGCCCCTCCCAGCATCCTCCCCTCCCCGTGGCCTCTCCCTGAGGCCTCCCCTCCCTGGTACCCAGGCCAGGCCCAAGGATTCTCCACTGCCAACAGCCCTTGGAAGACCCCAGGCCTTGCGCTGTGGGTGTGTCCATGTGGGTGCAGCCCCCAGGGCCAGGCAGAGTAGGGGAGGCTGGGCACCTCCCGGGCAGTAGGTGGGGTCTCTAGGCAGCCCTCATCAGAGGTGGCCCCTTTACCACCAATCTGTGGCTGTCACCTGGGCAGGTGGGGCCACTGTGGGTGGCTGGACCAGGTCGCCTTCCTCACTGGCCCCTGACTGCCTCCATCCTATCCCTGGGCCCTGCTCCTTCTGGTCTGCACCATATGCTCTTGGTCACCTGCTCAGAGGCCCCCAGGGCCACTGGCTGCCCCTCCGTGAGGTCCTTCAGTACAGGCTGAGATGACTCCACTCAGGGGTTCTCCTTTCCCAGGGCCTAGACCCAAGCTGGCCACCAGAGGGTCAGGGAAGATTCCAGAGCAAATGAAGGAGGGAGAGAGGGGAGAGAAAGAAGGGACGGGAGGAGGGAGAGAGGGAGGGGAGAAGGAGGAGGGAGAGGGAGGGAGGGAAGAGGGAGGGAGTGGAGAGGGAGGGAGGAATGGAAGGAGGGAGGGAGGGGAGAGGGAGGAAAGGAGGAGGGAGGGAGGGGAGGAAGGAGGAGGGGGAGAGAGGGAGGAGGGGAGAAGGAGGGAGGGGGAGTGGAGGGGGGGAGAGGGAGGGGAGAGGGAGGGAGGGGGAGGGGAGGAAGGAGGACAGGAAGGGAGGGAAGGGAGGGAAGGGAGAAGGAGGGGAGAGAGAGGGGGGAGAGGGAGGGGGAGGGAGGGGAGAGGGAGGGAGGGAAGAAGGAGGGAGGGTAGGGAGAAGGAGGGAGGGAAGGAGGCAGGGAGGGAGGGGAGAGGGAGGGAGGGGAGGGGGAGGGAAAGAGGAGGGAGTGAGGAGGGGGAGGGAGGGAGAAAGGGAGGGAAAGAGGAAGGAGGGAGGGAGGGAGGAGCGAGAGGAAGGGGGAGGGGGAGGGGAAAGGAGGGATGGAGGGGGAGGGAGGGGAAAGGAGAGGGATGGGAGGCAGGAAGAAGGAGGGAAAGAGGAGGGAAGGGAGGTAGGGAGCCTCTTCCAGGAGCCTCAAGGCCTCCAGGGCTTCAGTGTCTGGGGCTTTGTCCTCAGCTGGGCCCTTTGTGCCACTGAGGGTCAATGCTTGTGTGGTTAAAAGAAAGAGTTGGTCCAAGCATGGGTGCGTGCCCGCAGGGTTTATTTCTATGTAAATACCTTTTCTGCTTTGTTCTCAGTGCTCACGGAGGGAAGGAGAGAGAAGGGGAGGAGGAGGACTCTGTAGGGAGCACTCTCGGCTTGGCCTACCAGCCCCAGCAGGGTCCTTCCCACCACCCTCTGGGTGGAGAGTGACCCCCTGTGCAGTGTGGGGCTCATCTGGCCAGACGGGAGGTGCTGGGGTGGGCAAGGTCCCCGGGCTCTGAGTGGTGTTGGCGGACAGGGTGGGCTCAGGCTCACAGGGGTGGCCCAGCCAGGCCTGAGCACTCCTCCGAAGCTTATGTTACGTGAGCCTTGCCGTTCAGGGCTCATTCTCGGGGTGTGGTGAGGTGGACGCCACATTCTGCGGGTGTCACTCCAAGTTCTCACCCTGCAGTGTGTGGGTGGGTTCAGCCGGTCCTGCCAGACGCCGGGAGGGAAGGGGATCTGGGGATGGCCCCAGGGTGGGGCTCAGTTTACAGGGCCCAGCTTGGGGACAGCTCCAGGGGATACCTCAGGAGCCTCCTGGGGTGGGGGGGCCAGCCCCCAGTGCATGGCTGTGTGGTCCAAGCGCCTGTCTCCCTGCCACATGGCCTCAACTCTGGCCCAGAGACCGGCCCTGGAGGGAGAGTGTGGTCCGAACCCTAGGGCTGGCCCCTGCCCAACGAGGCTCAGGGACGCCCGGGAGCCTCCAGGGTCTCTGGGTCCCACTACTGGGGGCTGACGGGTTGTGACATTGGCCCTGCGGCCACACGTGCTCCCCCCTGCCCTGGGCTCAGGCACTCTGGGGGGCCCAGCTGCTTCTGTCTTGGCCTCCCCGGGTTGGGAGGGGGCTGAGGGCTGTGGGGTGGGCCTCCAGGTGTTCCTGACTGTGGCCCCCGGGGCTGGGCCAAAAGCCTGGGTCTGCAGTCTCTGCCTGGGGACTATGGCTTGAGTCCCTCGGAGGCCTGGTGGGGACAGGCCATGGCGAGCGGGGTCCGAGAGCCCCAGACCTGGCGGCTTCACGCTGATGGGCCCCCGGCAGGCAGCTCCCTCCTCCAGCGGCGATCAGGCCGCGGATGGACGGTTTTACCAGACAGTAATTAGACAGAGGGCAGGTCTAACCGTGTCTGGTAAGACGTTCATCCCCCGGCAGTGGTGTGGGCGGCCTCTGGGGTCCTAGGCTGGTATCCTGCAGGGTCTGTGGAGGGAAGGCCAGGAGGTGCCCCCCCACCTGCCCCGATCCCTCCTGGATCTGCAGAAGGAACCCCCAGGCGCTTCCCTGACAGCCTCATCCTGGCACCTGGCCCCAGCCCGGCCGCATGTGGTGCTGAGAGCCATCTGGTCACCCTGGCCCTGCTCTTGGCAAAGATTCCCGCAGCCCCTCACTGGCTCCTTGACACTCCGTCAGGTTAATGAGTAACGGAGAGACCAGGGCAGCCACCCCCTCCCCAGGCTGGGGCCTAGTGTGGGGTGTGGTTCCAGGTGCCCTGGCTGCAGATCAAAATGATTAAACAGTGGGTGATCCTGGCTTCCTGGGTTTCGGACAAGTACCCGTTCTTGTTGATGGGAGAAGGAATGAGACCCCTCACCCTGCACCAGGTCACGGCACCGAGCGTCCCGCTCTCCTGCGTCGTTGGTCTTGAGAATCTGAGCCTACCCTGTCCTTCCTGTGTCCCCTGCAGACCCTCCACGGAGCTGGAGCCGGGGTTCAGACCTCAGGAAGGAGGGAGGCCCCCACTCCTCTCACCTCTCCAGCCCTGGCATCCCTGCCCTAGGGCCTTTCCTGGAGCTGGGTCACCCCAAAGCCCAGCCTGGGGGATCCTGGGGTGGGGGAGGCTCAGCTGCTCACGGTGTCAGACCCAGCCTGGGCATGAGTGACCCAGGGCACCCTCGGCAGAGGCCAGCCTTCCCCTGGGTACAGGGCTTTGGAGCTGACACAGGCCCTCCACTGCCCAGCTCAGCCGCCCTCCACATCTCTGGCAAGGGAGCTCTGGACGTGCACGTGCATCGGTGGGGTCCCCGGCGAGCGGTGGGTCACCTTTGAACATCGTTACCAGACAGTGTTAGAGTAAAGCTGGGAAATCCAGCACTGTCTGGTAAGATGCCCACAGGGGCCCCAGTGGCCAGCAGGAGCCGCTGTGGAGTCCAGGGAAGCCACTGCTGGGGAGCAGCCAGGGCGGGGCTGGTACCAGACATCGGCTGGCGGAGCGTGCTCAGGGGCTGAGACTCCGAGGCTGCACAGGCCCACCCTCCCCGTTTCCTCCAGGCTAAGGGACTTGGGGCCGCAGACCCAGGACCAAGGCGCGGAGCTGGTCTGCTCAGCATGGCCCACCCCGTCGTGGAAGGAAAGGTGGCTGGTGGGCAGCTTCCTCAAGGCCTCTGGGCTCCACGTGGCTCCAGGCTGGGCCTTGCCCTCCTGAGCCCTTTGTTGAACCCCGTTCAGCCCGCACCTGCTGGGTGTGGTGGCAGCACCTGCCCAGAACTGTGGGCAGGGTCCGGACACCTGAGTGTCCTAATCCCCGGATGGCTGTGGGGTGCCCTGGGTGCGGCTGCAGGAAGCATTGCTTTCTGGGGGCTTGGAGACTCGGGGGGCCCAGACCCCTTCCCAAGGTCACTCCCCCCATCACTCTCCCCAGAGCCATCTGGGCTGGATGGAGTTGGGTCTGCTGAGTGGGCTGTAGGGAGGGGAGTGTGGACTGGGTGGGAGGCCCTGGGGGCCGGGAGGGTCGCCGGTCGCTGCTGGCAGGACCCCGCCGTCATCATTACCAGGCAGTATTAGAGACCTGACTCCATCCAATGCTGCCCAGTAAGATGGCCACGGCTGCCCGAGCTGCGTCTGGGGGCTGCCCGGCTGGGGGCTGTCTGGGACTCACTGGGGGGGCTCAATAGCTGGGGGGCCTCATCCTCCTTGGGCACTCAGGAGGGCAGGCCTCATGATGCACCATGGCCTCAGCCACTCTGGGGGCTAAGCCAGGAAGGCTGGGTGCACAGGGTGACCCCCCACCTGGAGTCCAGCAGCCACCGGCTTTGGGGCCTGGGGTGGGTGCCTGGGGACCGAGGGTCAGTTCAGAGTGGGGCAGACATAGGCCTCTGCTGGCCCCATCTACGGGGACCCTCCCTCAGGTGGTCCCACAGGAAGGCCTGGACAGCAGCCCCAGCCCCCGGGACCCTGCGTGCTGCCTGTCTGAGGTGGGGGACAAGGGCCTCGGTCTCCAGCAGGTGCTTCCCTGCCCAGCCCCTTCTTTTCTGTCAGGCTCTCCAGACAGGATGGCCTGTCCCACCTGGAGACCCCTCTCCCATGCTGCCCTGCTCACTGCATGGCATCTGAGGGCAGGGGGTACAGGGGGTGCAGGGAGTGCAGGAGGGTGCAGGTGGTGAGGGTGCAGATGGAGAAGCAGATGGGGCTGCAGGCGGGGTGTGGGGTACGGGGGTGCTGGGTGGGTGCAGGGGTTTGCAGATGGGGTATAGACAGTGTACGGGTGGGGGCTCGGGGGTTGCAGGTGGCGAGGGGTTGGGGGGCACAGGCGTGGGGACACAGGAGGGGAGGCTCCTGGCTGTGTCTGGCTGGCTCTGTGGTTTGTGTGTCTGCTGGTCTGGGGTCTGCGTGTCTGTGGCTAGTCTGGGGTCTGACCTAGGGGTGCACAGGAGACACAGGTAGCCAGGCCTTGGGTGCTGGGGGACCCAGCACCTCTGCAGGGGGGAGGAAATGGGCAGCCCTGTGGCCTTTCCTGGCTCAGGCCCTGCCTGGAGCCCAGAGACCACAGGTGCCTATTCCAGGAACACGAAGGGCCTGAGGGAGATTCAGCCCTCGGGCCAGACCTGCAGGCCAGGCTCCCTGCCCTCCTTCCCACCCCTTCTCTGCCTGCCCCCCAGGTGATGACTGGGCGGGAGAGCTGGCCAGAGCCGCTCTTCAAGTTTTCTGGCACCTTCCACCCACAGAGACTGTGGTGGAGGGGGGTGCAGATCCTGGGCTGATCCCTGTCTGCCCGCCAACCACAACAAAGGCCGAGTCTGCCCACCCCCCACCTGCTGCAGGTCCACAGGTCCCCAGACTCTTCCTCCAAAGGCATCTCCCGGACCTGAGCCCCTGGAACCCCAGCAGGTGGAGACGGATGGGCCTTTCTCACACCGGACCCTCTCTGGAGATCCCACACCAGGCCCCCTGCCCTGGCCCCGCCTGTCAGCCTTCCCTCACCTCACGGGCCGCCACCACCGATCCCATAAAATCAGTGCTTCAGGAACGCTTTTCACCTGTCTTCTGAGCTAAGGGAAACTAAGACTTCCCATGCAGAGCAGAGTTGAATTTCAGCTCCGTTCCTGGCTGCCAGTCCACATGGGGAGGGTGGCAGGGACCCGGCGCTTGTCCCTTGCAGCTGGGGCCAGACACGGTCCCCAGCCCACCGGGAGGATGGACGGCCTCCCAAGGCCGGGCTCAGGGCCTGGGGCAGTGTCTCCAGCCCCCTCAGGGATGCCTCAGCTGGCCTGGCCACCCCAGGCTTCTCAGCCATCGAGTTCTCACCTGGACCCAGGGACAGAGCCACGGGGCAGGCAGGAGGGAGGGTTCCCAGGCTCCTCCTGAGGCAGAAGCTGTAAAGCCAGCCAGCAGCTGGGTGACAGAGAGGCTGACCCTGGCTCCAGGGCTGGGGTGGAGGCAGGTGGTTGGCTGCAGGGCTGGCTGCAGGGATCTGGGGCTGCGCAGGGCTGTGCCCGGCAGGGGTGAGGGGTGAGGCATCCACAGCTGAGTCTTACCGTGGCCACAGGTCAAGAAGTGAGAAGCGGAAAACGATGCTCCCGGTTTCCCGAGGGCCCCATGCGGCACTTCCTTGGTCGACTGTCCAGGAAGTGGAGCCAGTGGGTTAATCATCACCGCGGGCCAGACCCAGCTCGGGAAAATTGAGTGAGTCAGGAGGCCCAGGGCCGCCCCACCGAGGGGCTTTCTGCAGAGCACGCGCACCTGGAGGTGCCCCCGGCTGACCTGGCCGCCTTGCCCGCGCCCCGGCCGGGGCCAGAGCGGGTCCCACCTGCTCGGGCCGGGGTGGGGTGGGAGCGCCGGAGAGGAATGCAGTTCCAGCACGAAAAGCTACCTCGTTGGTTAACCTGCCCAACGGGCTTAATCAATGGTGAGGCCTCGGAGAACAAAGCCTGAAACCCAACCCTCCCCAGCCTGGGTGCAGTCGAGCCAGGGGAGCCTGCGGCCAAGGGGGCGGGGGTGTGGGGCTCAGCCTCACCAAGCTCAGGCTCTCCCCTCCGAGTCCTGGAGCTACAGAGCCGCCATTTCACCCGCAGCCCTCTCTCAGGCCGGCTGTGAGTGTGTCCACCCGCCCCACAGAGGAGAAGCCAGGCTCCTCGGCCGGTTCATCTTTCCCTAAATACACTAAAAACTGTTCTCACAAACTCATCTGGCAAATAAGTGTTTACAAATTACCAAAATGTCTGCAAAGGGGCCGTGAACTGCATGCACATTTCACGGCGGATTTGCACCGTCACAAGTGCATGTGCTGCTAATGCTTTTAAACTCTTCATCTGGTTACCAGAAAAACACAACACAACACCCCTTTCCCCAGATGCTCGGCCTGAACAGGCCTAAGAGCTCACAGGGATTAATTAAAGCAGTGGCTCCTCAGGCCCCAAAAACTTTGTCCATCGAGAGCAATGCACCTCCCCTCCCATCACCACCATCAATCAATTCCCAAATGTTAAGACTAAGAAAGCAGTGAGGGGCTGTGAAACCCCTTCTGGTGCCCCTAAGGCAAGTTCAAGGCTGGGCCTCGGTAGGTCAGACCTCACGGCCACGGTCACTGCTCCTGCACCCCACCCCAGTCACAGCGTGGGCACCGCCGGCACCTTCTCCCGGCTGAGCTCAACCTGGACCAGATGAGCCACGGCCCCGGGCACCAATCTCACTGCCCACAGGCTCTGAACAAGCCCTTCCCGCCGCAGACTCCGGAGCCCAAGGGAGACGCGGGCATCTTCAGGCCCAGCCGGACCCTTCTCTGCACCCACCTCAGTGGCAACAGCTTCCCTGCTCCGAATGCAGTGCCTCAGGCCAGCGCTGGCTGTTTCCGGAGAGAACTTTCTAGAAGGCCTATTGTCAGGTAGGTAGTGAGAACATGACCCCTCTCGGAGCCTGCCCTCTGCCTAGGCCCTGCCCCCGGCTGATGGCCCGAGGATGCCTCACGCCCAGAGCTCACACGCTGCGCCTGGAAGATGCAGCCTGTGGGCCCAAGATGGCTCCGAATCCGAAACCCAGCCACGTCTGAGCAGGGTCCCACCTTTCCCTGGGAGGGGAAGGACCACTTGGCCTGTGTCCGCAGTGACCGGAGCTCCCTGGACGCTGGCAAGGCTGGCCACTGCCCATCTGTCACCTGCGCTCTTGCCCCGAGTCCGCCACGGAGGGGCCAGGCCAGGCCTCCCCTGCAGGGAGCAGCCTCCTGGAGCCTTGGCTGCCCGCCACCCGCCCTTACCTGCCCTGACAGGTTCTGCCTCTGAGGACGCTCCCGCCCAGCCCTGCAGCCTGCGCCTCCCCCATGCCAGGCCCGGGTGGGTGTGAACCGGCTTCGGAAGGGATGGGGGAGACCCAAGTCCCCGTCCGTCCCCATCCAAGGAGCCGGGCACGCAGCCTCAGCCTGTCCCCAGCCAGGGTCCAGACTTGGGGTGTCGGGGTTGGGAGGGACCCGGCGGCCACCTAGCAGAGAAGAGTTTCCTACCTCCCCTTCAGGGAAAAGCCGGTTTAGACCTGTACAGGTGGACAACTCGCCTGTCTCGGGGAGAGCGTGGAGGGCGAGGGGACAATGGGAGGAGGCTGCGAGGTGGGGGCCTCGAGAGGGAAGAGCTGCCGGCGGCTCGCCTTACAAGGAGCCACTCCCCGCCCCACACAGGTGCGGGCTCCCACGGCCAATCTGCGCTCCTGGCTCCCGACAGGTGTGTCCCCTGGGCTCCCATAGGCCCGGCAGAGTTGGTCGGGAGGCGGGCGGGAGACAGGTGGTGACGCAGGCCCAGGCCCCTGCACACTCCTTCCTGCCCCACCTTGCCACCGGCCCACCGAGGTTGAACAAAAGCCAGGGTGGGAAGGCTTCAGTGGGGCCCTGCGTGGAGCGAGGGCAGCAGGAGCAGCAGCAGGGGCAGCCACGGGCAACTCTGGCCTCTTCCCCCCACCGCCTCCCCCATCCCAGTCACAGGACTCCTTCCCAGCCTGCCTTAGAAGGGGGCGAGGTGGCCCAGGGTGAGAGTCACAGCCTGCCGGTCCCCTCCCTGGGGCGTGGTGCCGTCCAGTGGGGCTGAGGCCTCTAGCAGACAGAGGACAGGGGCCACACCTGCCTGTCTTAGCTCCAGGCCCCCAGCCCCTAGTTTTGGAACAATGGAGGGACCCCTGCAGGCCCAGGTGGCTCTCAGGATCCGTCTCGTCTCCAGGGGGTCCGGAGAGCTACATGTCCCCAGCCTCCACAATGAACAGGAGGCCCTGGGATCCCACAGAGCCACAGCTGGGGGGTGAGGGAAGGATGTGGGTGCCTTACTGAGCCTCCCTGCGAGGCGGGGACAGCGGAAGCCACAGCAGCCCCTGGAACAGTCCATTTGGGCTCTGGAGGTCACTTTGGAACCCCTAGACTGGGGGTGCAGGTTTTCTTGTTGGGAGCTCGGGAGGTCTCGGGGACAGGGGCCGGGATGGGGAGGGCAGGGCCCCAGCCCCATCCGGGAAGTGACTCCCATGAGAAGTGTTTGCTTCTCGCTGCTCCCAGCAGAAGGGCCTGTAATTAGTCCAACCTGGCAGAGCGGTCCCTGCAGACCCCACCATTTTCCATAACGAGCTCTGGCAGCTCAGCTGGGAGCCTCATCACTGAGGGCCGGTCCCTGGGGCTCCTAGCACTCTTCTCACTCTGCCTGGGGAGGTCCAGGCGACTGCCCTATCTTTACAACAGATGAGGCCAGGGCTGGGCTGGCCGGAGGCTCACTCTGGCGTTGGCCTCTGCCCCTGGCATGGGGCCTGAGTCGCTGCTCACCCTGGCCCTGGGCAGGCTTCTGGAAGCTGGTCCTGGGGGCACCACTGGCCTCTGACCCACTGGCCTCACCCCAACAGGCCCCTCCCCCAACAGTCAGGGCCCCGCCCACTCTGATGCCCACTTGAGTGTCTGTGTGGGGGGAGGTGGGGTGGGGGCAGGACACACCTGGCCGATGGGCCCTTGTCTTCTGGGGAGACTGAGGCATTGAGTGGGAGAAGGCCCAAGCCCCGTCTTGGACCCTCACCCCGATGCCACACTCACTCATCCCCCAGCGTGGCCCTTGGGCCCTGCATGGCAGGACCTGCCTGGAGCTGGTCGGGTATCAGGACACGTGTGGTCTGGTCCTCGCTGCTCATGCACACGCCTCTGCTCTGTCCAGGTCCCAGGAGCGGTTCTTCCTGGGTCCCTCTTGGTCTGCAGGAGGCTGGAGGCAGCTCTGACCGAGGGAGAGAGAGCACACAGGTGAGGCCATGCCCACGGGACACTTCACAGAGCCGTGGGTCCTCCCACTGCCTCTCACCTTGGACGCAGTCCGAGGCCCCATGGATGACGGTGGCCCCTGAGTGCCTCCGGTGGTATTAGGCCCAGGGTGAGCAGGAAACAACCCTCCACTGACCTCCAGTGAGTGGAGGGCTGGGCACCTCCTCCCTCCCCTCTCTCCTCCCTGTACCTCCCACCATCCCTGTGTGCCATGGTCCTGACCCCGCCTTCTCCATCCGTTCCAAAGCTCCACCCACAGACGGAATGCCTGGAGCAACGTCTGCCCTCTGACCTCAAAGGTTAAACCATCCAGGCTCGGTGGCCTCACGCTTGTCATCCCAGCACTTTAGGAGGCCGAGTCCAGAGGATCACTTGAGCCCAGGAGTTCGAGACCAGCCTGGGCAACATGGTGAGACCCCGTCTCTACAAAAAATGTAAAAATTAGCTGGCTGTGATGGTGCAGGCCTGTGGGCCCCCCGCGGGAGGATTGCTTGAGCCTGGGAGGTGGAGGCTGCAGTGAACCTCAATTGCACCGCCGCCCTCCAGCCTGGGTGACAGAGTCAGACCCTGTCTCAAAAAAGAAAACACAAAGGTAAAAGGCCCGAGTTTTCTGCGGGAGGTTAATAAGTGTCTCTACCTGGAGTTGGTGAAACAGTGAGAGAGCAACTGACCAGCCCTGGGAAAAGGGAAGCCTCTGGCCCTGTCCATGGTTCCTCCCGCTTGGGCAGCTGTGTCCTGGCCCAGGAGCCGCCGATTTCAGCCCTGAACAGCCCGGGGCCCTTGACTGTGGACATGGAGAGTGGCAGGCACTGGGAGGGCACTGGGTGGGCACTGGGCATGACCCCATCACCGTAATAAAATCCCTGGGTGGCTCCCTGGCTTCAAGGAGGAATATTTGCGTCTGGCTGAACACCTGCCTCCCGGCCTCCTGGTGACACCCCAGGCCCCAAACTGTCCTGCCTGATTCCCGAGTAGCATGAAAATGACCTGCATCGGCCATGGGGATGGAGCGGCCGGACTTGTGCACACTTTCTCACCTGCTTTTTATTTTTCTTAGACGGAGTCTTGGTCTGTCGCCTAGGCCCGGCTGGCGTGCAGTGGTGCGATCTCAGCTCACTGCAGCCTCCACCTCCTGGGTTCAAGTGATTCTCCTACCTCAGCCTCCCGATCAGCTGGGACTACAGGTGCCACCACCACGCCAAGCTAATTTTTGTATTTTTGGTAGAGACAGGATTTCTCCTTGTTGCCCAGGCTGGTCTCGAACTCCTGACTTCAGGTGATTTGCCTGCTTTGGCTTCCCAGAGTGCTGGGATTCCAGGCATGAGCCACCGTGCCGGGCCTCTCACCTGTTTTTGACCCAATCACGTGGTTTCCACTGCCCTGCTTTCATCCTGGATGGACCTGGGTGTGGCTGCGGGAGGCCTGACCCAGGAGGGCAGCAGAAGTCACCCCCAGGCTGAGCCAGCCCGAGGGGACCCAGCCAGCCAGTCCCTACCCCGGCCCCAGGAGCCTCGGGTGGCTCTGAGCTCCGTGGATGGCCAGTTCCGAGGCCCTGAACTGGGGAAGGGGCACTGCTAACAGAATGGCTGAAGGCTGATGCCAGCTCTGCCTGCACTGCTTGGGTGCAGGGCTTGGGGAGGGGAGGCCTACGAGGCTCACTGGCGCAGGTCTCTCTGGGGACAGGGCAGGGCTCAAGCCTCGGGGGGCACAGGCTGGCACTCCCCATTTGCCAAGGAAGTGAGTGGCCCTGGGCATTGTGGGTGGCACCTGAGGCCTCTCCCTCAACGGAAAGAGCTGCGGTGGCTCTGTCAGTGGGCATGAGCTGGTCAGTGTGGGCCACTCCACACCAGGCCCTGAAAGGCGCTGCAGAGTGTCTGAATCACTGGGAGCGGGTGGCTGCTGAAGGTCCAGGCCTGGTCCACCCGCGGGTAGGACACTGTCATGGCAGCCGGGTGGGCGGCACTGGGTGGGGACAGCGGTGAGGGGGCATGGCTCTCCAGGGGCCGGGAGGCCTGACCCAGGAGGGCAGCAGAAGCCACCCCCAGGCTGAGCCAGCCCGAGGGGACCCAGCCTCCAGCCCCCAGCCCTGGCTGGCCTGAGGGCTCCGATGGGCAGGGCAGGCAGGACAAAGGCCCTTTGTGTTCCGGCTTTGGCTACTTCCTGATGGCGCCAGCCACAGAGTCCACAGGGTCCTGGATTCTCCTGCCAGGCTGTGGAGAGTCCCACCTCTGCCAAGGAAAGAAGGGGAGGACTCAAGAGCCTCTGGAGCTTCAGGTTCAGGACTGGGGCCTCTCTCATGCTGACTCTGGGCTCTGAAGGGACACAGGCTCAGGGCCGCCCATGGCTCCTCCACTTCCGGGTTCTCCAGCACACAACCCTCACCCCCCAGTGGTTCCCAGGCTCCTTGGCCGCTGGGGCACCAACACCGGGTGGTGGGGTGGGGGCCGGGGACAGCTGCCCAACCCTCCCTGGGAATGGTGCCCCTCCCAGGGTGTCAGGCCCAGGGCCCTGGCTCACCCTTCCCGACCCTCCACAGTGTCGGGTCTTGACCTGTATGTCAAGTAGGGGGCTGTGACCCCCCTACTGCTGAGGGAGGTACGGTGGCCCAGCCACAGACTGTGAGAGGGTCTGGGGCTAATTTTGGCTTTGCGTCCTCTAGCCAGCACCACCCTGGAACACAGACAGACTTTGCTTGGAGAACTTTGGGAGGAAAACCCAGGCGGGGTTTTGGGAGGTGTCCTAGGCGGGGAGGGTGGGCGGCCCCCAGCACCTAGAGCTGGAGATGAAACAGGATGCGGTGGAGGCCCCTCCCACCACCTCCCGGGGCGCCCGGCTGTGTCTATACAAACCCCAGCATAGGAGACCCCTTTCCACCCTGGCAGGAAGGCCATGAAGCCTCCAGGCTGAGGAGGAGCAGGGCTGGGGTGGAACCGGGGGTAGGGATGGAGGGGCTGGGCAGGCTGGGGGTGGGGCTGCAGTCACCTGTACTCCCTGGACCCTCCTGCCGCCTTCACCTCGGGACCCTGAGGGACCCTGATTCCAGGGCCAAGTGCTCCCCACCCAGGCCACGCCCTCCCGCCATACTGCCAGGTGAGGCAGGTGACCCCACCATTATTCAATGCTGCACGGAGCGGGACCCTCCAACCACCTTTTCTCCCCTTTCTTCCCAGCTCCTCCCACCTGCCTGAAGGGCCCAGGCACCTGCCAGCCGCTGCAAGCTCAGGGAATGCAGGTTCAAGCCAGGAAGCTCACTCTGTCCCCAGCCTGAGGTCCTGGGCCTGGTCGTGCTGTGAGACTTTGGGTCTGCACACAGAGAGATGCCAGGGTGTGGGTGGGCCAGCCTAGCACCTGGGACCCCTGCCTGCCCCCACCTTCTTGTCCTGAACCAAGCTTGTCCAGCCTGGGTCCAGTGGGTCAGCACAGCCTTCTGCAGCCTGGCTCACCCTGACTGGACCCCCTCTGCCTGAGGCCCTGATGCTCCCATGTCCTCTCCCACACTGTATCCATGAGGGCTGTGGTGCCTAGCAACACCGCCTCTGCTGAATTCTCAGGAGGTGTTGACCAAAAGTCTGGAAGCTTTGCCCAGGGTCTGAGACACAGCCTTCTCTAGGGACCTGATCTGCACGCTGTCCCCTTGTTTTCTTTAGTCATTTGTTGAGATCTGCCCCAATCCTCCACAGCCTCACTTGTCCCCAGAGGCCTCTAGGGCACCAAAGCCAGTGGTCAGCCCTCTGGCCTCCCAGCCTAGTCTGTGGGCAGCTGGTCACCATGCGCCTCCAAGGCTCAGCCCACTAAGCCACCAGGGCAGAGGCACTCCTGGGAACCAGCGGGCTGGGGTGCTGGTGCCAGGGAAATGGAGGGGTGGGTGCAGATGGAGGTGAGATGTCTGGAGGTTGGGAGGAGCCTGTGCACTCTTCCCTGGTGTCCAGGTCACCGGCACAGATTTCCTGCAGATTCCAGCTGAGCAGGTGCAGTTTGAGTGGGAGTTTTCCGAGTGGGGATTCCATGCTGGTTACGGGAGCCCAGCAGAGCCTTGACAGAGGTGCACGGCCTGCCTTGGTGACAGAGGGAACGGAGGCTGTAGTCAGGGTGGTGGTGCTCTGAGGAATCCTGGGACTCCTGGGTGGGAAGAGTGTGGGGTCCTGAAGGCCAGAGGAAGAGAGTGCCCCAGGCAGAGGACACGGCCAGTGCCCAGATGGGCTGTTTGCAGGAGTGCAGGCGGAGAGTCTAAGACCAGTCTCCTGGCCGAGAATGACTGAAATGTTCAACCATCTGATCAAAGCTTCGAAGAGCCAAGGAGCTGGTAAGAATCTACGAAGCCCAAACCATGGGAAATCGCAGCCTAGAGGACAACGCTGCTTCCTTGGGGGTCAGCAGGTGTGAGCTTTTGCTCCAATGTGGAGCTCATCCACCACGAGACCCTCCCTCCAAAACCTCCCAAAGTGGGGATGAAGTGAAGGTGACTCCATCCTTGTGAGACCTCACAGCCCCAGTTCAAGCCACCTTGGTCTTCCAGAGAACCCAAAGGCCACTCAGACCAGGCAGTGTTGTCCCAGGTGCTTGGCAGAAGAAAGCAGAAGGGTGGTGCCTTTGCCCAAGGCACCAAATCATCCTACAGATACTTGTTCAAGTACAGTGAGCAGCACATAGTCGAAGATAACCGGTCTCGCAGAGGTATGATGGAAACAGACCAGTAAGACCTTCAGGGGCCTGAGATATTGGAGTTATCAGACTCAGATAAAAACAAATGAAAATCAGTACATTGAAAACAAAGACAGGTTTTATATTTGCAGAGAACTTTACCTTATAAAAATATGTAGTAGATTAAAAAATCTGAATGAGCTTTTAGACATGAAAACATGATAGCCACAATTTAAAACTCAATAGGCTTAACAGAAGATTTAAAATTGCTAAAAAGAAAATTGGAGTCTGGACGTGGTGGCTCAGGCCTGTGATCCCAGCACTTTAGGAGGCCGAGGCTAGAGTATCACTTGAGGTCAGGAGTTTGAGGCCAGCCTGGCCAACCTCATCTCTACTGAAAACACAGAAATTAGCCAGGTGTGGTGGTACACGCCTGTACTCGCAGCTTCTCAGGAGGCTGAGGCAAGAGAACTGCTTGAACCCGGGAGGCGGAGGTTGTAGTGAGCTGAGATTGTGCCACTGCACTCCAGCCTGGATGACAGAGCCAGACCCTGTCAAAAAGAAAAGAAAGGGAAGGGAAGGGAGGGCAGGGGAGGGAAGGAGGGAACTGGGAGACAGGAAAGTGTAAAGTATTCAGAATGAAGGCTAGTAATATTTTCAAAGACCACGCGGATAAGAATGGGACTGCAAAATACATACATACAATATAGAGAACTGGAAAAAGAGAATGGGAGAAATAAATATTTGAAGAGATAGTATCTGAGAATTTTCCAGAACTGTTAGAAGACATCCCAACACAGATTCCAGAAGCCCTGTGAATCTCAAGCAGGATAAATACACAGAAGTCCCAGCTTGCCACCTGTGTGAGCCATCCTGAAAGCCCACAGTGAAAAATTGAAGAAAGCTGGGGAAGCATGAGACAGATTCCCTTCCAGAGACCAGCGGTGGGATCGACGGCAGACCTGCCCACAGGACAGTGGGGACAGAACACAGTGGAACAACCGCTTTACACTAAACACCAGCCCGAAAGCAAACAAAAACCAGGAGAAGAACTGAGAATGTTTGCCATCAGAGACATTCGCTCAGAGAATGTGCAAACCACACACTCCTGCAGGACGATTCCAGGCAGAAGTTTTGCGGTGCAAAAGATGACAAAATCTCAATTAATTTTGGCTTTGCACAGCAACAGCAGTAACAATGAACTGTGGAGTCTTTAAATATCTGGAATTAAAGTGCACTTGTTTGCCGGGTGCCAAAGCTCACATCTGTAACCCCAGCACTGGGAGGCCAAGGCTGGGGGATGAGTGGGAAGCCAGCTTGGGCAACATGGTGAACCCCATCTGTACAAAAATTAGAAAACATTAGCCAGATGTGGTAGTGCAGACCTGGAGTCCCAGCATTTGGGAAGCTGAGGTGGGAGGATCGCCTGAGCCCAGGAGAGCAACAGAGTGAGGCTCTGTCTCAAAAATAAACAATAAATAAAATGCAATTGCTTACAGTACCACTAGTGGGGAAACCTGGTGGGTACAACCTTAGCCGGGTGATGGAGGTGGGTGAGGGTTGACGGAGCTGGGTGGTGTGAAGAACATGGAAGCCCACAGGATGATGGAGCTGGGTGGTGTGGAGAGCGTGGAGCCCCCACAGGATGATGGAGCTGGGTGGTGTCGAGAGTGTGGAACCCCCACAGGATGATGGAGCTGGGTGGTGTGGAGAGCGTGGAGCCCCCACAGGATGATACAGCTGGGTGGTGTTGAGAGTGTGGAACCCCCACAGGATGATAGAGCTGGGTGGTGTGGAGAGTGTGGAACCCCCACAGGATGGGATGAGAAGGACACTGGGCTCCGGAACCTAGGGCTCCATCCTCCTCTTCACAAACCCATTACCCCAGCATAACCATGAGAAAAACATCAGACAACCCAAACTGAGGGGCCTTCTAAACACCTGAGCAGCACACCTCAAAACTGTCATGGTCTTCAAACCAAGGAAAGTCTAAGAAACTGTCATGGCCCACGGAGAGGTGATGATGCCATGCCACAGGGGCTTGGATGGGACAGAGGACGGGAGGGAAACCAGGAAGACCCGGGACAGAGAGAGCACAGGAGGGAGCCAGCAGAGTGTGGGGTTTACTGGCTGGTCATCAGCACCAGCTTGCAGTGACAGATGGACCCCGCTGTCGTGGGGTGCTCATGGTGGCACAGGGTCTATGCTGTCTGAGAGCTCTCTCTGCAACGTGTCTGTTGATCAGAAGATATTAGAAATAAAAAGTCTATTTAAATGTATAATTAAAGTCCCACCAGTGACTTTGTTGACATCCTGCTGGTGTCAGAAGTGTCTGCTGTGAGTGGAGGCCATGGGAGCAGCGGGAGACAGAGGTGGAGGCCACGGGGCCACAGAGGAGACAGAGGCAGAGGCCATGGGGGCTGCAGAGGAGACAGGCAGAGGCCAAGGGGCCACAGAAGAGACTGAGGCAGAGGCAGACCAGGCATCCACAGGCCCTGGCTGGGCAGAGCAGGAAGGGGCACAGAGCCTCTGAGTCCTAGAGAGCCAAGGCCACCAGGATGGCCCATGGATGCCCCTCCCCACACTCCAGGCTTCCCCTGGGTGAAGCAGTCTGGGTTTGGGTCTTGAGCTCACCCTGAGGCCTCTGGCTGGGCTGGGCCTGAGCGTTCCTGGGAGCCTGTCCTGGGCCTGGCAGAGCTGCAGTCACCTCCATGTGTTGTCTGCTGCGGCCATGGCCTTGACACTGGGGGTCTTGCCCTGAGAGACTGTGGGGAGGAGACCCAGAGACGAACCCTGCCTGGGACACTGAGGGAGGGGAGGGCACTCAATGCTCGAGGGTGGGGTCCGGGGACAGGTGCACGGTAGGAGGGGAGGGCACTCCTGCTGGGGTGGAGGTCCCAGGAGAGGCACATCATGGGAGGGGAGGGCACTCCTGCTGGGGGTATAGGTCCTGGGACATGGGTCCCTGGACAGGCACACTGTGGGAGGGGCCCTGGAGTTGGAGATCTGGGTGCTGGAGAAGCCCGCTGAGCACTGGGCCTGGGGAAACAGACTTTTCAGACGTCCTGAGCTGCGCAGGAACGGCCCCCAGCTGGCATCAGAATGCTGGCTCCTCAGAGCAGACGGGCAGGGCCCACCCCAGGTGCTGCTGAACCAGTTCTTAAACACACTGTGAGCCCTGAGCTTCTGGATCAGAAAGGCCTCCAGACAGACCCTTTGGACCAAACTGAAGGAGGCCTTGAGGGATGTGCTGTGGCCTCAGCACCTTGGGCCCCGGATGACCACCGTGACCTCAGCACCGTGGGCCCTGGATGACCACCGTGACCTCAGCACCGTGGACCCTGGATGACCACTGCCAGTGTTCCCCGGAGCTTGGCCAGGTCCCGGAACGTGAGGACACCTGGCAGAAACAGAACCTAGGGCTGTGGGCTCCATGAGGCCGGGAGGGAGCGGGCATGGAAATCTCAGCCGCAGAACCAAAGCAGCTATGGAAATGTCTCAAGCAAATCACCCTGGCGCAGCTCACCAGCCACACCGGCCCTGGACGCAGCCGCTGCTCACCTAGGTGCCCCCGGCCCTCGCCTCCTCTTCCCGGCACCTGCTTCCTGCCTCCTAGAGGCCCAGAGGGAACCTGGGGACCTGGGGCCTGAAAGAGGGATAAGGGTGGCCACCTGGGGGCCCCAGACAGTTTGTGGCTGCCCTCAGGCACATGGGTGACAGAGGATGCCTAGGGTTGGAGTGGGTCCAAGGCAGCCACTCTGTCCTTAGGGGGAGCAACCCTGAGGGCTGACAGGACGGCCCGCTCAGGCCTTGGGGTGGACACCGTGGAAGAGGTCGGGAGAGGCCCAGCCCTCAGTGGTCCTGGCCTGCCCCTGCCAAACCAAGCAGCTCTGGGCCTGGGGCTCCTGGTCTTCTGCTTTGGGGCCCAGGCCACCAGGGTGGGCCCTCCTATCCCTGGCTGGGTGGGGCCAGCTGTGCTGGAGAGGCTCTGGGGCGGCGGTGGCTGATGACTCATTGGCCTCCAGGAAGAAACACAGGCCAGGCAGGGCCTTCCTGCAGGTGCTGGGACCCACCTGGGCGGGCCTGTGTGTCTGCGTGTGCCCTGCAAACAGACGTGCAGCTTGGGCCTGAGGTCACGCACCTGCACCTGCTGGGGGCGGTGGGATGGGAAGTGGCCCCACCAGGCCGGCAGAGCTGGAGGCCCCTGTGTGCCCCACCTGCCACCCCCCACCTTTCCAGGACACCTGGTGCCCCAGACCTGGAGTGGCCTGGCTTGGGAGTTGGGGTAGAAAAGGACCTGCCTGAGCTCAGACCTCTGCTGGCCGCCCCCTCTCACAGTGAACTTCTCCACTGCTCAGCAGGGCCTAGAGTAGCCGGAAGGGGGCTGGGGCGGCCCCCCTCCCTTGTCAGCCATGCAGTCACACTAGCCACCCTGCCCTGTGGGGTCCCCAACAGCCCCCAGGCCTCCACCTCCTCCAGGGGAGGGCTGAAGACACTCCCCATCCTCACAGCCTCCAACCGCTGAATCCCCAAACCAACCTCCTGACACCCCCAGTCCCACATCTGTGTCACCTGCAGGAACCACAGACTCCCAGGGCTCCAGGGTTCCACCCACAGGACCCGCCCTCCTCCACCCCTCCCCCACGACGGGGGGTGCCTCGCAGCCTCAGCCCTCCAGCAAACCCACCCCAGCCGCTCAGCCTTTCCTCCCCTGGGGCTGGCGGGGAGGCGGCTGTTGTCCCCACCTTCGGCTTCCAGGCTCCCCACCTCATGTCCCTGCCTCCTTGACCACCACCCTGAATTTCCAGGGTGTCTGGCCCGGGATGCCTGCTGCTCTCTGCCAGGCCTCCTGTGCTGGGTCACTCACCCCCAGCCCCTCCCCCTCGCACCCCTCACCAGGGTCCTGGGTCCCCTGCGGCTGCTCACACCACGCCCTGCGGCTGCTCACACCACGCGCAGTGTCCCCATGGAAACTGCACCCTGACCTCTGATCTTCGACCGGCTCCCTCCTCCTTCCCTCAGGGGCCTGGCTGGGGCCTTGTGTTAGAGACTTCCCTTCCTGGGAGAGTTTTCTTTCATTTTGAAATAATTTCTTCAGAAATGGCCTGCAGAACAGTGGTAGGTCTGCTTCTTCCAGGGCCTGACGCTGTCATCCTGATACGTGGGTGTCCATCCTGTGAACGGGGACCCCCAAACACCTGCAGCCCTGGGGGTAGGCTGCCGACCTTCCCACACCTCGTCCCCATTGTCCCCACAGCGTCCTCCATAGACAGGACTCGACCAGGGCCTCAAGGCTGATCTGAGTCTCCATGAGCCTGGAACACGCCTGGGCCATTCCCTGCCTATCCCATAGGTTCCAGGCCAGGACCTCAGCAGGAAGTCAGGTGTGGGTCTGTCTGAGGTCCTCGTGGCTCCAGGAAGCCACAGAGCTGAGTCCTGCTCCCGACTGGCCCCCATGGCGGTTTCCCAGGAACTCATTCCTTCCACACCAAATGCGCATTCCACCATGAGGAGAAGCTTCTCTGCTCCACACTTACTTACCCACAGCCCTCAGCGCAGCCTGGGCATGCCTGTTTCATTGGACGGGTCCTGGGCTGTCCTGCTGTCTGTTCTGTTCTGATGCTCGGATCCTAGGCTGAGCTCCTGCCCCTGGGATGCACCCCCCGTCATTCCCTGAGTTCTTCCTTGAGCTTCAGGGCACCCAAAGTTGCTCCAGTCTCCTCCAGTATCTTCTGCACAGTCCAGGAATCCGCTTGGCTCCTCCTGGTGGAGAATGGGATTTAGAAGCCAAGATCTGGGTGTGGGTGAGCTCAGTGTTCCTGGAGTGTTGCTGGGTGGACAGAGCTCAGGGATGTGTGTGTGGCAGTCCACAGACAAGCCTGAGCCTCTGCCCTCCACCCCCACCTGCTGTGATGGGACCCCCCCCCAGGCTCCCACTGTGCCCATCCAGCCTTTGGATTCTATGATGTTCGTGGCATTTACCAACTTCTAAATTATTTTGACTTTGTTTCAGATGCTAAATAAATATTTCACTTCTTTCCAATTTTCATGCTTTATTCTGCACTTTTGTTCTTTCTCTTTTTTTGAGGCAGGGTCTATGGCGTCTCCCAGGCTGGAGTGCAGTGGTGTGATCTCCACTCATTGCAGCTTTGACCTCCTGGGCCCCAGGGAGCCTCCCACCTGCTGAGCCTCCTGGGCAGGAGCCTGGACCACAGGCACAGCCACACCCGGCTAAGCTGTTTCATTTTCTGTAGAGATGGGATCTTTCTATGTTGCCCAGGCTGGTCTCAGACTCCTGGGCTCAAGCAATTCTCCTACCTCGGCCTCCCAAAGTGCCGGGATGGTAGGCATGAGTCACTGTGTCTGGTCTGTACTTTTTTTTATTAAGGAGAGCCCCAAACAATATGAGGCTTGAGCCTCAACAACCAAGATGGGTGCTGTCCTTGCTCCTCACCAACTGACCCAAGTCCCAGGCAGGAGCACCCTCGCCACCCCACTTCCTCCCTTTTTTTTTTATCAGACCCCTTGCAAATTGCAGCCTGAGTTCCATCATTCACCTGTGGGGAGCAGGCTGGGGCCACTGTATGGCCTGCAAGACAGGTCCAAACTCACTGACTGCAATCCCCCAAATCCCCACATCACTTGGCCCCTCAGCAGGCTGGCACCTCTGGCTGGGCCCTCTGCCTTGAGCCTTGAGCACTTTCCCCCTGGGCTCCAGACACTGGGGTCCCCACCTCCCTGCCTGGGCTCCAGACACTGGGATCCCCACCTTCCTGCCCGGGCTCCAGACACTGGGGGTCCCCACCTTCCTACCCGGGCTCCAGGCACTGGGGGTCCCCACCTCCCTGCCCAGGCCCTGGGCACTTGGTGTCCGAACCTCCCTGCCTCCAGTGGCTCCTCTTCTGGCACCTCCTGTTCTGACCTCTGAACCCACGGCCTCAGAGCTGTCCTTGTTGTCACCTGGTCCCCAGACCATGACGCCCTCCTCAAGTGCAAGTGACCCATGGGCACCCAGGTCCATGCAAACCTGCAGTGTCTGAGCTCAGATGCTGAACCCCGGACCCCACCCCCCACCAGCCTCCCAAACTCTGGGATCCTCCACACCCCATCCCCAGAAGAGCAGGCTCTGCCTTCGAAGTGTGCCTAGAACCGGAGGTCCTCGCAGCCACAGCACTGTCCCTCAACTGCCAGTGCCCCTCTCCCGGCCGGTGCCTTGACGCCCACTGGCCTGTGGCCACCCTGCACCACTTCAGCGAGTGAGGACATGGGAGCCGAGCCAGACCCCCACTCGGAGCAGACCCAAGTCCCTAAGAGCCATGTCCAGGGGTCCCCCCTCCCTGCACGCCTCTTCCCGCCCTCGCCCAAGCAGGTCCCCTGCAGAGCAGCCCCCAGCATCTGTGCACTCCTGGGTCGGGTCCAAGCACCAGGCTTCATGCGCCTCCTGACCAGCCCAGCAGATCTCAGCAGCGTCACTTGGATGTTTCCCCAAGCAGAGATTAAATGACAGTTAAAAAAAACCCAAAACCCATTCAAGGTCAACTTGTATCTGGCTCTGCTTCTACCTAACAGTGGCATCTGACCACCCTCCTCCCTCGAGGGGCAGGGCTGGCCCAGCAGGAGGAGGAGCTGAACCCCTTCTGAGACCCCTGTGGGAGATTCCGGCCAGAGGCAGCCACAGGATGGCGGCTCTGTGAACCTTGGAGACACTGGACACCGCCTCCCCTGCTGGAGCCACAGACCGACCACACTGCCAGCCTGGGGGGCAGCTTTGCTCCTGGGAGGACTTGACTTGGCACAGACCCTGTCCTGGCACCAGCCGGGCCCAGGGGTGCCCCCATCCCTGGCTCTGATGCAGCCACATTTGCACAGGTGATGGATTTGCTTCCCAAAACAGCTGTGCTGGCAGCATCAGCGTCTAATCTATTTGAGTGAGAATTCTCAGATTCGGGGGAGGGGGGCTCGGGAACCCCAGGCAGCGCCAGGCAGGACTCAGGTTGGGCCCTCCCAGGGCTGCCCACAAGCCCCCAGACCCCAGAGGGTGCCAGGAGAGTGGTAGGTGGCAGGGCTGCTCCCCACCCGGGGGAGCCAATGCCCCGCCCTGCCCTCCGCCCCACGCCCCAAGCAAGGATCCTGGGCCAGCAGACGCCCTGCCAGGATGGAGCAGAGCATGCTCTGCGGGTCCCTGGTGACCTCCTGGCCCCTGCACTCCATGCGGCTTTCCTGACCCTCCTGGGTCAGCTGGCGGGGAAGGCCCACCCCTGAGCCTCAGATGCCCTGACAGGCCCCACCCCAGCACCACCTCTGACAATGCTGGCAGCCGCTCCCCCTGGCTCTGCCGGACCTGCAGTCCCTCCAGCCTCCTGGACTCACTGGGGTTCTGCCCTGGGTCCCAGCCCTTGGCCTTCTGGGAGCCCTCCTGGGGGTTAGCCAGAGAAGTTGGGTGGCAGTGAGGTCATGGAGATCAGTTGAGGTTGGGGGGTCAGTGAGGTCTTGGGGATTAGCCATAAGGTCAAGTGTGGTTGGCCATGAGGTTGGGGGGTCGGCCATGAGGTTGGGGGGTTGGCCATGAGGTTGGGGGTCATGAGGTCATGAGGGGGTTGGCTGTGGGGTCACGAGGTGGCACACTCTCCCTGCCTTCCTTCCCCTGGCGGCCGTTGGCTGCTCCCCACTGTCCTGGCAGGGCCTGTCCTCTGGAGATACAAGGAGGGCTCTCAGCGCAGGGGCTGGATGGACGAGTCCAGGTTCAAGTGACAGTGTGACTCAGGTTCCCAGGGAGCCATGAGGGGCTGAGGTGTCAGCCAGGCAGGAATGGTGTGGGGGTGACCTCCAGGGAGGGGGCAGCTGGGTGCTGTGGGCATTGCTGGCCACTCGCCAGGGTTTCTGCCTCATGGTGACTCCATCCTGGGCAAGTGCAGGTCTCACGGCAGGAGCCAGGTGGGGCGAGTGACCAGTGCCTCAGTCCACTGGCCTCCCGGGGGGCAGGGAGGGTTGGGGGCAGCGAGAGGCCTTGGAGGGGTGGGCAGCCTGTCTGGGGAGCTGCTCTGGCCCAACCCCATCTGCAGAGCCTGCACCACGGAAGAAGAGGACTCGCCCGGGAGCTCCTAGAGGCAGGCCGGCTGGCCTGTGCACAGAGCTGGGTGTGCCCAGCAGGCCATGCCCTGGCCAGGTGCAGCTGCTGGAGCCCTCTCGGCTGGCAGCTTTGCTGATGCAATGCAGGCCCCAGGAAAGGCCGTCATTATGAGCTGTTTCCTTGCAGGGAGGAGAGCCCTGGGGGCCTGGCTCCTGTTGGCAGAGGCCTGAGCCAGCTGGGCCAGGTGTGGCCAGACTCCTCTGCTGGGTAATTGGTCTCCAAAGGCAGGAAAGTGTCACCCAAGACGCCGCTGGGACGAGAGTGAGAAAACCGCCCCACCTTTTCCACTCTGGGGTCTAATTGTGCCCTGGGCCACCCAGCCCGGAGGAGAAGGCTTGTTTTTCAGAGGCAGGGAGGGCGCACTTCCTCCTTTCCAGGTGCTCAGAGGGCCGGAAACAGGCCTGGGCCTGGGCAGCTGCCGAGGGTGACGGGGGTGATGGGCTGGCTGGGCTGGAGGGAGGGGACCCTGCTTTCCCGGACCTGGGCGGGAACCCTACTTTCTGGGACCTGGGCAGCCGGTGCTGGATATTCTCAGGGCCGGGTGTGATGGGAGGAGGGGAGGACACCAGAGTGCATTTTGCAAGAGTTCGTGTTTTAATTGGGGCAAAATTCACATGGCATAAAATGATCTGGAAATGGAGTTTGGTGGCGTTTGCTGCACTCACAGGGCTGAGGGCGCACTGCCCGCCCCAGGGCATTCCGCCGCCCGAGAGCTCCCAGGCTGCAGCCGACGCCCCTGCTCTGCCTCCACGGACTGTCCCAGCGTTTCCCAGTGACACGGCCACACAACACGTGCAATTCGAGCCTTTCACGTCTGCCCGAGGGGACCTCGAGCACCCGACTCTTCCCGCAGCCTTGGCCTCCTCCTTCTTTCCCATTTTGTCAGACAGAGGCAGGAGGTGTTCCTGGGGGGGGTCTGTTCCTCCATCTGGTTTGTTCAGAGCAATGGCCTGCCCTCACTTTAGGTCCCAGGAGCTGGCAGGGCAAGGGGGCAGGAGGGGCCCTCAAGGACACCCAGGAAGGATGGGAGAGGCCAGGCATCCTGACTGGGAGTGGGGACTCTGCCCACTTGGGGCCACCTCCCAGCCGTGGAGAGCAGAGGTTGGCCTGGAACTGCTCCCGAGAGGCAGCTCGGGGCTGGGGTGCTGGACAGTGAGTGGGGGAGCCCCCAGGCCTGAGGCAGGCAGTGACGGGAGGGGGGTTTGGATACTGAGACCACAGTTTTGGACCCGAGTTCTTTGTGAGAGCAGGACACTTTGGCAGCCGTTGGAGCGGGAGGCTGGGCCCATGAGGCGGGAATCTGGGGCGTCCCGCCCAGGGTGGCTCAGCCCAGCTGGGCTCTCAAAGCTCTTGGAGCCAGAGCTATGGCATGAGAAGAGGCAGGTGCCACCCTCCCCGGCCCAGTCCCCAGCAGGCGTGTGGCTCCAGCAAAGCTGGGTCCTCCAGAGACAAGAGCAGCGGCGGGGGATGGACCTGGTGTTCCCCGAGATACGGGGCTGTCTAGGGAGAAGGACCCCGCTGCCCCTGCTCCCTGGTGGACACCGGTGTTGCCTGCAGCTGCCTGGGGACACGGCTAACAGGGGGGCCCTCCCTGTGCCCAAACGCTTGGGGTTGTTAATATCAGGGTGAGCCA